GCAACCCGTGACGCTCTACCCGGAGTTCTTCACGTCCTCAGATTCGGGTTTAAGCGTTTCAATGTCAGTGTCAACACAATCAATGCCGAAATGAATCTGCAGCAGTCAGGTGGTACAAGTCAGAGCTCTGTAAGATGTTTACGTTCATTATTATTATAATGTTATGTGCTTTAAGACATGAGGTAGTTTAATGGTGCGTTCACACCAGACGTGAATAGAGCGTCTGGCGCGAGTGATTTCAATGTTAATTCAATGCAAAGACGTGTTACACGCGTAATAAATTCCGCATGAGGCGTAGAGCGCTGCGCGGTAGACGCGAATACGCCTCATTCGCGCGTCAAGTTCGCACGAATTGAGCGTCTTGCGCGTTACGCGCGAATGGTGCATTCACGCGTTTGACGCGAATTCACGTCTGCCGCCCGAGTTCAAAAATCTGAACTTTGCGTCAATTCACGCCGCGTTAACCAATCAGGAGCCTGCTTGCTCCTGTCACGTGGTGAAGTGACGTGATAAATGGGGACAGGCCCGCTTTTCAGTTTATAATATTATTTTATATGTTTGGCCTCAATAACTTATTTTGTAATATAACAATGCCTGGTGTGGTTCTAATCCACAACAAAGCAAATATTTTATCACATAAAAACTTGATTTAAATATGTGAGACATATTAATTTTGTATTTAATGCTATTTTTTCCGTATCTAATCTAGATGAAACATTATTATTCTAATGTAAAGACAACCAACATACTTTAGTGCATAAGAACATAGATCGTGTCTGGACAGTGTTGTGTGAGAGAGAAAAAATCACAGGACAGGTTAATCACTTTTGGAGGCTGGCTCCATTTATCATCAAAATAAAAATAAATGACAGATTAGGTGGGTGAGGGCGAGGGTGATGCTCGCTCTGATGCGGGACAACAGGTCATCAAACTGGCCGCGGGACAGGCGGAAGTACCGCTGAAAGCGGCCGTCATTCAGGTGCAGGAGCAAATGGTGAAACTCTCCAAACTGGGTTCGTCTCCGAAGGGTCCGGAGGACCCAAATACGGCGACGATGATCCCTACGCCGCTGTTCTCCTCTCCAGAGCAAATACAGAGCGGTGACTCTCTCGATGAACGCTCAATCAACATCAGCCGTCTTGTAAAAAGATGTCCGCCAACAGATTTGGCCTCCGCTCTTGACGCGCAAATGGATCCAAAGTGTTCAAGCGTATAACTAGACGCGGTAGGCGCGATTTTTGACGCGCTATTCGCATCTGGTGTGAACGTACAGTAACGCCACGTCTCATGCCGCTTTGCATGTTTCCGTTCATGTGTTTTGAAGGAGGCGTTGCTTTGTAAAGCTCTAAAGGGAGGGTGGGATCTCATGCTTTCTAAGCCAGCTTGCTATTGCTAGCCTCTCTGAAATTGCCTACCCTACCTTTAAGAAAGTATTTATAACAAATATGCTATCGTCAAGCTTAGACACGTTATTAATTATAACATGATTATTTGCACAATGACATGAAAATTAAAGATAGACATTGCTACAGTAAGTGAAGGATTGAAAATGAATTTTTTACCTGAGGACTTCAGCGCAAAGTTAATTTCAGAACTAGTTTCAGACTCATGTTTGTGCTGTGTTTCACAAAGGGGGGATAACGGCCAAAATGATGCAGCCCACCAAATTCAACACTATTCCCAGACATATTTTGTTTAAAATTGTTTGATTAGAGAAAGGGGGGAAACATGAAGAAACACCTTGAAACTTTCCTTATAAAATCTTAAATGATTTCAAATTAAAATGTTCACTTGTATAGACATTGTGCAAAGAAGGTGGTGATTGAGGAGAGACCCCGACATGATTGTAAAGCGCTTTGGGTGTACAGTAGTAGCTATGAAAAGCGCTGTATAAATGCCTCCTTCATTCATTTGTTGTGCAAAGAAACTAACCCAATATTATTTCCATTTTCAAGAAATGAATTATGGAAGTACCTGAATGAATTTCCTTCTGAGACGTCGTCATATTTTTTATATTTAACTTGAGCGGATGAGTTTCTTAAGGACGATGGCGTCATCTAGCGGTGATGGAGAGAACAGCACGCTTCCTCCTGCCACCCGCCACAGGCTGAGTGAACTTGCGCTTCGGATGCGCTTGGAAGGCGTGGTTTTACCTCACTGACACGCGCCTAACATTCTTTCATTGATAGTCCGTCGAGTGCACTAACTAGTGCACGAGCAGCGCGGCAATAGCGCACTAATCAAACGGAAAATGATGTGATACAAACGCAGACGTACCAGGTAGGATTTTTATGCGCGTGTGTTCTTATCTGCAGCACCAGGGATACATCACAGTGATGAATTTGCCAACAAGGTCAAGTTATGGGATATCGATACGAGTCAAGGCAAGGATTTGTATATGAATGGGTGGGTTCAGCATTTTTGGGGGAAAAAATCATTAAACATCAACAACATATTGTTTAATGCAAAGCTTTTTCTAATATTTTTCATGTGGTTTTCTTAACATAATGGTTTGTATTACTAGCAAATTCTCAGATTAAAGAGATATAGCCAGTTAATCTGGTTTTAATTCATTTATCATGATAATGCATGGTGCTATTTAGACTTTGTCTGGCTTTTTGTCATACTGTGTGTGTGTGTGTGTGTGTGTGTGTGTGTGTGTGTGTGTGTGTGTTTGTAGGTCAAGTTTTGCCTATATTGTGGGGGAAATGCACCCTCAAGGATAGAAAAACCTGAAATCAGCTTCACTGTGGCCAATGATTTTAAATTGTATATAAAATCGTAGAGTGCAAAATTTTAGTGATAGGGGATTGAATATCATTTAAGGGTGAGAAACTGAATATCATTTGCTCACTATAAAAACAGCAGAAGTCAATGAAAAATGTGTGTGTGTGTGCGCGCACACATAACCCAATTTAAAGATGAGTTTGCTAGTATTTGCAAATGAAACGTGAGTGTCTCTTTGTAAATGATTGTATGGATTGCAGTCTGTCGTCTTATTTACAGCCCCAATCAATATGCGAGACTTCGTCCTATTAAAATGGATTATTTTTAGGGTCATTTGTGTAGTGTTAACCAGCTTCCGAGAAAGAGGCATTTCTCTGCCTGTATGTAGCCTGTGTTCCTGTGGGATATCTGCTGGATGTATAAATTAACATTTAATATATGAGACACTGACGCCAGAACTTAATAATGTTTAACAGTGTGTTCCCCACCCCCCATCCTCCTGCAGATGCGACTGTCCTCCGAGCGGCTCTCATCAATGACAGGTCACGATTTGAGACTTGGCGTAATTGACTTTCATGCTTTTGTCAGACGATTAGAGTGAATGTTTCCGCAGTGGCCAGTGAATCGCACTGGCTCAGTGTTTCATTTTTGTATTATTTTATTATGTGTGTGTGTGTGTGTGTGTGTGTGTGTGTGTGTGTGTGTGTGTGTGTGTGTGTGTGTGTGTGTGTGTGTGTGTGTGTGTGTGTGTGTGATACAGACTTCCTCTAATATTTGTTATCAACTGAAAAGGAAGAAAATGTACTTTGCACTGATTATACACCATAACTATACAAACTTCACCAAAAGTGCTTTCTGCAGCAGAAATAACTGTTTTGTTCATATATGCATATTAGTGGTAAACTGATGGGTTTGTCATTGTCATTAGTCCAATGGTTAATGTAATTGCCGATATTGGCTACATAAAACTTAAGATGTTGATTAACTTTGGAACTGTTATGCAAATGCATCAGCTTATTAGTCTATCTGCTTATATATTGGTCTATAAACAAAGCATTCTTAGTGTTCTAGTATGATATATATTGTAATAGTAAAAGCTGTTGTTTTATGGATACATGATGCTTAATGAAACTTCTGCATGCTCAGAATACTATAAAACCTTGAACGCTTTTGTAGGATTCTTTGGCGAAACTATCATTGTTCAGTGTTGTTGAGGCTGATCAGCTGTGGTTTGTGTCTGACTGTCAGATTTCCATTTTTGAGGCTCCTCGGGGCTATTTGAGTTGCTAAGGTCAAACACAGAATAATTGCTCTCCAGCACTAGAATGATACAGAATGTGGTGGAATGACTTTCTGCCTTTATTTTTACTAATACAATTGTAAATAAAATATATTGCTAATCATCATTATCATACACTCTAAAAAATAATGGTTACAAAAAGTTTTTGTTTGCAGTGATGAATAACTATTTTTGGTTCCTCACAAGAACCTTTCAGTGAACAGTTCTTAAAAGACCTTTTTTAAAATTAGTGTGAAGAACTTTTAAAAATCTGAGAACCTTTTCCACTATAAAGAACCTTTTGTGGAATGGAAAGATTCCATGGATGTTAAAGGTTCTTAACGGAACCATCGATGCCAAAGAACCTTTATTTTTAAGAGTGATATTGAGAAAATGTGTTGTTGTGAGTTATCTAAATCATTTTCTAATGAATAGGATGAATGGAGCATCACCAAAGAAAACCTCTGGGATTGTTTGAATATCCCCAATATATCAAATGTTGAATTAATTTGGCACTAGATACTAAATCTGTCTTTCTGAATATTTAATAATAAGCAATATATGAAACAATGCGTTTTATAGTTTAATGCTTTTTGTTTGTTTGTGTGTGTTAAGCCCGTGTTGCGCAGTGTAATTGATGTTTTGATATAATGCTTTACAGAACAAGTAAAGGATGACACTGCTACGAGTAATGGCTTATGATGGATTAGTTGTACTTTTATTTTATTGGAACTTCCTATCAAGCTGTTCTGTACAGTTATAAATGACCTCAAACATTTACACTGCATCATTGAAATGCTTTACTATTGTTATTGTGTTCCCTTATAACTGTATATGGTTTGCAGATAAGTGTTCAGGCAGATTCTCACACGGTTCATTCATAATGATCATAAGAAGACAGCAGTTGGTATGTCTCCTCTTGTGTTTCTAAAATTATTTTTTATCTCTCTGCTCTAGGGAAGCCTTGAAGGGGACAATATCAGGCTTTCAAAGGGGAATATTTTGACTTTGGATTTTCATCACATAAAAGGGATTCAACATGGAAAATGTACCAAACCCCAAAAGGACTGTCACTGTCCAAATGATGCCTCAGCTCGCCAGTATAGATGTGCTGGGAAATAAAGAGTTAAATGCTAACTGGGACATTGAGCCAAAGTTAAACTTAAATCAGGATTGCTCAGATCAGGATAATATGCATCTCAATTCCTCCATCAAAGATTCCCACACCACACTTCTTGGAGGGACTGTCCTTGAAGACAAAAACATGCCATCCCATGGCAGTGAAGATCACAGGCGACCTCAAAACAGTAACGCAAACATAAAGACCTCGGGTCAGTGTGCCAAGAGTGCTGAAGGTAGAAAAACTGATTGTGATAGGAATTCAAATTCGAAAACTGTCCCATCAACATCCAGCCCATCATCTACAACTACATATAATGTTGACAAGGAGGAAAATGGCAATAGCACAACAAAGGCACTTGAAAATGAACAACATGAGCCCAAAGCACAGAGCAAAGCATCAGTAGTTCAAGAAACTAGTGCAATCAAAGAGACACTGCATAATCAAACGCCAAGCCAGACTCGGGCTCCCAGTACCAACAATACAATTAAGGACATGCCACTTTTATCTGGATCAAAAGATGTGAGTTGCACCACCAGCATAAGCATCAGCAGTACACAGTTTGAACTGGTATCCACCACCAATGCTCCTAAAACCAATCACTCAGCGGCCGAAACATCTGGACCAGTACCTGGGACAAGATCTCAGACCCCACAACCACACGAGATCCATCATATGCTTGTTAAAGAGAACAAATGTAGCAATGACTGCATGAAAAAGGATGTTAAACCACCAGGAACCTCTCAGGAGACTTCTTCTGGATGCCCATTGGTGTCTTCAGCTAGCAGTGCAAGTCACTCTGTCCACACGGACGTGATTGATGAGGAGGTCCAAACGCAGGGAGCTGCTCCTGAAGAGCAGAAGCAGGTCCACTGTAAACTCTTTCGTGAGGCATCTACCATGACTTCAGCAGAAGAGTTTGGCGACCAACCCGGGACGCAACGGCATGATGTGGAGGTGCAGGCGGTTGCTACGGTCTGCAGTCAATCTACAGCCACTAGCCCTAGTCTTCTGTCTCTACAACCCCATCGGAGATCAGTTGGTCTACTACCTGAGGAGACTGACAGTATAGCAGTGGTTGTTGGGATGAAGACGCCCTCAGAGGTCACATCTGTCATTTTATCCAGTACGATCCTCCCTGGGAAGCCTACACAGTCAGACACAGTGATGGTTCATGTAGATGCTGACCTTCAGGAAGAGTCCAAGCTTGGGGCCAAGCCTAAAGAGCCTCAACACAACAGCCAAAAAGGGTTTTCGCCCCTTCAACCCGTTTATCAGATTAATATCGAGACCTGCAGCCAAAGCAAACAGTCAAACAACACTACCTGTCACCTTCAGAGCCAAGGTTCACCTGCGGTTTCAGCATCTGGTCCACATAATGTGGCTTGTGTGCAGGAACCCAAGACAACATCTGCTCAGGTCTGCCAGGATCTGCCAGTAAAGCCGGCCAAGCCTCCTGCATCGAAATCCAAGGAGGCAAGTTCTGCAAAACCTCCAAAGGACATCGCAATGACCACTCCTCCAACATCAAGCTCCACACCACAAAGTAAAAAAGTAGAGAAGAAACAGAAGGGAGCATCCAAGCTGGAGCGTAAGAAAGATGACCAAGAGGAAGAGAAGGCCAAGCAATCCAAGAGTGTAAATGACGTCGTGTGGGACGAGCAAGGCATGACATGGGAGGTATACGGAGCGTCAGTGGATCCAGAGTCGCTGGGATTTGCCATTCAAAGTCACCTGCAGTGCAAAATCAAGGAGCATGAGAAGATCATCACCCAGACGGTTATCAGAAAATCCTTGTCTTCGCCTCCCGGCAAGAAGAACAAGAGGAGGCAGGTTAACATCAACTTGAGGTCCATGTTCCAAAATGTCCGCCGACCCAACTGTTGCGCACGGCCGTCAGTACTAGAATGAAAGATGTGTGGTTGTCATTAGCCACTTTTCCACTGTCGGGCCAGTGCGAGCCAGGGCTAACAACGTGCCGGGTGGGGCCAATAGCCTCAGACCTCGAGCACCAGTAGCTTCACAGCACTACCGTAAAACCAGCCCTTAACACACCTGCATAGAACAACGTCACACAACCCCAGCGTTTCACCAGCTGAGCTGATTAAAAACTAGCTAGATCACAAAATGAGCATGACAGAAGTGAACGTTTGGTCTTTACCTAAAGACTTAAGATTCCAGCATCGATATTTTACCAATGTTTTACAATAAAAAAAAATGTTACAGTGACAGTAATTTTATTAATTTGTGTCAGGAGTACACATCAATCATGCTCAATCAAACTGGTATTTACCATTTCACATAAAAAGAGAACACATACCAATGCAGTTGTACCTGCTTCCATTTATTTGCAATCACAAGAATGCACAAAACAACTCTATTAAGGCTTACGCATTTAGACACATATTGATAAAATATCCTGTTTACGTCACATTTCTTTAGAAAGAAAGACTAAGCATTTCTAATAATTTTCCACGAAATAATGCGATCTGAGGAGGTGTGAGCGACCTCTCCCGTCTCACTATACTGTTATCCTTTCAGCCAGAGCAACAGGGGGAGCTCAAGTGAACAAAACAGGAATTATTAGTTATATTTATGCTGCCTTCACGTGCTATCGGAAATTTCCAACTTCCCACTTCTGAAGTCGTGATTACGAGCTCATTGCATTAAAATTTTGACTTGAGAGGGTGTTCATGTCCAATTTTATTTTTTAAATAGGAAACTTTACGATAATTCCAATAACATGTAAAGGCAGCATTAGTCCGGTATCAACAAAGGCACAGGGAAGAGACAGATAAAACATTAAACCGAATAAATACATGATTATAATCATATGTGATTTGATTCTGCAAGCAGTCTCTGGTATTTTCCATAAAATATGTGTATTTATTATCGCAATGGTTAGCATACGTAGCCTTTAGCATCGCATAATAATATTTTTTGCCTCATACAGTGATTAGAATCCCCATCGGATCGCAAGGAAGTGATTTCAAACACTCGCTGTGTCTGAAAGTGAGTTGAGCAAATTTCTTCTTTTTTTTTAAAAAATGTCTTAAATGTTTAAGTAGCCTGATATAATAATATAAGAAATGAGCAGCGGTGTTGTCCGTCTCCTGACTCAGATAAACTCCACCTTTGTTCATGACTCAAGCCCCAGTTGGCCCGCTTTGGACCGAGGTATTCGGCGGGCCGAAAACCACTGGCCGTTGACCCAGAGGAAGGCCCGGAAGTGACAGTGGAAACGCGACTGGCCCTGGCACGCACTAGCACTCTCGCTTTTGGCCTGACAGTGGAAACATGACTATTGAGAGGTCAATGTGATCTTCCATGAGACAAGCATGTTGGGAGATTTCTCTCGTTTGTTTTCTGAAGAGTTTGTTAAATATAGAAACTAATGGTTATTTGAGTGTTATGTGGAGAACAGAAAATATTTTTAGATAAAGATTATTTACGGTGATAGTAAAGCTGTAACGACGTTTAGAGTGCTATGGCAATAATTATAATTAATAAACAGTAATGATAATATGTAGTAGTCTGCATGTGTATTAGTTCAGAATGGCAGTCTTCTAACTACCCAAGATTATGCACTGGAGCAGCAGATGTATGCATATTTACATATTGAATGCATAACCCTTTTTACCTACTTTATTTAGTTGAATATCTTTTCAAACTTTAGTAGCCTAGATATGTTTGGTAAAAACAAATTGTGTTGCCTAATTTTATTTGTAACTGTTGATTTATTGTGAATATATATTTTTTAATTTAGAAAAAAGAAAAGAGCTTCACAATGCTTATTATCATACTTGGTGTAAACAGAGCCTGTTTATGATTTTATATTAAAATGGTTTGGCAAGCATTTCATAGCAGTGTCTTATCCCATCAAATTTAGCATAGTGTATATTATACCTAAAACTTTTAAATAATATCACTCACATTAATGAAATAATGATGTGACATTTAAATATACATCATGGATTATTTGGGGGGGGGTTACATTTCTGTTACATCTGTAGATCGCATGTGAATGTTATTTGCAAATGCTGTGTAATGAAAAACAGATCTTCATCAAACCGAATTTAGATCATTTAAGCTTCAAAATGCGCAGCATGATCTCAGAACGGGGCTGTGCACAGCCGCTGGAGGCCCTATAACCCACAGATAAATGTAAAGAGATGCACATTTCAAAAGCAATCCTTCTCTGTTATTCATACCGTCATTAAGACTGCTAATAGATTCCCTGTGGATCTCAGAGTTGATCTCGCTATCACCCTGCAGGAGTCTGTGCGGTTATTAGCGCATTTTTGCTACATGGTTGTTAGGGTGGTTGCTTACTGGCCCAATCCAAAACAGATGACACCCAGATCTCTGTGATCTACTCGTCTCTAGATATGACTAGAGTCTTTCCTTCAATGTCTGATCACTTAGAAAAGTAAAAGCCACATCATCTGAAGTATAACTCATGTACAACAAATGGTGTGAGATATGACCAAAAGTTTCATAATTAATATATAACCCTAAGTATGAGAAATAGTAATGGTTAAGTGCTCTTATTAAGAGGTGAAATAGCAATCATATTTGTGATGGGTTAAAGCAGTTACTGTATGTTGTCACTAAGGTCTATGAGTGATTTTAGTCACACTTTAGATCAGGGTCCAATTCTCACTATGACTTTTGCCTCAATAAACTCCTATTTACTGCTTATTAATAGTAAGTAAGGTAGTTGTTGTAGCGATAATGTTTAGGTAGGGTTGAGGGATGCAGAATATAAGGCATTGTAATATGTGCTTTATAAGTGCTAATAAACAGCCAATATTCAATTAATATGCATGCTAATAAGCAACTAGTTCATAGTGAGAATTGGACCCTAAACTAAAGTGTTACTGTGATTTTTTTTAAAATAATCATTTGTCTTGTGAATGTTTATATTTATTTGACATGCGTATTTATGTGTATGAAATCATTAATTTACCTTGGTCATAAACTCTTAAAGGGATACTCCACTTTTTTTGGAAATAGGCTCATTTTACAACTCCCCCAGAGTTAAACTGTTGAGTTTTACAGTTTTTGAATCCATTCAGCCGATCTCCGGTTCTGGCGGTACCACTTTTAGCATAGCTTAGCATACATCATTGAAGTGGACAAGACCATTAGCATTTCTAAAAAAAGAATGACCAAAGAGTTTCGATATTTTTCCTATTTTACCCTTCCGTCAACACAACGGAACTATTTCCAGGCGCTGCGTCATATCATTACGCCTGCTGCACTCATGGTATGGCAGTAAAGTTTCTTGATTATTACGCAGGAATGAGAGTATAGTTCCTAGCCATATCAGCCTAGAAAATCGCAACTTTACATTTTCCGTCGGTCTTAGTGCACGATGTAACTACAGAAGAGTCAAGTTTTAAATAGGAAAAATTTATCGAAACTCTTTGGTCATTTTTTTTTTTTTTGAAATGCTAATGGTCTTGTCCACTTCAATGATGTATGCTAAGCTATGCTAAAAGTGGTACCGCCAGAACCGGAGATCGGCTGAATGGATTCAAAAACGGTAAAACTCAACAGTTTAACTCTGGGGGAGTTGTAAAATGAGCCTATTTCCAAAAAAAGTGGAGTATCCCTTTAAAAATAAAGGTTTTTGGCAGTGATGCCATTGATAGAAGAACCATTTTTGGTTTCCCAAAAAACCTTTCAGTGAACAGTTCTTACTATTTTTAGTGTGAAGAACATTTAAAAAATATAAAGAACCTTTTCCACTATAAAGAACATTTTCTGGAATGGATAGATTCCATGGATGTTAAAGATTCTTCACGGAACCATCGATGCCAAATAAAGAGTGTAGTTTTAAGAGTCCAGGGCATCAAAAGTTTTAGATCAAACAATTATAAGTGAATCCTTCCTAATTAAAGGAACAAAAATTCCACATCCAGGTACTCGCGTAGATTGTAATATTTAAAAAGCCTTTATTTTCAGGGCTGCATATTAAAAAACACCACAGTTTTTTGTCATACTGAATGCAACCAAACGTAATGCTTCATTTACAGCAGGGAATTCTGCCGTTCTTGTAACTGCGAACCCAGCAAGTTCTCATGCATTTTTACAGTACATTTGGTAGTCTATTCCCCTGCATCACTGTATGAAGCTCTCTATGGGGCCAGAAGCATCAGGAGATTGCATCAGAACTTCTCCCCGGTTGTCTGATCAGTTTTGCATCAGCTGTCGTCTCCATCACGGCTCCCTTTTGTTTACTTGCTGCTGCTGCATTAAATAATTGGAAGAGCTCCAGCGCTTCCTCTCATGGCGCCGCTCCCTGTGGAATATTTGCCCTACATATGTTTGTGCAACACACACACACACCTTGATTTACTCTCGCTGTCCTTCACCTATACTGTACCTCCCTCACGTTTTGTCTTTGTATATGGCACGTTACACCTTTATGTCCCCTAAAAAGCATTAAGAGACACAAATTGGCTACCGTGTTTTTTTTTGTACTGACATCTATAAGATAAACTATTATCTAGTTAATTATCGAATTAACCTAACATGGAATATAGCTAACTACGTAAATGTCTGAATCCCTTTGAGCTTATTTTCATTAAAAAAATAACAACAGTATTGAGCATTCTGTAAGCTTTATTATTCATAATGCCTTATAAATGAAATTGTACAAATATATATATAAAATATTTATTTTGACCAATATTGTGGGGTTAAAAAGTCTGAGACTTAAACAAAATTAGTGCATGGATGATTTCAAAAGTGATCCTAAAAAAATAGATCCATTAAATGTCTGCGATTTGACTTTCAATGTCACTGAACTTTATACCATTCTTAACATCCAATGATTCTGCTTATTATTTCTAATCTACAAGATTTTAAAAATAGGCTGCATTGAAAATATTATTAAAATATTGAAGGCTGGATGACGTTGCACTCTTTCTACAAGATACACTGGCATTCTGGTTATGTGGTGACAGCACTGTCACTTCCTATTAGCCACGATTTGTGAACGGTGCTTTGAGAATATTCAGTCTCTTCATTGGCTCTTATTGAATGTTAAATTAAAAAAAAAAAATCTGCAAATAGCTGCAGGGTGACAGACCATCATCCCCTACTTGCAACTGATCTCACACTGAGACGCCGCCTGCCCTTCACTCTCCTCCTCGTCTTATATAAATCCTGACAATATGGCGCTCTTCGCTCACAGCTTCGGCTCACAGCTGACCGTGACAGTCCAAATGAGGTGTCAGTAACTGTACATTGTACCCCACACATGACTCTATGGCAGATGATATTGATAATATTACATGAGATCTCAAATCCTTCCGTTTACTTCTACTTTTGTCCCCTATGTGCCTTGATTGTCTGTATATGGACAAAAAGCAGCATCTCTCTCTCTCTCTCTATAGAGGAAACGGTTCTATAGAAACTATACGTCTACATACATTTGAAGACGTGTTTCCGTTTCAAAGCGCTCTCCATCAAAACCAGTTTCTCTTCCACACTGAAACCTCGAAAACACTAAATTCACCTTTACTGCGCATGTGAAAAAAGCTCACTGAGATGATATTCTATTGTTTTGACAGGATTTTATTTGGCAAAATATCTCACTATTTACTGATGCGTCCAGGTTGCACTCACTCACCATTATATGTTTGGTCGAAAAACACAATGGCTGCAGGACAGCAAATGCGAGTAGGCCTACGTTTCCTTTTATCTTTGCATAACTGTGATATGAAGAGTGTATAAAGTAAAATATTTTAGTAACAGTGAGAAAGTTAATAGCACATTACAGGCACAATACGTTATAAACAAGAATATCTATCGGTACATATGTATCACATGACTAAACATGCGTCATCGCTCTCAAATACCTCTGTTTTCACAGTCCAGACTACAACGCGAAAACGCCGTTTTCAAATTTATCTAGGCCTACCTGGGAAAGTGCTTTCAAAAAGCTCAGTGAAAGCTTCTCGGAGAGAAAAAGATGCGTTTTCAAACAAAAACGTATTAGTGTGGACAAGGCCTTAAAGGGATAGTTCACTTTGAAATTAATATTTGGTATGTTTTAGCTTACCTCAAGGGCATCCAAGATGTAGGTGTCTTTGTTTCCGCAGTAGTTTCAGTTTTGATATTTTGGGGGAAAGCGCTTTCAAAAAGCTCAGTTTTCACAGGACAAAAGATGAAAAGAAGAGAAAACGGAGAGAAAAGATGCGTTTTCAAACAAAAACGTATTAGTGTGAACAAGGCCTTAAAGGGTTCTTTCAGGCGTTTCATATACGTAGAACCTTATAGGGGGTTCCATCATGGGATCATTTTATGGATTTAGTTTTAGGGGGTGTTTACACGACACCATTTGAAATAAAAACGTAAAAATGTATGCTTTTTGGTCGTTCATTTTGATGACAATGACGTTTTGGGGGCCTGAAAACGCAAACTTTTGAAAACGGGTTTCAAAGTGTATGTTTTTGCAAACGATATACCATTACTTTGTCTGTGTAAACTACAAAAACGTGAATTTGTGAAAACAGTGACATCATGTACATATGTATTACGTGTTTTCATTTCATTTGAATTATGAATTAAGCAGCTCGTAAACATACATTATCACTAGAAAACTACCATGCAATCATTTAAGACGTTTCTCCTTATATAGAACCTTTTTGGCATAAGAGGTTCTTTAAAACTGAGTCAAGAACCCTAGGATTCTATATAGAACCTTTTCCTTTTCTAAGAGTGGTATAGATGCAGTTAAAATGATAACCTTATTTACATGAGTAAACCCAGAGACTATAAGGACTTTGGTAAACCTCAAAATGAGTAAACTCTGCACTGAAAAGTATCTATCAAAAATTGTTCTTGAGAGATAAAACCTCTCCTATGACATGAAAGTGACATTCTAATCCTATTGATAGCAGGTAATTCCTGGTAATTCCAAGTGAGCAACACACAGTTCCTCATTATCTTTATGAGATAATGAAGTGCCACTCGGTGCAGAACTATGTGCAAACTTATTTTCTCTCCAGAATACCAGGAAGAACCTCAATGACACTCTTTAAAGAACAAGCCAGATAGTGACACTGCCTTCCAAAGGCTCCTTCAGAACAAACCTCTGGTGGAGCGACTGAGCATATATGGGCCACTTCAATGAAAGCAGCTCTTTAAAAAGATCCTCTTTTATTCTCCCAGTTCAATGCCGGAGCACACAGGCCTTGACAGAATGTGTGGCACAGCACGCTGTTCTTTCTCTTCACTGTTGATTTTTTCTTCCCAAATACAAAGTATTCAGTCAATTGCCCGGCCCTTAGGGTGTTTATTTTTAGACACAATAGATATTTGTATGAACTAAGACGTATTGTGTCCAGACATGCAGGAAGGTCTTAAAGGGATAGTTTTAGCCAAAAATAAAAATGTGTTTTCTTGCAATGACAGACAACGGCGTCCAAAACAACAGTGAACCGCAATGACTTTCCCATTAAATGACTAAAAAGCACAGAGAGTAAAGATGTTAATGAAATAAAGGTTAAATGTAAGAATTTTCATGAATGAATCGCTTTTTATTGCTAATGTGTGAACAGCTTGTTACGAAACTTTAAAAACTAGACCTTCCAAGACTTCCTAGATTCTATGAAAGCCTGTACACTGATTTTTATGTGAAGGACTCAGGACATTTTGCAGGGAAAATCAAATGGATGTGACGTTTATGCTCCCGAAAGCCATGACACATGAAATTAATGCTTATAAAATGTTCAGGATAACGCTAAAAGAGCCATTCTGTACTCTATTGTCAATGTGACATGCAAAGTATAAGAATGAATTCAAACTAGTGTCACTAGTCAGACATAATCTAGTCTCAAATATAGGCTACTTTATAATCAAACTATCATAACAGTGTAATTTTAATTACCTCATCTGTCGACACAATGCCGGGGAATTGCAGAGCTGGTGAAAACATATCCACATCGCTATGATCAGATGCTTTCTTAATTGTTTTCTCAATGCTACAATTATGTCTATTTTGGTATTGAGGGGAAAGTGCACAGCACATATTTAGGCATTTTAAATGTTGCTCTCAGCCAGTATGTTCATTAAAAGTATATGCAAAAGTATTTCCAACTTCTTTTTACTTCTAAGCAAAGAACGAAAAATAACTTTGCCGTGAGTATATCCGGGGCCTTGAATCACATTCAGTCTCTTGTATGTTACGTGTGCACGAGAGTGAACATGTTGCTGGCTGCAGTTCACTTAATGGCCACCGGTGTCGCTAATAACAAGTGTTCTGAATAGCCCCTTTAATTATATAACTAATTGATTTAAACTTCACAATCATTGCAGTATTAATAAACAAGACGTCTACTAGTGGTCTACAACCAAGATACTTCAATCATTTGAGACTGTAATCATTGCTTTCACTTAACCGATAAGCCTTCTAAGATAAAACCTGTATGATTTCCTAAATTTACAACCTGATCGTTCACACACGCAGTAAAATGCATCGAGGAGATATACTCGCAGAAATAGCTTTTGTGGTGTTGTACAGCCAACCCATCCGAGAGTAAAGTACAGCTCAACAAAGGTCAACACAACATTATAAATATTAGACCATCTGTGGGGAGAACATTAGTAAGTCAGCTTCGGCTGAAGACCATCACGCTGTTTCTAGATTGGATAACACTGAGGAACATCGGCACAAATGAAGTCCAAGAAAGGTCTGACAACACTAGAGAAGAGCCTGATCTTCCTATTTGTAGCCCTGACGGCAGTTACTATTGGACTAGTTGTGGTATTTGTCATTGAGAAGAACAACTCAAGTCCAAGAGGTGGGTTACTGTTACTTCAAAGCTGTTGGTCCAAATCCAGATATAATGAAGATAATTAGTTTTGCACACATACTTAGTTCTGACTTCCCCTCAGATATAAATGTAGATGTACATTTAAAGAATCTCAGTGGTAATATAGCATACAACAATAGATATGGTATACCGGTAGTTATTTATGATTATAAGGGCATTTAATGTCAAATCAATAGACTTGATAGTCACTGTGACGAATCTCTGCTAGTTCAAATTCATGAAAACAGCTTATTTATGTTAACACTTTTAATGAAATCGAACCCAAATGATTTCCTTGCACTCTTCTGATAAACTCTAACTATACAATTACTTTTGAATGATTAAAGTTATTGATAAAAACTTTAATTACTTCTCGCAACTACTATACGTTTGGTTGAATCAGACTCACTGGAAACACTATTGTAAAATCTGTGCCATTCAATGCAGCATCCTCCTATTTAGAAAGCATCTAAAAGCGGCATATGTAAATTATGAAGTGAAACTGTATAATACTCTCAAAATAGCCCTCAGAAGCTTCTTGTAATCACTGTCTACAGAAGGACGTCTGGTCAGGGGCGGCGCCAGATAATTTTTAACGCAGGTGCTGAGGGGGTGCTAGATCATTGACAGGGGGAGCTGCGCAATTAGCATATATATATATATATATATATATATATATATACACACACACTATTATTTAAATGAGCAAAATTTATGATGAGATGTGCTCCAGTTCACGTGCAATGCAATCGCGCCCGCGCCTCCTTATCTTTATCATATTGTCTGCTATATTTGCTTCTTATTTAGGCTATTATACCCAGTCAATTGGTTGATGAAAAATTGATTACAATTAAGATACAATTTATACAAAACGAAATTCACTTTAAAAAAGGCTTTCTACAAAACAAAACTTAATTTATACTTAACATAAAAAAATAAAAATAAAAATCCTTTTCCTTTAAATCCTCGCTTGTCTTATGCTACTCCGAGCAATGTCCGAACTTGGTATTTTGAGCACTTCTTGCGTTGTTTTTGCCTTTTCACGATGACTCGCTTGGTTTAGTCATCAGTTGAGTCGCTTTGGATAAAAGCGTCTGCTAAAATAAATGACTAAATGTAAATGTGTAAATGTAAATAAAGTGGTCAAAATCATGTCTGACCCATCATATCTTCCGATATATCACGCATCTTACTCGTGCTGTTCAATTTTCATAATCAGCAAAAAAAAAAAAAAAAAAAATATTTTAACAAAAATTAAATTAAATGCGCTTATTTAATGGCTACAACACACATATAGTGGGCCAGACTCTCTAAATATTGAAACAATTAACATTAACAATGCTGAAGTGCAGTTACTTAATAGTAAATGTTAACTATAATCCGATTTTTTTATACACCGATTCAGAGGTCTCGTGAGTTCAGTGTTGGACATGTCAGTTGTTTTAACTATTCATTAAAGTAAAATGAGTCATTCGTTTGCGTATCAACGTGTCATTAGTGGACGTCTACGGCACGCTTGTGTGATTATCTCGGCAGTTTAGAACATCGCACAAGATTTGCGTCAATACAGAAAACATATCACTGGATAGGTTTTTTCGTTTATTGAAATGTGGTTTAGGTCAGCTGAATGGGCGGAACGCTTTTTAGAGACGATAAGCTAGGCAACGTGTTTTTTTAAGCACAATTCACACACCGAGGTAATTCAGGAGAACAAATCTCCAAATGCTCCACGTGAAACTGCGGTCTTCCGACCTTTTACTACTGTCAATTGATTTTGCTTAATATGCGCGAGAAGTGTTTGAAGACGTGAGAGTGCGCGCGGCCGGGTCTCTCTCTCTCTCTGCTCGTGCGCCCTGTCAAGCGCAGCAGTCATTCTATTCTACATCACTCACCGATCAAAAAAGGCTTTGGCGGGACAAAAATTTGGCGTTATTATGTCGAAATACCGAGATATTATATTTAATTTGGCGTTATTATGTCGAAATACCGAGATATTATATTGAAATAACGACTTAATATCTCGAAATAACATATTTTGAATATAATTGATTCCATACATTATTTTGGGGGGTGCTTTGGGGGGTGCACCCCGAGGTGCTTTGGTCTTTCTTGGGGGTGCTGAAGCACCTGCTAGCCCCTCCCTAGCGCCGCCTATGCGTCTGGTGCACATTAATGTAAAAGTTTCATGCGATTTAAATTACACCTAAAGTAAGTATAATTTGTTGCAGTTTCACTTAAAATTTACAATGTTTATGTTTCACATAGTCTAACCATAAGATAGGCTAATGTTTGCATCACAAATGATGAATGCAGAGCAATAGGCCTATAGGTATTTCTTTGGTACATACAGACACATTATCCTTTCTTTTCAAATTCAGTTACCAGACTAAACCTGCATTATGTTCCACGAGGCTGAATCCATGAAATAGCTTCACCTGCGGGGTGCTGCTGAGGAAATGCAATCAATCTGTTTACACAGGCGATGTCAAATTCTATTCCTCGCTCTGTCTCTGTCCGCAGAGGACGAGATCGATACGGGATGTGGGAGTCTGCAGGAGCTGACGGCTTCCTCGGGGGAATTTTCCAGTGGGAATTACCCCAGCAGTTACGACAATGGCATGAGCTGCAGTTGGCACATCACGGTAGAAGCCAATAAGGTACCGGGTGACTCTTAGCTCAGCTCTTTAGCCGCTAGCTGCTCATTAAGGATACTGTAAGGCTTACTGTAAGATGACCTACATGCTTTGGTTTTTCTGAAAGCACTTTGCACATTTATAAGGCTTCAAATAGGGACTCAAACTTTTAAAAACAATATACATTTTTAAGTGACAGTGAATGGAGATGCTTAACTGCTATAAAGTTATTGAACGTGCTGTTTTTGTATAGTTATATTCGATTTTCAAGAATTATTTGAGCATGTTTTACAAGGAAATATTATATTCTGTTTTTAAAATTCAAAATGTCACGTTTAATTCAATGTGTCACTTCCTGTTTCTTTGTAGACTAATTTTTTTGTGAAATTTTCAACACTCTTAAACTTAAAGTTTCTTTATTTGGTTCCAATAACCTTTCCATGGAATCTTTCCATTCCACAAAAGTTTATATATACACTCACCTAAAGGATTATTAGGAACACCTGTTCAATTTCTCATTAATGCAATTATCTAATCAACCAATCACATGGCAGTTGCTTCAATGCATTTAGGGGTGTGGTCCTGGTCAAGACAATCTCCTGAACTCCAAACTGAATGTCAGAATGGGAAAGAAAGGTGATTTAAGCAATTTTGAGCGTGGCATGGTTGTTGGTGCCAGACGGGCCGGTCTGAGTATTTCACAATCTGCTCAGTTACTGGGATTTTCACACACAACCATTTCTAGTGTTTACAAAGAATGGTGTGAAAAGGGAAAAACATCCAGTATGCGGCAGTCCTGTGGGCGAAAATGCCTTGTTGATGCTAGAGGTCAGAGGAGAATGGGCCGACTGATTCAAGCTGATAGAAGAGCAACTTTGACTGAAATAACCACTTGTTACAACCGAGGTATGCAGCAAAGCATTTGTGAAGCCACAACACGCACAACCTTGAGGCGGATGGGCTACAACAGCAGAAGACCCCACCGGGTACCACTCATCTCCACTACAAATAGGAAAAAGAGGCTACAATTTGCAAGAGCTCACCAAAATTGGACAGTTGAAGACTGGAAAAATGTTGCCTGGTCTGACGAGTCTCGATTTCTGTTGAGACATTCAGATGGTAGAGTCAGAATTTGGCGTAAACAGAATGAGAACATGGATCCATCATGCCTTGTTACCACTGTGCAGGCTGCTGGTGGTGGTGTAATGGTGTGGGGGATGTTTTCTTGGCACACTTTAGGCCCCTTAGTGCCAATTGGGAATCGTTTAAATGCCACCGCCTACCTGAGCATTGTTTCTGACCATGTCCATCCCTTTATGGCCACCATGTACCTATCCTCTGATGGCTACTTCCAGCAGGATAATGCACCATGTCACAAAGCTCGAATCATTTCAAATTGGTTTCTTGAACATGACAATGAGTTCACTGTACTAAAATGGCCCCCACAGTCACCAAATCTCAACCCAATAGAGCATCTTTGGGATGTGGTGGAACGGGAGCTTCGTGCCCTGGATGTGCATCCCACAAATCTCCATCAACTGCAAGATGCTATCCGATCAATATGAGCCAACATTTCTAAAGAATGCTTTCAGCACCTTGTTGAATCAATGCCACGTAGAATTAAGGCAGTTCTGAAGGCGAAAGGGGGTCAAACACAGTATTAGTATGGTGTTCCTAATAATCCTTTAGGTGATTGTATATATATATATATATATATATATATAGTGGAAAGGTTCTTTAGATTTTTAAAATGTTCCCCATTCTAAGAAAAAAACATCACTGAAAGGTTCTTTGGGCAACCAAATATATAGTTATTCAATGGCATAGCTGTGAAAACACCCTTTTGGAACCTTTATTTTAAAGTAGCAATACTGAGTTGTTTCTACACCAAATTATTTTCAGTGTATCAAAAATATTTTCAGGACATAAATGTGTATATTCATGGAAAATTAGTTATCATGGTTTATTTTCTTCTTCCAGGTGATCCATCTGTGGTTTGAAGACTTCTCTATAGAAGACTCCAATACATGTGAGGCCGACTCCGTCACTCTCAAGGATGAACTCGGCACCATTGGTGAGTCTTCCGCTGAATTTGGTCAAAACCATTTTTCTCTTCCCTGCAGAGAGTAAAAAAATTCACTGTAAGTTAATCACCATTAGCGCAGAAGAGATCTGCCTGCATTTATTCCAGAGGGCATGAGGCAATTAACTTCTTAGAGATTGACTGAATGTTACCGGTCACCATTATTTGACTGTTGAGTTATTGCATATGCTGAGCATGTCCAGCCAAATTTTCAGTTTGAATGAGAGGACACACACCAAGACAAAAACCGGCCACTCTACCTAAAGCAAAAGTGCTGTATTTCCATGGGTATTCTAGTTAAGCGGTTCTCAACTGGTGGTTCACAACCCAAAGATGTCCATTTACCAATATAAATTCAGAGAACTATATAATCTTGACTAGTTTTAGCAAAATTAAAATCTTAAAAATCTTTTTTGTTGATGTCAAAGGCTGTGTTCAATAAAAACTCTACGATTTCTTTTTCTTGCAGGGAAGTACTGTGGCTATTCAACGCCTAAACCAATAGTCGCCTTAGGAAACCGCATTTTTGTGTACTTTGACACCAACGACAGACACACAGAGAAGGGATTCAAAGCCCTGTACCGCGCTGTGGCCCCTGAGACTGCATCAGGTAATGACAATGAGAGATACATAATGACTTAATTACATAACAGTATTATTAACATGATGGAAGAACAATTAGAGATTTAAAAATGCCCGTCTGCTGCACCTTTCATATCATCATCTAGTGATTGTATCTACTCTGCCAAATACTGAGAGGCTGTTATAAGTGTCTCGCTGCAGCTGACCTAGAAAGAGACGCAGCGTGTTAATGTGTGTGTGTGTGTAACTGGGGTGTATTGGGAGGGAAGGGGGGCTGTCAGAATACCCTTTTGGTGTTTTTCTATGCAGCTAAATCTCTCTCGTTCCCATGCTTCTAGAAATAGTTGGGGCTGGTGGTGTTCTTCAAGGTGACCGTGGGGAGCTGTTGACCCCTGGCTTTCCCGCACAAAACTATGAGAATGGCGCACTCTACCAGGTGCTTCCAATGATCGATATGACCTCTACACCTGCTCTTGATTTATCACAAACTTTCTTTTTCCTCTTTGTTCTCTGGAGTCTGTATCTTTGTCCTTTTCCACCCACTATTCTATTGCTGTTCAATATCTGCTGCCTTAAAGGAATAGTTCACCCAAACGTGAAAAATGTTATATTTACTGACCCTCATGTCGTTCCAAACCTGTAAGACGTTCGTTCATTTTTGACACTTCAAAAAGTTCATAAAGAGATCGTAAAACTAATCCAATGAATTGAGTGATTTAGTCAAAATTTTCTAAAGAGACTAGATTACTTTATATGATGAACGGATTGAATTTAGGCTTTTATTCACATAGAAACATTCTTTAACTCACACTTCAGTTGTGGCAAGCATGTTCGCTTGACGTGCGAGAACCAATGAGGTTCATTCTCTTGTTACGCATCATGTTTGAGCCTCTTTAAGAACCAATGAGGTTCATTCTCGTGTTGCACAGCACATTTGAGCTTCTGCAAGAACCAATGAGGTTTGTTCTCGCTCGTTTGGTTGAGCTTCTGTTTATGTTCGCTGATCAATGTTTAAATGTGAATAAAAGCCTAAATTAGATCTGTTCATCATTTAAAGTGATCGTGTCTCTTTCAGAAAATGTAGACTAAACTGTTCAATTTATTTGGTTTAGTTTTACGAATATCTTTATGAGCTTTTTGAAGTGTCAAAATGGTATTTGCGTCAACTGTCAATGGATGGACAGAAAGCTTTCAGATTTCATCAAACAGATCTTCATTTGTGTTCCGAAAGATGAACGAAAGTCCTACGGGTTTGGAACGATATGAGGGTGAGTAAATGATGACAGAATTTTCATGGCTAAATTTTGTGGGCAAAAAAGGTCTCTTATATTTTGTCTATTGTCAGTAGTGTAGAAATCTATGAACAACTTTAACAGAAGTCACTTTCGAACCAAGCAGCTTTCTTTTGGTCAACACCGTGAATTCGAGTGACCAAAATCAAGTAACCCGATGCAAAATCTCTTTGGGGAAATTTTTCGTACTCAAGCGATATTCTCGATCGTGTGAATTCCTATTGAAATTGCTCAATTTTCGCACACGCATAAATTCGCATTCCCAGTTGATATGTAATGATTTCTCTTTGGACTACTTGAGTGAATCTCATGAAAAAAAAAAAAAATCTTTTTAAACATAATGCATCCAGATTTTTTTTCTTTTTTACTTTGAGGTTGTTAAACGGCCAATCAATCACCTGGCCAATAACCTAGCAACCATTCAGAACCACTTAGCAACTCCTTAGCAATGTCCTTGCATCTATCCACAACACGGCGGAGTGTTTTGCACACACATTTTTTCATAACTTCTAAAAAATATAGTTCCATCATGTATTTTTTATTTTTTATTTTTTTTTATAATGAATCCAGTGACAATCAGATTGCACATACAGAGGAAATTGTGGAGTTTGTGAGGAGTATTTGAAGATTGGTTTTGACATGAGGGCTTTGATTGTGGAAGTCAGATTGCTGGAAGCTTCCTCACAGTGCGGCTCCATCTGGCAGGATATTTACCCACATTAGCTAATCTACCGCCAGCCTTCAAGCCTTGACTTGAAACTAACTCAAGATGCATGAGAAAGCACAATTTCAATCACCAGCCCTGTCAGGATACCCAAATTGCATTTGGATCACTCTATGTTTTGTGTATTTGCTAAAGTCTGCACATGCAAAAACAAAATGCCAGAAGCAGTTTAAATGCTGTAATCTACTTATTCCAAGGTTAGGATTAATGTTAAATTAATTCATTTTTTCATTATGTTGTCCAGTGGATGATACGCGTGCCTGATTGGGAAAAGGTCCGGCTAACATTCACAGCTTTTGACCTTGTCCCAGAATCATGTGGTGACTTTGTGGATGTCTATGATGACGCTTCAGGTGGTGCCACTCAACTGGGTGAGAACTGACATTTACTGAATCCAAAAAGCTTGCCTTTGCTCCACGGTGAACATCTGTGCTCTCATTTTTATCTGCCAAAAAACATAAATCTCAATTAATGTAGGTCGTTTCTGTGGAAACAAGATCCCGGCTCCGGTGTTGTCTAGTGGCAGTAGTATGGTGGTTCGCTTCAAGTCTGATTCGAGCGGGACTGCTAAAGGCTTCAGTGCAACCTACACCATAGCAAGTGCCCCACCGATTACAACCACACCAACAACCACCACCAAAACCACAACCACTGGACCAACAACCACCACACATGCCCCAGAAGGTATAAGTAAAGTCACGGTATTTTCAAAGAAACTACATCAACGCATCACTTACCTGATCATATTACAGGGCTGATGATCACTGAGCCTCCTGCAGTCTAATGACTTTACTTTCAAATGACAGGAATAAAAATACTTTTCCACACCTAAAGAAGCATCTTACATCACACAAGAAAAGTTCATTTAAGGAAGCACCCATAATCAGGGAACTATGTAAGAGGGGTAAATGAATTGTTGTGACAATGAAGGAGATTAAACTAAACAAATAATACATTTATCTAATTATGGCATTAAATGTTGACCCAGAAGACAACTGTATTGCATGTGAAGTTTATAAGTTGCTTTAAATGTGTTGTATCATGTAACTTTGTCTTAGATAATATTATTATAATATCATATTTTGTATTTATTAATATTTATCTCAGTGTATATATATATATACATATATATATATATATATAACATTTAAAATATTTTATATGCAATTGTCTAGATTTTTCTTGCTTTAATTAAAATGTATTTATTATTATTTCGCATTGCATTTAAGCAACTACAATATTTTACTAAAATACGTTAATTAGCAGCAATTATATGTTATAGATATTAATATAAATATTTATATTTTTGGTACGTTTGTCATTTTATATTTTTATGTTTAAGATATTTCTATTTTATTTCAGTTTTAATAATTTTAGAACTCCATATATATAGTGCCATCATCAAGCATGACATGCTTTCTACCCTACATGAAGCCAGATTAGATTTAAAGATTGCAGGTCCTGATGAATTTCTTTTGAGCATTATTGTTCAGACAATAACACTCTGAGCTCTCTGTTCAGACTCTGGCTGTGGGTCCCCTGGGAAGCTGTTCGGACGTAAAGGTCAGATAAACTCCAAGAACTATCCTCAGGCTTATCCTGCAAACTTGAGCTGCTCTTGGGACATCACAGTGGACGAGGGCTTTCTTGTCAAACTGCACATCACCGATCTGGCCACCGTGGGTGAAGCGGGCCAATGCGGCAAAGACAAACTCACCGTCATCGATAGTCAGCAGTCACTGGGTAAGACACGACTCTAAAAAAGATACATAGATTTATGTTTAATAAATGGTGCTTGCAAACTCTGGAACACCTTAGCAACACCCTGGAAACCACCCAAAAGACCCAAGCATCATGGTGGCGAGTTTTGCAAGGGCATTTCTTACAGAAAACATAACAATTTAGTCTGTAATCTACAATGTTTTGTTTAAAACCAAAAATCTTCTAGTTTTGCAATTGCCCGAATCTGCATTATTTAAACTGGGGTTAAAGAGGACCTATTATGCTTTTTTTACATTTCAACTTTCTTTAGTGTATACTTGCTGTTTGAGCATGAAAAACATCTGCTAAGTAAGTTGCAAAACACAAAGTCACTCCAAAGTTAGTTATTCTCTATATCAGTGCGTACTGTTTCTGAACTCCCTGAAACGCCTTGATTGTAGTCTCGAGTTTTCTTCTGGGAACAAACACGTTACTGGTCCAGCCGACCAATCAGAGTGCATTGTGCTTTTCAGAAGGAGGAGCTTCATAGAGACAGGGACTAAACAGAGCGTTACAGAAAGACTGAGCAGAGAGGTGCTGCAACAATGTCAAATATGTGAAAAATAATGTGTTTTTTGAACATTCAAGCTTGAAAACCTATTCTACTACAGCCCAAAATCAAGACTATGTAAAAGGGCATAATAGGTCCTCTTAAATATGTGTACAGACTTGTCCTATTCATGTGACACATCTTCCGGTAATTTCATTGGATAAAATGTGTCAAGCCAACATAGCACTGTGCCAAAACGTGGCCTATCAGGGATGACCTTCGACTCTGTTTTGGGGCCCATATCTAACACTAAATGGGACTGCTGGCGCAAGAGTAGCTGGCGTTCTCATCGCTCTCTCTTATCCCTTGCACAAAGGGACTGTAAAAACTGATTATCATCAGTCTCAGCGAGGCATGAGCCAGCAGGCGAGTGCACTATAAATTACGGCTCCTTATTACTGAACATCAAACAGAGCTGTGAGCAGCTGATACGCTTATCTGCAGCAGCTTTTCAAGGACTGCACGCCAGATACTGTCAATAAGTCCTGGTGCAGGTTGAGAAAGAATGGAAGAGAACGTGTGACGGAAAATACCAAAAGTTTGGGATGTTTGAACTACAAGAAAAGACAAAAAAAAGGACAAGTGTTTTACTGGCTATTTGCAGAGCAGTGAAAGTGTAGACTAGAGGAACAGTACACCCCCTAAAATGTCACTTCATGTCTGTCCAAACCTGTCTGACTTACTTTCTTCCGTGGGACAAAAAAACTGAATTGCTTTTGTCCTCGCAATTAAATTGTTTGACTTAAAACAAGCAAAATTATCTGCCAATGGCGTAAGAAAAATGATCTTGTTTCCCGTTTGAATTTCTTACCCCATTGGCAGATAATTTTGCTTGGTTTAAGCAAAAACTCACTTCATTTTTTTTGAAAACACAACATCATATTTTATGCCATTTTACTTATCTAGTAAAATGCATCTTGATTTAAGAATTTTTAGATATTTGGACTGGAAATGAAAAAATACTAAGTAAGAAAGGCAGGTTTTTTTGCTGTGTGTTATATATATATATGGTTCATAAAACTATATTCCAAGAGATTAAGTCATAAACAGACTTGTTTAAAAAAAACATATGGAAAGTTAACTTCCAATCACTTTTTATTGTAAATGCATGGAAAAGAGTGACCAGTGCATTCTTTAAAAAAAAAAAAAAATCCATGCAATAAAAGAACAAAAATCAAAAGCAGAAATAATTGCTAATTGTTTTAGATCGAGTGTCAAACATCTGAACACAAGGGCTTTGAAATTCATTAAATGAATAAAAACAAGTTCAGTTTTGGTCCACCAGCAGTCATGGACTGCATGGCTCATTTGTCTTGACATTGTGTCCTTACTTGCCTGTTGCAAGTGTGTGTATACTGTATGTGTGTGTTCTTCACATCACTTCTTTATTCTGGCTGTCAAGACGAATCGGTGTGTGAGTGTTAGTTCTGCTGACAGTCCGTATTACCCTGAAGATAGGAGTAGTACAAACAGTTTCAATGGAAATGCGAAACAAACCATGTTAACCTGAGCTACACAGTATATGAAATTCTTAATATTAATAATGAATTTGACTTGTATTGCAGGAATACTGATTAGCACACATGGCATGAGTTAATTTCTCTCACATAATTAGATGCCATTCAACAAATGAAATAATCATTAACTTCGAATGAAATAATCATTATCTTCAAATGAAATGGAGATGATGACTTCCTAAATGCATTTTTGTACTATTAAAGCTGAAGTATTGAAACCTGAAGCTGAAGTCTTTTTTAAATGCATAACAACTTGCAAACACAAAAAGTTGCCATTGTTTATTACAGACGAATCAAATCTACATTAACAACAAAGCTTGCACAGGCCCTTTGTTGAGTAAAAAAAGTATAGCTACCATTATTTTCTATGCACCAATAATAAACTGAACACAACTTACCTTAAAGGTGAACTAAGTAACTTTTTTACCTTAACAGAACAGCTTTGGAGTCATTGTAATGTTTATATTACTGATTTCGTGTTGAATGGTGGTCGTCTCGCACCCCCCTGGTGCCTGTGAGCCGCAAAACCACCCTTGCAACTTTGGGCCGGCCTCAGTGTTAGGAAGTATCGTGTGATATCAGGTCTCGCGAGGTAACAAATTGCTTTACGGCAAAAAACAGATCTGATAAAATGAGTATCAAACAGAAATAACCCGGCGCCGTATACATGAGGCGCACATACAATACAGACTGCCGACAGTTAAACAGGGCGCGCGCAGCTCTTAAAGGGGCCATACCTTATTTCCACTCGTTACAGCGTCCATCCTACTGAACAGGTACCGGTGTACAGGGGGAGGGGATCCGGCCGTGAGTGCGAGCCATCTCTGCGTGAGTGCTATTCACGACAGTACAAGTACTCCACAGCGACTCTAGGGGTCGCTGTTTGACAAAAACGGAATTCCTACTTAGTGCTGCTTTAAGTATGTACAGTTACAGAAACTTGCGGTGTATTTCATTTTAAGGTTCAAGGAAAATTAAAATATCAAACGGAAAACACGTTAAAAACAGACTGTTCTATTCATACAGTTATGGTCTGAAAAGTCTATTCAAGGCAAATGGGAATCGGAATAGTACAGTCAGGTATGTTTGTAAATATTATTATTATAAAGGTACAGTACCCAAAAATAGCCTGTTTATTTCTAAGAGCCAGGAGGGGGTGAATCGTCTTGTGAAACGAAATGACAACTGTTGATGTCTTGTTGATAAAAGAAACCTTGACTAACATTGTAAGCTGACTTAAGTGCAATTGATGCAAAACCAGTAATTTCAATCTTCTGACTTTGGGCAATAAGATGCATAGTGATGCAGAAACTTCTCTCTCTCTCTCTCTCTCTCTCTCTCTCTCTCTCTCTCTCTCTCTCTCTCTCTCATTTCCGGTGCGATTGGTGAGTTTGTGTGTGCGGAGCGGTGTGAGCGTTTTTTTTTTTTTTTTTTTTTTTTTTTTTTTTGATGGTTGGTTGTTATTAGGTTTTTGTTAGTCTAGTTTGAGGGCCGTGTGTGATCCGGTTTTTGGAGGCATGTCGGCCCGTCAAACGCAGGGTTTGAGTTCACTCACGAGACGCCATGCGATTAAGGTGGCGTCGGCGGTGAGCGTTGAAGAATGTTGCTTGGCCATTGGGGAAGTGGTGGGTCACGCGAGCGTTTTGTCCGCTTCCCGAATGAACAATGCAACAGTGGTTTTTCTGGATAGTGTGGACAAAGCAAATGAGTTGGTTGAACGAGGAATTGTCATTGATGGTGAATTCATTTCAATTCTCCCTCTTTCCTTACCAGCGAAAAAGGTCATTTTATCTAATGTGCCACCTTTTGTCAGTGATGGTTTTCTAACGGAGGCTTTGACACGTTACGGAAAGTTGGTGTCTGCAATAAAAAAGATTCCGATTAGTAGCGACTCGCCTTTATTGAAACATATTGTTTCTTTTAGGCGGTTTGTGTACATGATTATTCCGGACGATGCAGATCTAGATCTTACACTGAATTTTCGAAGTGACGATTTTAACTATGCTATTTACGTCACGACTGGAAAAGTCAAATGCTTTGGATGTGGTAATACAGGGCATTTCATTCGGAATTGTCCCAACAAAAATACTGAGGGAGAAAAAGGGGGAAAAAATGGAACAGTTGAACTTGAAGAAAAGGATGGAAAGGAGTCTGAGGCGGAAGCTCAGGTAATAGGCTTGGCTTTGGAAAATAATAATGTTGTAGATCGCACGTTAGAAATTGAGGCTGAACCAGTTCTTTCTCAGATTGAGCAAGGGAATAGTAATCCTAATGTTCTACCTACTACAGTAAATGATTCAAGCGTCTTAGACACGGTGGCTTCCTCTTCAGAAGGTAAAGAGGAAGGTGCAAATGATGATGAGATTAGGATAGCTTGTGAAGGTGCACAGTTAACTTCGGAACAAGAGCAATTTTTTTTCAAGACTCCCCAAAAAAGAAAGATGGAAAATAAGTTGTTAGACGCTAAAGTAAGTAAGACCGTTGGTCTACAAAATGAGGAAATGCAAGATACGGAAAGTGACAGTGACTCGTCAGAATGCAGTATGAGTTTTTCACAAGGTGAAACTAACGTTACTGATCGAAGTTATGGTCTTGAGGACATAAAATTGTTCCTCAGGGCAACAAAAAATAAAAGGGGTGTAAAAATAAAAGATTTTTTTCCTGACTTGAAACAATTTGCTGATCAAGCAAAAAGTGGGATGGCTAGTGATTCCTTTACCAACAAAGAAGTATATAGGTTGAAGAAAATTGTGAGGAACATAAACAGCACCCTTGAAAATGATGCGGTTTAAGATGAAGAAAAATAATTTCATTTTTTGTGGTAAATTGAGGTTGTTCTTTTTCTTTTTCTTCATTATGAGTGAAGTACATATTGCGTCTATGAATGTTAATGGGGCAAGGAATCCTAAAAAAAGAGCACAGATTTTTTAAGAAATGGTACAGAAAAACATAGATATAGCTTTTTTACAAGAAACTCATAGTAGTATAGATAATGTGGTTGACTGGATGAAGGAATTTAATGGTATATCTGTATTAAGTCATTATTCAAATGTGAGTGGTGGAGTTGCTATTCTATTTAGTAAAATTTTTAAACCGATCTCGTATGATGTAGATGAAATTATGAAAGGTAGATTGTTAAAAGTCAGAGCTGTTTATGAAACTTTTGTATTTGTTTTTATTTGTGTTTATACTCCAACAGCACCTATAGAAAGGTTACTGTTTTTAGATACTCTTTGTTCAACGCTTGAAAACTGCTGTACTGAAGATTTTCTATTTGTGGGTGGTGATTTTAATTGCACTGAACTTGATATAGACCGTAATCATGTTGAACCTCATATGGCTTCGCGCAAACGTTTAATTCATTTGATTGAGAAATTTGATTTATGTGACATTTGGAGAACTATGAATGATAATGAAAAGCAATATACATGGGCTCATGTACGCGATAATCATATATCATTGGCTAGGTTAGATAGATTTTATATTTTTAAACATCATTTGAATGTGTTTAACAAATGTTTTATCACACCTTTGTCTTTTACTGATCATCAAATGGTCAGTTGTAAATTTATTTTAAATTCAGTGAAATCTAAGAGTGCATATTGGCATTTTAATACAAGTCTTTTAAATGATAAATTATTTACTGAATCATTTAAAATTTTTTGGAAGGTTTTTAAAGAAGATAAATCTTCTTTTAAATCTATACAACAATGGTGGGATTATGGCAAGGTGCAAATAAAACAATTCACACAACAATATACTCAAAATGTCACAAAAGAATTGAATCGTTCTTTAATAATGCTTGAAAAAGATTTGATGGATTTACAAAAGTTGTCTCAGACCTCAAGTGATAGTAATTTTATGGAAACCTTTTTAAAGAAAAAAACTGAACTTAAAGAGCTATTAGAACATAAAGCACAAGGAGCATTAGTTCGTGCTCATTTTCTAAACATTGATCAAATGGATGCGCCTTCCAAATATTTCTTTGGTCATGAAAAAAAAAATGGGCAGAAACGTTTAATTCATGCTCTGCGTTCTGAGGATGGTATTTTGTTATCCAATCCCAGACAGATGCGTGAGATAACAAGACGGTTCTATCAGTCCCTGTACAGAAGTGAACTTGAGCCGGAAAAGGAAGGAAAATGCCCTTTCTTGGAGGATCTACCTAAGATATCAGAAGAGTCCAATGAAGAACTGGAATGTGGCCTAACTCTGGGAGAGCTGTATAAAGCACTTCATGATATGGAGTCTGGGAAAGCTCCGGGAGTAGATGGGCTTCCAGTGGACTTCTTCAAAGTTTTCTGGTCGGAGTTGGGAGTTGACATGCTAGAGGTGTTCAATGACAGCTTGCTAAAGGGTCGGCTGCCGTTGAGCTGCCGAAGGGCAGTGGTCACTCTCCTTCCGAAAAAAGGAGATCTTACTGAAATCAAGAACTGGAGGCCGGTATCACTTCTGTGCAGTGATTATAAGTTACTGTCTAAAACTTTAGCTAATAGATTGACTAAAGTAATGGGACAGGTGATTCATCTAGATCAATCTTACTGTATACCAAACAGGTCAATCTTTGACAATATTTCTTTAATTAGAGATATTATACAGGTTTCCAAATTATTTAATATCAATTGTGGTTTGTTGTCTTTAGACCAAGAGAAAGCTTTCGACCGGGTTGAGCATGCTTATTTATGGGACGTTTTAAAGGCTTTTGGTTTTAATGAGAAGTTTTCAAACATGATTAAAATTCTTTATGGTGACATTGAGAGTGTAATTAAGTTTAATGGTGGCTTATGTGCTCCATTCGAGGTCAGTAGAGGTACTAGACAAGGTTGTTCATTATCTGGAATGCTATATTCTCTTGCTATTGAACCACTTCTACAAACAATCAGGAAGAATTTAGATGGTTTAAGGGTACCATTGTGTGATGTTAATTTCTGTATATCAGCTTATGCTGATGACCTAATAATAATGATTAATAAACAAAGTGATATTCATGTTTTATTTACATTGATTGAAGACTTTGGAAAATGGTCCTCAGCAAAAGTAAATTGGAAAAAAAGTGAGGCATTTTTACTGGGGGACTGGAATGATATGAAAACCAATTCTTCCTGAAGGTCTGTGTTGGAATAGGTGGGGTTTGAAATATCTTGGAGTTTTTTTAGGAGATGATAATGTCATTCAAAAAAATTGGGATGGGTTATTACAAAAAGTGAAAGGTCGTCTAGACAAATGGAAGTGGATTCTACCCAACTTGTCTTATAGGGGAAGAACACTTATTGTAAATAATTTGGTTGCGTCACTTTTATGGCACAGATTGGTTTGTATTGATCCTCCATCAAAATTGATGGCTGAAATTCAAGCGGTTTTTGTTGATTTTTTTTGGGACAAGCTTCATTGGGTTCCGCAGAGTATTTTATTTTTGCCCAAAGAAGAAGGGGGCCAAGGATTGGTACATCTCCAGAGCAGGATTGCAGCTTTTCGGCTGCATTTTCTTCAAAGACTTCTTGATGGACCGATAAATGTCAGTTGGAGGGCGATCAGTGGTGTTTTATTAAGGACTGTTGGAAACCTTGGAATGGATAAATCTCTTTTTTTAATGGACCCGAAGTGCTTGGATCTTTCGAAATTGTCATCATTTTATCAGCAGCTTTTCAAGATCTGGAGTTTTTTTCATATTCAAAGGACTGAAAATTTTCATTCCATTTACTGGTTGCTTAATGAACCCTTGATTTGTAATGCAAGACTGGATCTGTCTGCATCCAATTTTTTACCAGGATTCAATAAGACTTTACAAAACTCAGGAATTTTTGTTTTAAAACATTTAATGGGTTTAACTGGACCTCATTTTAAGAATGTAGAAGCTGCCACTGTAAAATTGGGAATCAGATCTGTTCGTTCAGTAACTCGATTTGTGAATAAGTTAAAAGAATGCTTTACGGATGAAGAAACAATGATGTTAGAGGATTTCTTTTCAGGGACTTGTGTCACTGACAGTGAAGATCTTTTCCCTTGTTTGTTGATTCAACCAAATGTTGAAGAGTATTCTGGGTGTTTCTTTCAACAAAATAGGTTCTCATCTGTTGATTTTTTCTCATGTGGGCGGAAAGAGTTGTATAGAATGTGTGTGCTCTTTCTCAACAAAAAGACACTTGATAAGAGAGTTGATACTCCTTGGTGTTCGGTCTTAAAAATAGGTGATGAGGTAAGACCCGAATGGAGAGTTTTGTACAAGCCACCATTATCGAAAAGAACAGGGGACTTGCAGTGGAGAATCCTGCATGGGGCAATTGCGGTGAATTCTTTTGTTTCAATTTTGGATTCAAAGAATGACTCAGGTTGCCCTTTTTGTTCTCAAAAAGAGACTGTGTTTCATGCATTTATGCAATGCATCAGACTGAAAAATTTGCTTGTAATGGTGAAAGAGTTGTGCAATAAGTTTACCGAGCGTTGTTGTCATGAAACTTTTATTTTTGGTTTTAAATATGCACAGACAAAGCGTGTTACGTTTCAGTTGTTGAATTTTATTCTCTCTCTCTCTCTCTCTCTCTCTCTCTCTCTCTCTCTCTCTCTCTCTCTCTCTCTCTCTCTCTCTCTCTCTCTCCTCAGGCACACACTGCGGGTTTGTTCTTCCCCCAGTTCTAATCAGTGTCAGTAACAACATGTCGCTGAGTTTCCAGTCAGATGCGCGGCTAGCCGACCGTGGCTTCTCTGCCACATGGGAAGCTGTGTATCCAGAGGACCTTTCTGGTAAAACCCCTTACAAACTCATAAAGACATCTATCTACTCACACCTACGCACACACACACCTCGGATGAATACTGCTGATGCAGCTGCGAGCATCAACAGCCATCAGCAACCCTGTGTGTCTTGTGAGATTTTATATGTGTGTGTCCCATGGAGATTTTGAAATCCAGGTAATGAGGGTAGAATAACAATGCAGAATAACCATGGGAAAACAGTGTGGTAGACACAGTCAAATTAATTTAATCGTCCAATTTTAGCAATAATTTAATAAGATTTTAGAAATCTAATTATATATTGGAAATCTCATTTTAGAGATCTGTTACACATCTCCAAACTGGAATAGTGCCGAATCGCTCAAATAAATACTCTGGCTGACACATTGGCAATTGAAAGAGCTATATTTCACAGTACATAATATACACATTCCTGGATTTATGAAAAACATTTCCCCTTCACCAGATGCTACACCCCTAAAAAAGGAGAGGGAACCATCTGTAGTCATGCTGATTGACGCCTGCATTAACATGCATTGCAAGTGTTCACAGTTATGCTTGTCTCTATGACATATTCTACTTAGACACACAGTAAATTCTGCCTGTAGTTTCCCTCTGCCTGTGCAGTGAACCAGAAATGCATTATATACCGTATACATTTTATACATTATTATATATACTTATACATTTTATACTGTACATGTATTATGCATTTTTAATATAATTTTTCTAAAATACAAAAATGCTGTTAAAGGGGATCTTTTATGAAAGTCTTGATTTTCAAAGTCTTGATTTTGGTTTTGGGCTCTACTAGAATAGGTTTTCATACTTTAACGTTCATAAACACATTATTTTTTCACATATTTCACATTGTTGCAGCACCTCTCTTCCCAGTCTGTCAGTAACGCTCTGTTTAGTTCCTGTCTCTATGAAGCTCCTTCTTCTGAAAAGGACATTGTGCTCTGATTGGGCGGCTGGATCAGTGTGTTGTGATTGGTCAACCACTTCGAGCGTGTTTGGGAAATGTCACGCTCCTTACCATAACCACGAGTTTCAACACACTAACGAACTCAACCGTTTTTTTGCATATATGCCTTGGGCGGGAATTATTTAAATGAGGAATATTCTGACGTGTTCGTTCCCAGAAGAAAACTGCCTTAGGAGTAAATTTGTGTTTTGTAGACTTTGAAGACCTTTTTCATGCTCAAACAGCAACATTAAGGCTCGTACACACTGGGACGAATATCGGCGCGCGTTATTCGCCAGCGTTTTTCAACGCGTTTTTTGTGTTCACACCCAAGCGATTTTCGCTGACGATGAGCCGAGTGAACATGCCAATTCATTCCCTGACATTAGATGGCGCTTAATGTAAAACAGAAATAGTCCTATGTTGTAGTCGCTGTCGCGTTTGTCATATAGTTCTTTATGATCCGACACCAACGAGACCAGCAGCTCTACATTCATCTTGCCTTGCATCTTCCTCGTCTTATTTCTCCTCGGCAGTGTAGACGCTACTTGGCGGACATCTTCTTCGCCGTTACGTATGTGTGCTCGGCAAGACCGTTTTGTGTTTGAGCGCCCCCAAGTTGTGTTTTACTGTAACTTCAGAAGCTCCAGACACGTGAGTAAAAGCGCCAATCTCATTGGTCGGATAGTTTTTGACGCGGCGCATCAAACTAAAAAAACGAACCCAAGGCGTTTTTTAAAAAGTGACGCTTTTACGCGTGGCGTTTTTCGTGTCAGTGTGCACACTCACATTGGCGCCCTTTGTTTAGAAATTCGTCCCTGTGTGAACAGGCCTTTACACAGTAAAGAAAGTTGAAAATGTAAAAAAGCAAGATCGTACAGACCATTGGCACCAATTGTCTACAATCTACTTAATCTGCAGTCACATTTACCATTGTTCTGATAAATTTCATGAGCGAAATCCAGTCATTTCAATAGAATCTGCATGGTCGGGTATTTTGCGCAAGGGCGAAACATTTCCGCATGCAGATATCGCATCAGGGTCGGATTGATTAACGAAATCAAATGGGTGTGAAACCGACTTTTGTGCAAGTGGTACTTCATGCATCACTATTGACAGTGTGTGATGGACCTTTTTTATTGGCAACATTTTGCTAATGTGGCCTCACCTTAATAAAGTGTACAAAGCGTTTAAAAAAAAATGCAGCCCTGTACTGAGGAAAAACAGCTAAATGATCCCATTGTCATTGGGACAAAATATATGTTTAAAGTTAAAAGTTAAATAATAATGAAAGTTTCTCAATTCACCTGCCACTGGCAGGTCTGGTGAAAAGTTAATTTTGGACCATGGTGACATGGACCTGGGGCTAAATCTTGAGATTCCATGTACAAGCTGACTTCTGCTATAACAAGACACAATGTCGTGACATTTTGCTTGGTTGGAACAATTCTACCTTTTAACTGTCACATTTTATAGCCGTGAGTCTGTCCGAAGGCACCAAACCGCACTTATGATGTCCTGCAGATATCCAGGGATGTGGAGGTTTCTCACAGGAGGAGACAGGCATCATCAAATCTCAAAACTGGCCCATGAACTATCCGGCTAACAGCATGTGTCTATGGACCATACGCCATCCGAAGGGGAAGACCATTAAATTGACGTTCACTGATTTTGACGTGGAAGAGGCTGGCATCCTTTTCGGCCAGTGCAATGACAAGGTGGTCGTCTACGACGGGACACGACCTGGAGCAAAAAAATACGGTGAGCAAGGACGAGGAATGCTTTGCAAGGACGCCTGTTTATGAGACCCTTTAAATCAGTTAAAACTGTGACATATTTATAACCTCCATTCAGTCAAACCAGACATATGTTTATAATTTACCGTCCACTAAAAGCAGAGGACTTGCATGCTTTTAAGAGCTATAGAAGGCAATTCATTCAAATGAATTGACTTTCTTACAGGCCCCTTCTGCGGCTCCACAACGCCTGCTGTCATCGAAAGCACAACAAATGAACTTGTGATACGTTTCCATGCCGACTTTTTCATTGAGGGAAAAGGTTTCCGTGCTCACTGGACTACCGATTCTACCTTACCTACCCCTACCGAACCTCCGGTGCCACCCAACCCATGGGACGACATCACGATAGGTATGAGCAAAATCATTTCAGAATGAGATTTATTGGCACGTAAACATCATTTCCAGCTAATATAAATCAAGAGCTGATCATTCTAACCAGATATTGCATGTCTGTATTGTCACATTGGCAAGCACCAAGAAACCCCTACCAATGCCTTTGCAAACACCAAAACTGCATAGAAAATGCAGGTCATTCCTACATATTTGGAAGATTTTATGTTTTATGTAAACAATACTGCACATTTTACATAAAATGTTAATCAATTTTCATGCCACATTCATGCTGGGGCTAAAAGATCCCAAAGATCCCAAGGTCTGCTATAACATCAAGACACAATTTTATGACATAAAAAAAAAAAAAAAATTCTCTTTGACATAAAACACAATATATTGTAATAAATGTTTTTTTAATGTGTGAAACCATTTATTTTATGTCCCAACTCCAGTTCACCTTGTTACATTGGTGCTACTTGCCCTTTAAAATCGTAAGCATATGCCCTAAATCACATGACTTGCTAGAAGTGACATCATTTCTTTGGAGGGAAATTTCTAAGGTTGTGTCCAAAATCTATACCCTTAAAGGAATAGTTCAGTTAAAAATTAAACTTCTGTCATGAGTTTCTTCTGCTGAACACAAAAGAAGATATTTTGAAGAATGTCGGTAACCAGACAGTTGATGACTTTGACTTCAATAATATTTTTTTTTTCCTACTTTGGAAGTTAATGGGGTCCATCAACTGTCAGGTTTCCCTGGAAACATGGTCAAAATTTTACATCCGCCAATCACATTTTCAATATATTCCTGTGCACTACCAAAATATCCTTTGAAAACTCTGGTCTATTTTTCTGGGTAACTTAGAGCGAAGGTAATTGACAGCTGAAATCACTCAGCATGATAGAAATCTCCTCAGATAAAGCCTTCATCTGAATGCACAGACTGGCCTGAGAACTGTGGGAAGCCCGCGATCCCTCCCGCTGTCAACACTCGCATAGTCAACGGAGAACCTGCCAATCCTCACTCCTGGCCATGGCAAGTGTCCATGCAGGTACGGTTAAGCCTTCGTCCAATCTCACATCCGTCCCAGAAGAGATTTCAGATGTCTTATATGACAGGAAAGTTAATGTTTGTTGATTCATCTTATTAAAGATAAAATGGTGTTTATTCAAAGCTAATGATATGTGAAATGAAATAAGATATTACCAGGGTTAGTGTGCTTGAGGTCAGTTATTAACTTGTTGCTGTTATAATCATGATTGTTAGTTATGTTTGCGAAAGGAAGCATCAATATTAATATTGGTCTAACTAAGGACAAGGGATTTGATCAAACCTCTAACCCTAAGTGTTAAACATACTGCATAACTCATCCTGCACTGTTTGTATAAGAATAAAAATAGTACATTTTTATTCTCATGCATATTTATTGAAGGTTTGGCGTGACGCAGAGCCTTCACCTAAGTTGGGTCATACATGTGGTGGAACGCTTATCCATAAGAACTGGGTCCTGACAGCTGCTCACTGCTTCATCAGGTTACAAAAATTATTTACATTCTCTGATATTTATATATAACATATGCATGTATGTATCTATCTATCTATCTATCTATGAAAGAGACTCTTCTGCTCACCAAGGCTGCATTTATTTGATCAAAAATACAAAAAAAAAGTATACTATTGTGAAATATTATTACAATTTTAAATAACTGTTTTTTATTTGTATATATATTCAAACGTAATTCATGTGATGGCAAAGCTGAATTAAGAATCATTACTCCAGTCTTCAGTGTCACATGATCCTTCAGAAATCATTCTGATATGCCGATTTGATGCTTAAAGGGATAACCGATTCGATGTGTGTGTGTGGATTTTTATCAGGTATGCCGATGAGCTGCAGCGCTGGAAAATGTGTTTAGGGAAACACAACCTGACCTTCTCTGAGCCAAGCGAGCAGTGCTTTAACGTGCTTGGCATCTATCGCCACGAGGGCTTCCAGTACCCAACTGTGCCAACTGTGGAGTTTGATATCGCCCTGGTGCGACTGGATGGAGAGGTCACACCCACCGACTACATTCATTTCGCCTGTCTGCCTTCAGTTGAGGAGGTCCTGCCCGCGGGCAAAAGATGCTACGCCACCGGCTGGGGAGACGAAACAGGTTAGTTTACTCAGTTTAATCGCATGACATTGTTCTGTGTTGCCCAGTGAATTATAGTAATTCAACTGAATTGTAAAGTTTGGTGGTGGTTTTGCTCATTTAAAGCTGCTGTAAGTGGTTTTATTTACAGCACATAAAATGTATCCTACTTGGCAGCACTTGTTAGTCAATCAAAAAACTTGGAGGGGCTTGGAGTTGTTTTGAGTTTGCGTTTTGGGGAGGACTTCCTGTTTGTGTGTAGTTCACGTCAGGGAGTAAAAGGTTGTTAGTTTCAGCAGCTCAGCAGCTGGTCGATGTCTTCACTTTATTTAACATTATTTAGGGGAAACAATCTTTATCCTCTGATAGTCATTAAAAGTGACTGTGTGTTTCAAAGTCATTATAATAAATAATTAAAATAAATACAATCTTATTGTATTTAAAATACAAATTTAAATAATAATAATATTCTTGCATGCAAAATCATTGTCATTGTTATGCTAAAACTATAGATTAAAAAAGAAATTATTAATATTTTGAATACACTTATTTTATATTTTCTGTTTTTATTTTAATTGTAAAGTTTTAGTAATTTTTCTCATTTGCTTTTTATGTTATTTTTATTTGTTTTTTATTTCATTGATTTCATTTTATGCCACTTTTTTATTTCAATTAAATAATTTTATTTTGAACAGTTTAGTTTTAGTTAACAATAACAACACTGGATGAAATAAAATAAAATATAAATATTAGATTAACTTATATTAGAAGAAATTAAATGAAAATAGAAATGGTGCCTTGGATAACTGGTTTATTATATTATAGTAGATGTTTTGTCAGTGATGGATTTTTGGTGGGGTTTTATTTTTCTGTCTGCTACTAGAAGCTACTATTATAGAGTGATCTGTCTCAAAGTGTTTTACGCTCAGGCGATTGGATAGCTTTTTAACATCCCCATCTGAATTTGATTTATAAACATATTTGCCCTGATGTATAAAAACAGGCACTAAAAATATACAGATCCTACATATCCAATATATACCAGTACTCACTGGCCCACATATCTGACAGTCCCGACTCCTGATAGTCCCCAAAGACTCTGGGGTGATTGCTCCCTCTGCTGTGCAGTTTTGATAATGCATCCTAGCAGGGCCTGAAGTTAACTTTTTTGGCCACCAGCCACTGTGGCAGGTGGATATCAAAATTCACCTGCCACAGAGACTTTTTACCAGCCTTTTTTTTTTTTTTTGCCTCATTTTCATAGGTGAAAAACGGGAATTTCACAATATTGTTCTTTAACTTGTACACATTTAAGTGCTGTCAAGTTATTAACGAAATCAATATAAGTAATAATAACTCTTAGAATATACATTTAAAAAAAATCTTTTTATTCATTGATTTTGACACACACACGCACAACAGATCTATAGACCTACCGCAGCTCGTATGTAACGTTAAACAAATCACCCGCGGCTGTGTTGATGGCTGATTTAGTCACGTAGACAGCTAGGTCCTGACAGCTTTTAGTTACAGCGTTCAGGAACCGTTAAGCAGAACTAAATTAATATTATTACTGGTAAAGTTACCGGGTACCGGACATTTTCTCACCGGTTCCCAACTCCCAACATGTACTACAGTTGCACACGCACACATCTGTGCAACTGTCATTGTTCTGGAGCCTACGTCAGCGTTACATTATCTCATCCCATCTCACCAACAGTTCAATACTGGCACATCCAAACGTAGTCAGAAAAGGGCCTCATCTTCTTTCTGATCGCATGAACGTTACGAAACAACAGTCGCTGTCATAAATCAGCCGCTCACGAACCTTGCCGTTGTCGCCAATTGACCACTTTGTATTAAAATGTCTTCTTTTACTTTTCTTTGACTCATCCTCATCTTTTTGTTGGTTGCTTGTTTCAGCTGGCCTTTTTACCCCAGTAATGTGCCGCCACATTATAGCTAAGGTCCAACGCAATGAAAATGAAAACGAAAACGTAAAAAAAAAACCTAATGAATCACTCAATTCTCATTGGCTACCCGCCAATGTGGCAGGTAGATTGACAGTGTTACCCGCCAATAGCAAAATTCACCCGCATTTGGCAGGTGGTCGGGTGTTAATTTCAGGCCCTGCATCCTAGAATGCACAATCATATTAGGTTAGATTAGAATCCTTATTTATCTTCCAGTGACCAGCTACCTTTGCAGTGTGAGACAATAGGTAAAAAATAACTACTAATACATAATGCCATCTTGCCCACAGGTAACTCCACTGCTCCTAAAGTCGCTGAGGCGTTGAACCAGGTGGCCCTGCCGGTAGTGCCGTACGACACCTGTAAACGCATGGACTACTGGTGGTTCCAGGTCAAGACCTCCATGATCTGCTGCGGCTACACTTTACCTGATGAGCTCAAGTCTGTATGCCAGGTATGGAACGTTTCTGAGACTTAAGTACAGTTAACATCTGTTGTAAATTTATTCATTGGCCATTTCCAACTCTAATTTGTGCAGATTGTCTTACATATCCAATATATATCCTAAACACTCCAAATATACTGTTATTTGTAATTATGCTACCAAATGAAAGAGCAGAACAAACAACAAACCAACCAAAAGCTTATGTAACCGGTCCTACCTGACCCACTGCGACTGGGATTGAGAGCATGAGAGAATGCTAAAGACCGCAGTCTCTAGCGTCAGTTGCTAGTGCGCCTCTTGAGGCCAGGGGAGTGAGGTTTACACGCACAGCTCTTACTAGCTTACCTTCGTTACACTCACCTCCCTAAACCTCACTCCCATCCGGGTCACCGCACCAAATTTAACCAATCCTACTTGATTCGAACCGCTGTCTCCGGATGGGAGGCGGGCATGCTAACAAGTATGCTAAAAACCGCAGTCTCTAGCGTCAGTCGCTAGTATGCCTCTTGAGGCCATGGCGTGAGGTTTACACGCACAGCTCTTACTAACTTTCCTCCATTACACTTACCCCCCAAACCTCATTCCTATTCCGGGTCACCGCACCAAATTTAACCAATCCTACTTGATTCGAACCGCTGTCTCCGGATGGGAGGCGGGCATGCTAACAAGTATGCTAAAAACCGCAGTCTCTAGCGTCAGTCGCTAATATGCCTCTTGAGGCCATGGCGTGAGGTTTACACGCACAGCTCTTACTTGCTTTCCTCCATTACACTTACCCCCCAAACCTCACTCCCACCTGGGTCACGGCACCAAATTTAACCAATCCTACTTGATTCGAACCGCTGTCTCCGGATGGGAGGCGAGTGCCCTAACAAGGACGCTAAAGACCGCAGTCTCTAGCGTCAGTTGCTAGTGCGCCTCTTGAGGCCAGGGGAGTGAGGTTTACACGCACAGTTCTTACTAGCTTGCCTCCATTACGCTCATAACATTCATTTAATGTGATAGGGTGACTCGGGTGGACCCCTGGTATGCCAAGACAGCCCCTCTGCCCCTTGGGAGGTGCATGGCATCACTAGTTTTGGTCCAATCGGCTGTGTCTTTGAAAAGAAGCCCAGCGTCTTCACTCGTTCCTCTGCCTACCTGCCCTGGATTGAGAACATCATTCGCAAAGACATCTATGACCTCATCGGTATGTACGTTAGCACCGCTGGTCGGGAGAATCTTGATTCTTTTGGAATCAGTTGAAGATTTTAGAGTGGATTTTAAAAAGCATTCTCTTTTTCTTAAGGTTCTGGTTGTGGCGGACTGAAGGATCTGGTTGGCTCGGAAGGCATGCTGGCATCAATGGATCATCCATATAGTTACAGTAACAGAGCTTCCTGCCGATGGAATATCCGTGTGCCCACAGGAAAAAACATCTTCCTTCACTTTAGCAACTTCTCCCTGGAGGAGACCACACTTTGCCTCAATGACAAAGTCACTCTCAGTGATAACATTGGGACTTTAGGTAGCCATACCCCATGTGGCATATCCAAATATACCAGTATGCTTTTAGGTGGGCCACTGCAGTGTTTAGGGAATGTGTATGAGATATACCGTAATATACTGTGTATCCTGCCTTTTTTTCTCAGGTACCCACTGCAGCACATCTCCTCCGAGAGATCTAGTCACGGCTGGTGACACACTGACTATCAGTTTCTCCTCCAATGACAAAATTGTGGACTCAGGGTTCAGTGCCGCATGGAAAGCAGTGGATCCTACTGACATAGAGAGTGAGTGAAAAAAACAAAACACTTCTTTACCCTCTGAGAGAATATTGCCATTCCATTGAAAACATTTTATGTTAAAGATTTGGGTTATGGTCAGTGGTGTTAACTAAGACAAGCGTCAGTATTACCATTGATCAAATTTCATTTGAGCAAACCACTAACACCATAGCAACTGTATAACAACCACTCAGAACACCCATGTAAACGAATATATTCAAAATAACATCACTTCTCCTCATTTCCAAACTTTGGGCCATCTTTTTTCTGTACATCTCCAGCTGCTTTTGGTTGCGGTGGGCTCTTCACCAGTCAAAAGGGGGAGCTCCAATCACCCAACTGGCCCAATGAGTACCCAAGCCAAGCGGTGTGCACCTGGACTATCCACATCCCCTCAGCCACTGGAATCCATATCGTCTTCACTCACTTTGAACTGCAGGCTGTTAATTTGCTGGTCCAGTGTGTGGATTATGTGGAGGTCTTTGATGCTGCTGGGTCATCACAAGGTTTGATTATATACCATAGCATAGTAAATGTTTTGTTAATTTTATAATCAGCTGCATTTTCCCACTGTCATATTGCATCCTGTTTTTTTTTTTCATTCAGGCAAATTTTGTGGCTCTATCCCACCATCTTTAACTGTCAATGGGGACAAGGCCACCATCCGCTTCCTCAGTAATGATGCTAACCAGGAAAAGGGGTTCCAAGGACACTGGACCACCAATCCTGCTGTTTTTTCTAAAAAACACAACTAAAGTGGGAAAGTTGTGCGACTGACTGTACATTTTTGTCAGATATGTTGTAGTTTTGGGTAAAATCATACCCGGCCTATTGACAAGTCATGAATTAAATATTTACCATATTATATTCTGTGTAACTATTTTAGTTTGTGTCAGTGTTTATTAAAAACGTCCATTATGATGAGCCTTATTGTGGTCAAGAGGGTGGTTAGATAATGTTGGCTAGCCAATCATTTTCACTTCTGGAACCCGACTGTTGCACTCTATGAAGACCTCACCAATGTCATCGCCCTGATGCGATTGGCCAAAACGGTTACCCAAGATCAGACCCAAACCCGAGTCTGCCAGCGATGTTGGTTACGTAACAGGCATGGGGAATGAGAGAGGTCAGAGGAATAATGACCTGTTCATCTGAGTTTATTGATTTAGTTGAGCATCTGTTGTCATTTGTTCTAGTTGCTATTCAGTGATTAGTGAGCATCAGAGAATATTAATGATGCATTTGTTGTGACGGTGATTAAGATGCAAATGCTGGGCTATACTGTGCCCTTTGACCTTGAAGAAAACCCTTCTGAAATTTCAAGCAGTACTTGGACTAATAACTATTAATCATGTGTATTTATTTCACTTATGTATTTGAATTGAATATAACATTTCCATCCATTTGTATTACAGTTTTAACAAAAACAATTAAACTTGATGCATAATTGTCAGTCACACATAAACGGGCAAGATTTCTGCACTCAAAAAAAACAAACATGGTATAGTTTATTACCATCTATTTGCATCTATTTGGTTTATTTAAATAATCATATTTTCAAAATGCATTTATTTAGATTTCTGAGAATCGGCATAAATCTGTTAAAAAAGGATGAACATGTTTAAAATATGGTTAGCATATACAACAATTTGGATTTATTGATAATAATCCTGGTTGAGTATTTAAAACACATTCAGTTTATTTGTGCTATTACAAAAATCTTACCCGTTTGATTAATGTAGAAAAAGCAAGTTATTTGTTGGTTTATGTTAAGTATAATCCAATGGATGGACATTATGAATGCAATTCAATTACATAAATCTTCAATTTAGGTCTACATTTTTTTTTCGAGTGTAGGCTATATTATTTTCTGTGAATGGACCTCCTGGAATCAGCCTGCAGGGAATGACGCTTGAGCACATGCATGAAAAGCTATTGTATGAACAAACTTTGTAATGTCCTTCAGGTGTGCTAATGCTTAACTGGAAATGTCAGTTTAAATTCTGATATTGTTACTTCCTTCTAGTGGTTCCTGCTCCTGATTTCATACTCTAGTCTAAACAATCTCTTATTTTACCTATGAGACAGTCGTGGCTTAATGGTTAGAGTCAGACTTGTAACATGAAAGTTGCAGGTTCGATTCTCAATACCGGCAGGAACTGAATTCACAGTAGCCTACTCTAAAAAGAGCGAAAAAGAGTAAGCAAAAAGACCTACTATTTCCGGTGAGATTCTGAAGTGTGCCTGCGATGGACTCTTTACTATCCCTATCCCATGAGGCCATGGGAGAGGATTTATGAATGGCAGTAAAGCGACGCAACTGACGCTGGTAGATCACGTGATAATGACAACATGGCGAATGTAGTACGTCCAGATTACATTCATACTACTACACACTCATAATATATAACATACTTTTTTAGCAGTCGTGAAGTAATTACTTATTCAAAATAAGTACTACTCAAGAGTATGCGATTCCGGACGCAGCCATGGTGTAGGTAAGGACAAAAAGTAAACTGAGTAAACAAACTCACCTGTAGCTCATTGTGTCAAGATTTATTGTTTAAATATTTTCATTAACTGAGTGCTATGTAGCTTGCTAAATCTTATTGAATTAATTTATGAAATATATTTTATGGCTATAACGTGTATTTCAAAAATCCTCTGCAATCATGAAAACTATGCTATATTTTAATGTTTTACATTTAAAATAGAAGGACATTTAATAATAAACCATGGATAATGGAGGGTAAATTCTTTCTAAAAAAAATCATTTGATCATTTCCTTTGGCATATGTGACCCTGATCACATAACCAGTCACAAGTAGCACGGGTATATTTGTGGCAATACCTTGTACGCTGATTTCACGCAGCTGCCATTTTGAAATGGCTCCAGTGGGAAGAAAACCGGAAGTGTCGCCTTTAATCAGGAGAGTCGCGAATGCGATGGCGTATTGTTGTGTTTAGTGTAGAAATTAGTTATTCTAAAAATGTACATACATTTCTATCATATTTTAGACTATATACAGTGAAATTCATTTATAAATAAAATATTTATTTATATAGGCCTATATAATTCAGAACGTAAAAAAAAAGAAGCAGGAACGAACTATAGCCTACATATCCTATATTGGATATTTAAGTCCCCATGAATTCAAAATTGACCATACTTACTTTGTTTGCCTAAATTGATCGTTTTGTGGTGAACAATTCATCCATGCAAGTCAATCCACACAAAAAAATGCTTTGGCTTCGTAATCTTTAATCAAAATCTGAAATTTCCGAAAAAATTTTTGTACATTTCCTTCCTACCGTAAATATATAGCACATTTAAACACATGCAAAGAAAAACAGGTTTAAGTTAAATTAAATTATTCTTTAAAATGTGTACACCAAAGGCCCTCTCATACCAACACAGAAAAGTTGTGAATTGGTCTTTGATGCAGCTTCCCTTCCTTTGTCCCATGTGGAGAGACTTTCAAAGGTTTGGGCCAGCTGGTCATGTGACTCACAACACCAGCCAATTGGAGCGCAGGGCTCAGATTTCATCTGGTGTGGAGAGGAGTCACTAAACTCCACTGAGCTTTTAGGAAAGGGAGGCTGACTCCTCTGCTTAGCCTCTGAAGTTTTCCGATACATTTAGTCTGTCCAAAGATGGACAAAAACAACACATTATGAGCTGTGGACTTTGTTATGGGATGTTAAGGAGGCCTCTGTAAGAAAGCAGAAGGATTTTGGGGAATTAATACTGTTTCACCACAGGCTCTTCCTGGAAGAAGAGGGAGATGGGGGCTGGAGCAATAACCATCTGTGTAAGTACAAAAAAACATGCTGGTCAACTCCATATAAGGCTGCCAGTTTGAAAGAGTGTGTTTGTGTTTACACATTGAGGAGTTTCTGCATACATCAATGTGAATGAGTGCTGGCTGTGATCCTGGACTTAAACTGGGTGAAAGCCGCTAGACTGAGGTCATTTCTTCCCATCTGCTCGCAATGACTCCTCCTGGAAAAAGAAAACATCTTCTGTCAGCTTCAGTGAAACTTTATATATAAATCAACATTACTTTGGTGCAGTATGCATTGAGAACAAAATCCAAAATGTGTACCTTTAGGGGTACAACAGCTTGAGTTGTTACTGGGAACTGGGAACAACTTTTTACCTTGTTTACACCTAAAAGGTCCACAGTTGTGACTATAAGGGTACATATTACTACTCTGAAGTACTCATATGTACCTTTAGGGGTAGATAAGGCACAAAGTTGTCCTTTTAAAGGTAATGTTGGCAAGCTGTTGAACTTCTAAAGGAACAGTTTTGCACATTTGTTCTGGCAGTGTTGTAAACTATATGCTAGTTTCTACCTTATAATAGCAGGGATGTTCTGCAGCTGTTGTTAGCGTTCATTTCTACAAGCAGTTGCTCTCAGGACCACACACAGCATATGTGCACGCATGCGTGTGAGATATGAATGAACATGCTGAGACTCGCTTCTCACCTAACAGAGTTTGTGATATTGAACCAGTTTAGTTTTTGAGCTAGCTTAACTATTCAGTTAGACGTAGACAAGGTTAGACATGCTATGTTGAAGTAACTCATGTGATATGAGGGGCTTACTGAGGTGTGTTTATCAGACCGTGGGGGAGGGTTTGAAGATCCATTGGCCTCCCCTAAGAGTCAAAGCAGGGGGCGTCATTAAGTAATAAGGACATTGTCTAAACCTGTAATGGAAACTTGCAGCACAGACTTCTTTATTTCTCTCATTGACTGTGGATAGCATGACTGTATGTTAACACATGTGTGGCCCTTTCACATACAGTATGAAGTGTTGTGAGGGTTGGGGGTGACTTCATGGACATCTGTTCCTGGAGGTCTCTCATGAGTAGCTCAGACGAGCTTATGTTCTTAACGCCAAATTCAGGGACTTTAGGAAGCATACTGAGATATAGGGCTTCCATGCTAACTAGATTAAATATGTACTGTTCAATATACATAGGCTATATAAAATATCAAATAATATATAAATATATCATGTCTACACACACACATTGTGTTTTCATGTTTTATGGGAACTTTCCATAGACACAATGATGTATAAAAGTTTTACTATATTACTATTTTATACTATATATATAGTCCCCTCTGATTCTGCTCCTGAAAGATACATGCACTTATAGGAGTACTATATTGGGTCCTTCTACTATTGAAACAGAAATAATTGGTATTTGAGCTGATTATGCATTTGAGCATAAGATAAATACGTGTGTTCACAATGGAGCCTGGGTCACGCTTTGCTGAAAAAGGACATTTGGTACAGAACACCCAATTAGAAGATGCTCACGATCGGCTGAAGAGCACAGAATGAGCAGCAACCTTCTCCTTTACTGAAGGACTGCTAATAACCTCTGAATACAATACATTCTGTTGCTCTTTTATTCATCAAGAAGGATGCATTGTATCTGTAGCCTATGTTTGTGACACATAGAATGAATGTTACTTTAAGATCTTTGATGAAAAAAGCTTTTTGTTAAGTCAGTGTCCGTAAACTCTCTTCCATGATCCAACTGGATACTTCATAATTGCATTTTAAAAGTTGCTGCAGAAAGATTATATTTACATATAGCCCTGCTGAAAAATATCTTAGCTTAAAATGGTTTGCTGGTCTTAAGATGATCTAGCTGGTCTCCTGTCTTAGGCTTAAAAGTGCTTTTAATATTTATAATATAAATACATTTAAATTTCGCTCTCTCTCCATATGTGTGTGTATGTATATATATATATATATATATATATATATATATATATATATATATATATATATATATAATTGTTTAATATTTATTCAAACAATTTTGATTCATAGTATTATTATGTATGTATGTATGTATACGTGTGTGTGTGTGTTAATTCAATTAATACACTCACCGGCCACTTTATTAGGTACCCCATGCTAGTAACGGGTTGGACCCCCTTTTGCCTTCAGAACTGCCTCAATTCTTCGTGGCATAGATTCAACAAGGTGCTGGAAGCATTCCTCAGGGAGTTTGGTCCATATTGACATGATGGCATCACACAGTTGCCGCAGATTTGTCGGCTGCACATCCATGATGCGAATCTCCCGTTCCACCACATCCCAAAGATGCTCTATTGGGTTGAGATCTGGTGACTGTGGAGGCCATTTTAGTACAGTGAACTCATTGTCATGTTCAAGAAACCAATTTGAAATGATTAGAGCTTTGTGACATGGTGGAAGTAGCCATCAGAGGATGGGTACATGGTGGCCATAAAGGGATGGACATGGTCAGAAACAATGCTCAGGTAGGCCGTGGCATTTAAACGATGCCCAATTGGCACTAAGGGGCCTAAAGTGTGCCAGGAAAACATCCCCCACACCATTACACCACCACCAGCAGCCTGCACAGTGGTAACAAGGCATGATGGTTCCATGTTCTCATTCTGTTTACGCCAAATTCTGACTCTAACATCTGAATGTCTCAACAGAAATCGAGACTCATCAGACCAGGCAACATTTTTCCAGTCTTCAACTGTTCAATTTTGGTGAGCTCTTGCAAATTGTAGCCTCTTTTTCCTATTTGTAGTGGAGATGAGTGGTACCCGGTGGAGTCTTCTGCTGTTGTAGCCCATCCGCCTCAAGGTTGTGCGTGTTGTGGCTTCACAAATGCCTTGCTGCATACCTCGGTTGTAACGAGTGGTTATTTCAGTCACTGTTGCCCTTCTATCAGCTCGAACCAGTCTGGCCATTCTCCTCTGACCTCTGGCATCAACAAGGCATTTCCGCCCACAGAACTGCCGCTCACTGGATGTTTTTTCTTTTTCGGACCATTCTCTGTAAACCCTAGAGATGGTTGTGCGTGAAAATCCCAGTAGATTAGCAGTTTCTGAAATACCAGCCCTTCTGGCACCAACAATCATGCCACGTTCAAAGTCACTCAAATCAACTTTCTTCCCCATACTGATGCTCGGTTTGAACTGCAGGAGATTGTCTTGACCATGTCTACATGCCTAAATGCACTGAGTTGCCGCCATGTGATTGGCTGCTTAGAAATTAAGTGTTAACGAGCAGTTGGACAGGTGTACCTAATAAAGTGGCCGGTGAGTGTATATATACACTACCGTTCAAAAGTTTGGGGTCAGTGACAATTTTATTTTTATTTTTTGGAGGAAAGAAATCAATACTTTTATTTATCAAGGAATAATTAATTTGATCGAAAGTGACAGTAAAGACATTTATAATGTTACAAAAGTCTTTTGAACTTCCTATTCATCAAAGAATCCCAAAAAAAAAAAAAAAAACTGTACAACTGACAGACCAACAACTGTTTCAACATTGATAATAATAATAAATGTTTCTTGAGCATCAAATCCTCATATTATACTAATTTGTGAAGGATCATTTGACACTGAAGACACTGACACTGGTGATGCTGAAAATTCAGCTTTAATCACAGGAATAAATTACACTTTACTATATATTCACACAGAAAACAGCTGATTTACACAGGAATAATATTTAATACTATAACTGATTTTTGTTGTATTTTTAATCAAATAAGCGCAGCCATGGTTAGCAGAAGAGAATTCTTTTAAAAGTATTTAAAATCGGACCGACCCCAAACTTTTGAACGGTAGTGTATATCATTTATTTATTATATAAATAAATAAGTTAAAATATAAATATTTAGAATATATATAAATTAAAATTCTTTATATGTAATTTTCTATATACATACTATATATATACAGGTTTATTACTGTACATAATAAACATGTTTACAGTTACCTTTTATTGTCTCACCAAACTCTTTTCATTGAAAGAAAATAATTACATTTTTATATTATTGTAAACATTTGTTCACCATATTAGTGTAACTTCCTGAATGCATAACATTCAAAGTCCAGACCATAACAACCCCTGTTCTCTGGCCACAGCTGAGTTTGATATATTGTCAGCTGTCAGCTTGAGTCTGTGTGTTTCCTCTCACCTGGTAACAGGTGCATGGCAACCCCTGCTGACGTAGACACACACACACACACTAACCTCCCTCCCTCCTGTTTCCTGCCAGTGACAGATCCATCTACACTGGCAGTGGGAAAGTCTCGGGTATAGAGGCTGATATATGGACTATAGGGGTCTTAATGATGCAGACGGTGGATGTGGTTGACTGCTCCTCTCTCTTCTGCTTTTCAAAGCACAACAAGGCAGCGGTTCAGATTAAGGAGGATGTAAAGAGGATGGTGCAGTTGCCCATGCTTAAACCCTCTCTTGCCACCGGCGCTGGGGGAAAGAAGATCTTCGGCGTGTCCCTGGTGAAGTTGAGCGATCTGGGACTTGTCAAGGATGGAGTTCCTGTGGTGGTCCGGTGTATGGTGGAGTATCTGGAAAAGCATGGTGAGTGTCATGGTTTTCTAAGGTGTTGGTGTAAAGAAATCTGATCTGGGGACAATGATAAAGAATTAAAAGTAACCTGAGTTTTTCTCTGGTGAGCTATTATAATGCTTTAAGCAACTATAACATGTCATAATCTAGCATGCATTCTTACAAAGAAATAATCAGATGTCTGATATAGGCCTAAGCGTTACTTGGCAATTTATAATATATTACATTATTGTTTTCAGAGGTGCAACGGGTTCTAAAGTAACAAATAGCAGAATACTTTATTTTGCCCTCTTAAATGTAATGGGAATGATTCCAAGCATTGCATTATATATTATATACAATTTTATTATATTATAGCCCACACTGTTTTAAGACACACGTTTTTAAAAAACAGCATGTTTTCTTTTATATTAGACCTTTTATATTTTTCTCTTGCTACATAAAATGGGTTGTTAACATCAATGCATATTACATGATCAAAGGTTAATTTACATGTCTAGATTTTAGGCCAAAAAAGGGTATTTTTCAAGACTTTTGTTTTTGTTTTATAATATCAATTGCCTTATGTGGTGGCATGCATTTTTAAAGATACAAATATTTTACATAGTCATGATATCTCAATTAATTTGAGGTCATAGAAAATGTTTACGTTTTTTTTTTATTAGGAAAATATTATCTAAAATAATTTAGATGAAGTTCAAAGTGTGAGACATCTTTTAAAGGTTCTATATTACTTTTTTTTTGCTCAAGTAAATACATCATCAATCTTTCTTCTACAACGTGTTTTTGTACCTTTTGTACCTTTATTCACTATGGTAAGCCTATTACAGTATGTTTACATTTTAGACCTGACGGGATGGTTTTCGCGGGAAATTGCGTACATAGCCTACATCACTCGCCCTTGCATGTCTCCTCAAATCCGTAAATATAGAAAAATTGCTCCGGATCCTTTGACATGAGAGGTTGGTTAGTTAGTTGTCACAACCAGCTAGAAAGGTTGAGATAGAACAGCTAAATCTAGAACCTCCCGGCCCGGGAATCAGCCGTTAAAACCCCGCGCCAAACAGAGGAGAGTCTGCTGGCAAAAAGCGAACGCGACAGAACTCGTAATAAAACCAGATTCAACATTGGTTTGGCTTTTCGGAGATGGCGAGAACTGGTGGATTTGAAATGTTGTAAAAGCGACACGGAGATGAAGGCGTTATTATTAACGTTACTCAACAGGTGAGTGAGGTAGTTATTTTATTGAACAGATAAATTGCCATATGCGTTGCGTCTTTAACAGACGTATCTATTGTGAAGGGTCATTCATCCGCACAGTCACGCAGAGCCGAAGCACAGCCACTGCTAAATGTATGCAGTTTTATTTTCTTTAACCGCTAGAGGGCCAAAAGTTAGTGGCTACCTTTAAAAAAAAATGTTTTGCTTTTTTTTTCAAGAATACTGTGTGGGTATAATTAGTGCACTTTTGTGTATGTGAATGTGAACTGGCAAAAAGTCAAATTTTTCTTCCTGCCAGTACTACATATTGTCTAAGAAAATAAAATCACATATTTTACTGCTTTAGTGAACAGCTTCAATCCTTTAGCCAACAATACCAAGCTGTGACAATTATGTAATTGGGGTACCAGATCAAGGTCAACCCAAATGAAAAAGGAATGACGTGTAAATTCAAAGTAACATCTGATTTTTACCATATTATATAATCACTTTTGGAAAACTAATAACATTTATTATTATAAATAACATTTTCGTGATATTTTAAAGTGCATTTTGTATTATTTAGTTGAAAACAAAAGTTAACGAGCACATTTTTAAAGTACGAACATAAATGCATATATGATGCAAATGCAAGTATGATTTATGACACCAGACATGACATATCAAAAACATGACAAAACTGCAAGGTTGAAATAGAGAACAATACTATAATATTTAATAACACTGTTCATACAATTACTATATAAATCTGTATGATAAAAAATTGATCATGTTATTCAATTAAAATCAAATGGGTAACTGAGAGGGCAACATAAACTATGAATCTGAATATTTTCTCACTTCTTATTAACACTCCATTGCTTGAATTATAATTGTATCCATTAACCAAATACATTTTCCTTACTAAAAGATTAGAATTCGTTAGTATTATATTTGTGCCATACTGTACAAACAAAATCAAACTGGTTATAAATAAACCTGAAGTCAAGAAGCTGTAGTTGTGCTTGTTCTCCACTGGGTGGCGCTGTGCCCTTTCAGATCAACCAATCACTGCACTGGGCCTTTGAGAAAACATGGCAGCGAGTCTCTACATTTGAACCTGTTTTGAACATTTGAACAAGTGTTTTACTTGGACTTGATTTTTAAGTATATTTTATTACGTTGAAATATCTTCCCGTATTTATCAATATTAGCTCTGCATTTGAGCTAAGAGTGGCATACTTTTGTTTATCACTTGCTGTTGAAACCCTAAAATGTTAGTTTTAACTAAAAATAACTTTGCGTCTCTCTTATGATGCCACAATCTGTCAGGTCTTCGTCAGGAGGGTCTGTTCAGAGTGAACGGCAGCGTTCGGACGGTGGATAACCTGCGGCAGAGGTTTGATGCTGGAGAAGAGGTGGATCTTCATCAGGAAGCAGACGCTTTTGCTGTCGCCAGTTTACTGAAGCAGTTTTTGAGGGATCTACCTGAAGGTCTCATCCATCCCTCCATCCACAATCCTCTCATTCAGCTGCACCAGGGTGAGTCACCTGTAGTCTTCATTAGTGGGTGGTGTGGTATAGTGCTTAAACATCTGTGCTGGTAACCAAAATATTGTAGGTTGTAGAAAAAAAAAAAAAACGGTGTAGAAACAACTTTCACTCAAATATTGCTGGCAAACAATTACATTGAATCCTCATCCCATGTATACGTTTTTGATATGTTTATATATTATACAATATTATTTACACATATAAAACGTATTTAATTCATAACAGCAAAGTAGGTCAGCGGTTTAGTGCCAGTCATAACTGTTAGCTGTTTATCAACTGAAGGTTATGCTTCTATCTTAAGCACATGAGTCATCTTCAGGCCCGTGACTGAGCAGAGCGGTCTAAGGTTTTCTTCTGTTGTAGAAGTTTAATATAAAAAAGTATAATAGTAAGTGCTCTAAATCTTGCTTTATGTCTTTTCACACTGTTTGAAGAGCTCTAGGAGGGATTTTGGCTTCTGACTGGTGTAAAAGATTAGATAGAGCTTTAATAAACAGCATTGTTTTACTGGCTCACATCCAGCGGATCCATTAAAATCAGAAAAAAAATATTGAATTTGCAACTGTATCATCCTTCACCGACCTCTACGACACACAGAGAGGAGACTTTGCTTAATTACTGTGGTCTTGTGTCAGAGATCAGCAGTGCACTGATACTGTAAACGCCTCAGCTTCATATTAAAGACGGCAAAAAAGGAATTCCTGAAGGAATTATGTGAACTTTTTTTTTGACAGACTTGTTTTGCTGCAGTTTTTTCTCTCTCTCTCTCTCTCTCTCTCTCTCTCTCTCTCTCTCTCTCTCTCTCTCTCTCTCTCTCTCTCTCTCTCTCTCTCTCTCTCTCTCTCTCTCTCTCTCTCTCTCTCTCTCTCTCTCTCTCTCTCTCTCTCTCTCTCTCTCTCTCTCTCTCTGTTGGTGTCCCAATCTCCCTCTTTTTGTAGCATGTGTGAGACGCTATATATCCTGCGCAGATGGTGCATTTTGGGTGCCAGAAAACAAGGATTAATAAAGACATATTTGTTTTGGAAATGTTATGTATTTACGCAGAGACAGTACAGTTACACACATGAAATCTTGGATTTGATTTCAAACTGAGAACGTAATTTTTTTTAAATCATTTGTTATTAATATTAATTTATTTAAAAAAAAAATTCTAATGATAATTAGAACAAATGATTAAAAAAATGATCATTGTTTTTAATCATTTGTTATTAATATTCATTTATTTGAAAAAAATTCCCCAATTTGTTTATATTTTACCCCCCAAAATCTAACATTTTAACAGCTTTTAATATTATTTAGATATTTGTGCAAATGAAATGTTAAATTATTGCTAAAAATTATTACTAAATGTATTGCATCTTACATTTTGCCCCTTGTTCTAAATCACCCACATACCCTCATTCGCGATTCCCTACATTACTCCTCTAATATAGTTCACTTGAAGGAGTGAATGAAAACGAGTGAGTGAATTCGGACACTGAGTCCCGGAAGGGCTGCTGCTTTTGCATAGTTTCTGCAGGGGTCATATAATGGTACATGCACTTTTACAAGTTGATTGTACTGAAATGTGTGTTGGCAGTGCCTGTACACAACCATCATAAAATGATAAAAAATCCATCCAGTGTTTTTGTTTTAATCTCCTTATATGTTTTCCCCTGTCTCAAATCAAGCCGTTCGAGCGTGTGACGTCACAAGCTCGGAAGCCCCTCCCACGATTGTTGATTGACAGTAGCGTTTCAACACAGACCCGCCCTCGCTCATGAGAGCTGTCAATCATAGTCCGCGCGTCTAAGGTTTACACTTAGGGTACATTACGGCATGTTTTCTATGTATGATGTTCTCAATATAATTCATAATCCCACGTTTATACTGAACAACGCGTTATGGTTATTGTGTTACAAACGGTGTACACAGAACAGAGGGGCGGGGTGAGCAAAGCTCATTATCATTTAAAGGTATATGCACTGAAACGGCGTGCTGAAAACAGAGCTGTTTTTGACCAAGGAAAATAAGTGTTTTCTTACATTACTAATGAGAATTTGTTATTAAAGTATATTAGAAACTTTTAATTTAGACCCTAAAGAATCATATTAGCTTGTACAAAAATGGCATTATATAACCCCTTTAACGTTTAATAATTATTTGAAACTTAGCAAACTGGCAGCTCCAGTAAATGAAAAATGAAAAGATTCATCTTGACCTCTGTCATGGAAACCAGCATGTATAAACTTTAATTAAACACTTTAATAATCAAGTAAAAAGGAATTATTTATACCTGTATGATATTACGCTGTACCCACATTGGACCAGGGGTTTGGAAGATGGATGGATGAATGATTCAGCTGCGGACGCCATCTTCACACTCGTTATTGCGGTGCATTGTGGGATTGAATGAGTGCAGACGATCATAGATATCCATAATAACGGCTAGATGTCTCGTCCGCGCTGCTGGCCAATGGAGGTCGACGTCCGCACCTGGCGGCCATCTTGTCACAGGCAGCTCGCTCACTCGTAACATTGTGTTTTAATGGTGCATGTACTTTTTAAATTACCATAGCTTGCTCAATTTTCTACCGATTTTCAAACGGTTTGGTTTGTTATAAACGTCAGAGATGTAGTTATGACACTGCATACTTATGAATAATAAGTGTATAAATAAATAATCATCCAGAATTATAGCCACGTTAATAACGTTTCTAAGAAACCAAACCGTTTGTAAATCCGTCAAGATTTCAACGAGATAAGAGTATTTGTGTTTGTGCGGATCACTCATCTTACATCAGGCATCACAGAGCCCGCCAGAAAGCTTGCCTGTGACAAGATGGCCGCCGGTGATGACGATAGAGACTCCACCGTAAGACATCTAGCCTTTATTATGGATATCTATGCACACGATAACGTCCACTATGGTTTCGGACACCACTACAAATACCTGTTTTAGGTTAGACGATTTCGGACACAGCCATTCTAATAGTGGGGTTCTCTTTAGTGGTTATGAAGCAGACACACTTCAGCAATTTTGTCCAACTGTCTATACTAGAGACTTTAGCATGACGTGATCCTTTCTCTTCCTGTCACCCTTCCCCTACTTCTTACAGAGCAGTTTTGAGTCAGCTTTTGCACTTCCACATTTACTACTCGCCTTAAAACCACCACAAATAATACTTGTCGCCACTTCCTGTTTTCCAGCTTTTTCCCAACCACTGTTCTGGAGCTCTGTTTCTATTTGAAAATCATCTAAAATAGAACATGTATAACTTTTGCAATATTATTATTTACAGCTTAGATTTTAGCTTTACTGGACACATCTCTTTTATCTGAATTATATGAATGTCTTTCTTTTAAAATATGAAAACCTTCATTCAATTTCTGTCAGAATCTGATGAGGATTACTTCTGTAAGGACCTGCGTGAGCTCCTACATCAGCTGCCAGATATCCACTACAGTCTCCTGCATTACCTATGTCACTTCCTGTCCCAGGTGGAACAGGAACACGCTCATAACCGCATGACTGCGACCAACCTGGCAACAGTGTTTGGGCCCAACGTCTTCAAGTAAGTCACAGTCGCACAGTTCAACACAAGCAAACCAATGAAACGGATCAAGTCAAATTTTTAACTTTACATTTAAGTTTTGTAGCACAGGTTCATTTCTGAAAGCTGTAAATGCTTTTCCCTGAAATAATCAGAATAATTTTAGCTCTTTGTGCATGTATCCGCAAGCTATGTGAATCATGTCTCGACTGCCCAATGTCAATAGCTGCATGTTATGTAATATTGGTGTCATGTTCTCAGTCTTGCTTCTCATTGGCTGTATTGTGGAGTGATCAGCACTTACACTTCACACAAACCCTGACCAAACCCACATACCAGTGCATAGTTTAAATGCTCTGCTGTGATGAATGATTTTGTTCACATATATATTAAGGCTGTCAAAATGAATGTGTTAACACATGCAATTAAAATATTTAATGCAATTAGCATAGCATCCGTTTTTTCCTGGCATCCTAATGTTTCATTATATGATGACACTAACATTCATTCAAGTGCTATTAAACTATTCAAGCATGATTAGACACTAAAAAGAACTGGCATGCTGTCTGTCAAGCGGCTCTCTGTGAACAAACACCCAAAACGTGCAAAGAAAGCATTGTGAGAAACTAGGACGCGTGTCAGATCCGCATCATGTTCGACAGGTCTTAAAGTGACAGCAGCCAAATAAACCCGCTGTCATTAAGGATAATCAAAGAACAAAAGAAAGAGGCATCACTCACTGCTCTTGACTGAATAACTTTTGTTACTTTAATAAGGATTAATCTATATTCAATTTATAATTTTTGCAGTGAAGACTGCACAGATACAGAAGTGATTCAATATCTCTATATTTACCCGTTAAAATATACGTTAGTCTTTTTTACGTTAGTCTTACCTGAAAATCTTAAAGTTTTGTTTACATGGTTTCATGGGTCAAAAACAACTTTTCTTTGTGCATTTTAGCAGCGCAGGTAAAAATCTAAACCGGTCTGACTGGGCCAGTAGAAAAAACAACTCTTAGTGTTGAGCCCTGACCCGTTTATGTGAAGATTCGCTTTAAGTTCACTTAAATTAAAAGTCGTTATATTGTTTAAGCCTATTACATGTTAAAAATTATAGCTTTCAACTAAACTGTGATGTTGAATGGCTGTTGTTTCTACATTATTTTGGAGATTCTTTGTCAAAGTATTACAATCTAAAAATATATGAAAAACTTTTGTATATACAGTTGTGGTCAAAATGAATGGCACCCCTGGTCAATATGATTAAAAAATGGCTGTAAAAAATAAATCTCCATTCTTAATCTGCATTGTTGTTCAATTCTTTACTTCAATGAAAGGTTAGATTTTTGCCATTTTTTTGAATGAAAGATCAAAAGGATTAACAATGCAGATTTATTTTTTACAGTCATTCTTGATCATATTTACCAGGGGTGCCATTAATTCTGACCACAACTGTATATACAAATATATGAAATGTGAGGGTTTTTTTTTAAACCAATTGACAGCACTAATATATATATATATATTGTAAATGTATGTGTGTGTGTGTGTAAAGAAATAGTGTATAAAGAATATGGCAGCCCATTTTTGCAACATAATTATGATTTACCAAAGCATGATTTTTTTCATATGATACTAATTAGAAATCGTGACAAAAAAAAATAATTTGTCATAATTATGACTTGTCTTACATGACTTTCACATAATTTAAACGTTTCATGCCATAATTGTGATTTACCAAACCATGATAATTTTTTTCCTAATGTGATGGGAACATTCCTATACATTTTAACCTAAAATCTTGATGTAATTATCATTGTTTGTGTAATAAAGCATGTTTTATCCCAATCTTATGTCTAGCTATATCCTGGCTTTCGACTCCAACAGAGGGGGCCAAAGTCCAGGTGGAATTCTTTACTCAATGTCAGCGCTAACACAAATAGCACTTACATACTTCCTATGGTCATAAATTCTTTGGTTGTTATTTTCAGCCACAGAAACATTTAGGCTGATTATTCACAAGTGAATTACTCCGACAAATAACAGCCCAAGATTATTTGAGAGACCATCTGCCCCTACAAAGTTGTGTGCGACTAACTATATATTCAGTTTCAAGCAAACACTGTTCAATATTTCCAATGTAGTTTTTCTTAAGTAAGCTGGACATAAAGTAATGCGATTTTAAAGAAATTAAATTAAATAATTGATCAATATGGTTTTATATGGTACCTGTTACAGTATAGTGACTAACCCCAAGTAAGTTCCCAGCTGATGCAATATGAGCGCAACCCCTAATAATATATCAGCCACTCAGTTTCAGGGAATCCCTGTCACCACAGCGTGTGTGTGTGACACCTCAGCGTTTGTGGATATGTGATGTGTGTAACCATGGCTCAGTGAGGTGGAAGTGACAAAACTGTTGCCTGTTTTAGCCACATACCTCTCCGGCTTGTACCCTAGTACGACATGTTCTTTTTGTCAGGAATAATTAAACCACAAATACAGCTGTCAGTCGAGCACTCGGGCGACCCCATACAGAAGCAGCATTTGAAGATTTATGATTCCCTATCATGGGGTAGTATCTCAGTGTGACTCCACACACTGAGGGGAATAATATTTTTTATTTATTTATATCTACTCTTGTAGGCCCTTGCACACTGAGTCCGAAACTCGCGTCCGAAATTTTCGCACGTTAAAAAATAAATACGACCTCACGTTATGTCAATCACGCTTGCACACTGCCTCCGAAACTTTCGTCCGCCATAAAAAAATTCGGATCGGGTTCGATTTTCTGCGTTTTTCGCATCCGTAGCAAGCAGTTTGAATGGTGTTTTGACAATTCAGAGCCACCGAACCATGAATACGAAAAAACGTATACAACAATTTCGGACTCGGTGTGCAACAGCTTTTAATCTTAATAATCTTTTCTTTTCTTTTTTTTTACCTTTTACCTAAATAACAATAAATTGAATTTGACTCTGAAGTGTAACCTAGATCCCATGAGGACACTTTTTAAAAAAACAACATAAAATCAGATTTGTAGTTTTCACAGCATGTTTGTGTATGTGCTTTTTATTCTGCAGTGTGTCACCTGGTTTTGATGGTATACGGGAACAGAATATCTGTAATAGCATTATGGCCAAGCTGATCCAGAAGTCCAGCGCCATCTTTGAGTCTGTGGTGGAGAGAAGACAGATTGAAAAGGGACCTTCAAACATCCTCATGGTCAAAGTGAGTGTTGACATAACGCATTAACTCCCAGTAAACCGACACTTCACTTGCCTTTGGTTGGCAATCATCTAATATGTGTTAGAATTTTTTGTAAGAGAAATAATTATAAATGTGCAGTGCAAGGGAACAGAATACTCTTTAATGCATAATATTAGTAAATTCAACTAAAACTAAACTAAAATTGGGGTCGCAATCAGTGTTCTTGTCGTATCATAACTATACTATCTTAATATTTATTAATATTTTGAATTCATTCTTTTTATATTTTCCTTTTTTCAGTTTTAGTTGTTTTAGTAATTTTGTTGTTTTTAGTCCTTTTTATAGTTTTTTTTGTCCGTATAATTAATATCAGTTTCAGTTTTAGTACTTGTAGTACTTCAACTTCAAACGAAAGTTAGAAATGTTGCCTTTTGTTGTGTTTTAGTTCTATTTTTTTTTTCTGTATAATTTTATTTCAGTTTTATTAATTGTAATACTTACTAGGGCTGGGAAAAAAATCGATTTGATTTAAAAATCGAGTTGGTTGGTCAAATCGATTCATATTTTCATAAATATTATATTCATATTTTTTCCTCCCCATTATAAATAATTTGGATGTTTAGTAGGGGTGGAACGGTACACAGAAGTCACGGTTCGGTTCATACCTCGGTTCAGACATCACGGTTCGGTACGATTTCGGTACAATGGAGTGAAAAGCAAAGCAAAAATGCAGAAGGCATTTTTATAAATGTCTTAAACCTTGTATTTTTTTAAATAAGTTTTATTAATAAAGGCATAGAACCAGTTTATTTGTAGTGCACTGACAGTAGTTTTATATAATTAGTTTATTAATTAAATTATTAAAAAGACGAAAAGACCTTGAGATATGTTTGGTAATTGTACCTGAATGAATTTAAAATTAATTTGCTATTTCAGATCAAGATATTTGTTTTCCTTCATTTTAATTAACTAACTTTATTCTCATCTGAATTATAAATAATTGATTTCCGTATAAAATAATACTACCATAAAAACTTTTGTTAACAGTTGTAGGTTACAGTTTGACAAGAGTTTAGAGTGTGACAAAAGCACAATGTTGTGTTTTATTGCCAGTGTACACAAATATAAGTAAACAATTTGCAGTTTTAATGATGTCCTGTATGAAAAAAATGACGGAGTATGTTTTTACGTTTCCACTGTTCGATCGCCCGTGCCTCTCTCTCTCTCACACACACACTGTTCATCGCGCGATTCGCGCCCGCGCCTCTCTCTCTCTCTCGCACGCGCGCGCACACACACACACACACTGTTCATCGCGCGATTCGCGCCCGCGCCTCTCTCTCTCGCGCGCGCGCACACACACACACACACACACACACACACACACACACACACACACACACACACACACACACACACACACACACACACACACACACACACACACACACACACTGTTCATCGGGGAAAAAATCGCCTAGCTCTAATACTTACATTAAAAATTTTGAAATTTTGCCTTTCTAAATAACTGCTAATAATTTTAATAATTTTATATTCTATTTTATTTCTGTTAACATTTAATTGATTTAATTAAACATTTTTGTTTTTGTTGTATTTTTAGTTTTACTTGCGATACAAGTTTGAATTTGGCTTGCCACATTTCCCCATCCCATTCTTGAATGCCTTCAGTAGTGCAGACCAACTGAGATCCCCACACTCGCACACCCCTAAACATGCCGCTCTCTCCTGCTTTATCCTGGTTGTCACATGCACGGCTCGTGTGTCTCCCTGACCTTGCTTTGTTGCCGGCTGCACTGACTCTCCAAAACTTCAAGATGTCATCGCACTCTCTTATCTCTCTTCTGCCACCATCAACAATGTTTGCTTTTCTGCATTTGCACTTCAGTTTCAATTGTCACATGAAAGCAATTTCTTCTGAAGTGCAGAGCAGTCATGTGCACTGATGCTTCATTGCTGTGGTCAGTGGGTACATGTGGACTCACGTGAATCCCTGTGTATTGTTTTGTTCCCAGGAGGCCAACACAAACACCGAAAACACAGAGATGCCGCCTTACAATCCTGCTCCGAAGGCACACACTCCACGTGTCAAGAAGATCAAGGTACGGCTGATCGTATGTGTGTGAGTGTATGCCTGTATATGCAACCTGCTACGGTACACTGAGTCAGTGTGGGTATGTTTCCATAGTCATATGCACTTATAGTGTCAAACCCTGTTAAATTCCTGTGACGTAGCAACTCAGAAACACCAGCAATCCAATAACACTACTCACCCTGAGGTGAAAGGTACAATCACAAGACTCAGCTTTCAGTTTAATCCAAATGATGCAGATCTTAAGTCAGTCAAAGGCTATTTTTTTAAGCCCAGTAATGCAGTCATTTGGGTTACTTTTTCTTTAAAAGCACATCAAGATGATTACCACAGAAGGGGATGGGACATAAAATTGGGGGCTCGTCCGGGATACTAAAACACTTGATATTCATATCATGTTGACTTTGGATGGAATTCAGGCCCCGACGTTACACGTATTTGTCTTTCCGATTGGTATTAAAGTTACACCCCTGAGTATAACACAAAATGTGTTTTGGTGGACTACAGGATGTTTGCTTATGCCCTGAGGAACAACATTGAATGAAAGATGAGGAATAGATCTACAGTAGCTTGTGCCAAGTTCACATCTAAAACACTAAATCAATAAATATATAAAGTCATTTAGTCAGATGTGTATTTGCTCTCTTGATAAAGCTGCACAAACAGGCATCTTGTAATTGAGTCCCGTCCCCCCCCCCATGCTAGGTGTTCACAATATGTACACAGAATGAGAGTTCTGTTTTCTGTGAATTTAATTTCCCTCTCAATTGAATTATGTCAGTTGCGTATGACTGCGGCCATGCGTACGTGCTCAGAGACGCACTGTGTAGTGTTTGTGTGTCTGCTGGAGACGGGCTGGATCTCGTGTTTGTGTGTGTTCTCTCTATGAAGCAGTGTGAACCGTGACCCTCTTAAATGACTGGCATGATGTTTTGAAAACAATAATATTGTTTCTGTATATTGAAAAAGCTTATATTGAGGTGGTACGTGTAAAAGAAAAAACCTTGCCGTCTGGCTTTTCAGTACACTATCATTTAAAAATCTCTTTTGCTCACCAAGGCTGCATTTATTTTATCAAAAATACAGTAAAAAGTGTAATTTGTGAATTATTATTATTATTATTACAAATAAAAAATATGTTTATATCATATTTTAAAATGTAATTTATCCCTGCGATCAAAACTGAATTTTCACTCCAGTTGTTCACATGATCCTTCAGAAATCTTTCTAATATGCTGATTTGCTGCTCATTAAACATTTCTTATTATCAATTTTGAAAAGTTGTGCTGCATAAATTGTTTGTGGAAACCGAGATACATTTTCTTTTTCAGGATTTTTTGATTAAAAAAGTAAAAAAAACAGCATTTATGTGAAATATAATTTTTTTGTCACATTTATAAATGTCACTTTTTGATCAATTTAATGCATCCTTGCAGAATAAAAGTATTGATTTCTTCCAAAAAAAAAAAAAAAATCTTACTGACCCCAAACTTTTGAGCGATAATGTACTCCCCTGTATTTTATACAGTTTTACTGATTTTGAAATGCCCGTGTTTTTATTAACTTTAATGGCTTTTCACACTGGGAAAAAGTCAAATGCTGAACGAAAACACGACAATTTCAGTGATAAAGAGACCGTTTCATTCTTACCTTTATAGTCTGAAATGTCCATTCATTTCTGAAGCGTCCATCCATTTAATGATACTGAGACAACAAATAACGTTAACCTAGGGTTTAGTAATGTACAGTGTGAAACGTCAGCTTATGAATTAATAGTTAAAGGGGTCATATAATGCCATTTTTGTACAAGCTAGTATGATTCTTTAGGGTCTAAATTAAAAGTTTGTAATATACTTTAATTAAAAATTCTCATTAGTAATGTAAGAAAACACTTATTTTCCTTGGTCAAAAACAGCTCTGTTTTCAGCACGCCGTTTCAGTGCATATGACTTTAAATGATAATGAGCTTTGCTCACCCCGCCCCTCTGTTCTGTGCGTACACCGTTTGTAACACAATAACCATAACGCGTTGTTCAGTATAAACGTGGGATTATGAATTATATTGAGAACATCATACATAGAAAACATGCCGTAATGTACCCTAAGTGTAAACCTTAGACGCATTCATTGTGAAGCGTGCAGCTAGCGATTTGCAAAGATTAATATAAATATTAATATAAAGTTTAATAAAACATTACACTCACTTCAGTTGTTCTAGAGGTTCAGCAGGAACACGAATATCTGGTACCGATCCTTTTTTCAGGATCAGCTTCTTAGCAAAACCAGCTTAAACTGACCCTCGTTTATAAAGCAGTCTGGTGAGAAATGATTCTCGCAAACATGAGAGCATTGACGTTGCTCGTGGGGAATATTCCCTTCGAAAACAAACTCAGCCACTGCGTCTTCAGCGGTTCGGATTTAGGAACATTAAAATGACTGCTGTGTTCGTTATTACACCCAAGAACAGAACACCACAATCGCTTAGACGCCATTCTGCTCATAGACAGTGCTCCAGTTTATCAACAATGACCGCGCCGGTCCGCGCAGACTATGATTGACAGGACGAGCGAGGGCGGGTCTGTGTTGAAATGCTGCTGTCAATCAACAATCGTGGGAGGGGCTTCCGAGCTTGTGACGTCACACGCTCGAACGTCTCGATTTGAGACAGGGGAAAACATATAAGGAGATTAAAACAAAAACACTGGATGGATTTTTATCATTTTATGATGGTTGTGTACAGGCACTGCCAACACACATTTCAGTACAATCAACTTGTAAAAGAACATGTACCATTATATGACCCCTTTAACCCCGGGTAAATTATGAGCAGTGTGGAACGTGAAGCAAGATGACCCAGGGTTAACTTTTTCAAGTGTTTTTCAAGCCCTTTAGATGTAATAGATTATATCTCCTGGAGGGCCACTGTCGGGCAGAGTTTATCTCCAACCTCAACACACCGGGCTGGAAGCTTCTGGTAAGACCTTGAGGAGCTGGTTCGGGTGTGTTTAACTGGGGTTGGAGCAGGACACTGGCCCTCCAGGAGCAGGATTGGACACCCCTGCTCTATGTTGAGATCATTTGACAAACCACTGTCTTTTTGCCAGGTCACTCAATGCACTCCAGTTGAAATAACAGATTCTTCGAGAGAAAAGGAATCAAGTTCAGACAACCCTATTCCGACACCAAGAAAAAAGAAGGTAAGAGTCACCAACATTAGATATTCATTATATATATATATATATATATATATATAAATTTTTTTTTGTCCTGGGTAACGATTAATCGCATCCAAAATAAAAGTTTGTGTTTACATAATATGTGTGTGTGTACTGTGTGTATAATTATTTTGTATATATAAATACACACACATGCATGTATATATTTAAGAAAAATGTGTTATTTATACATAAAATATTTATATTAAATATATACATGCAAATATTTCTTAAATATATACATGCATGTGTGTGTATTTATATATACAAAATAATTATACACACAGTACACACACACATATTATGTAAACACAAACTTTTATTTTGGATGCGATTAATCGTTGCCCTGCACAATATTTTTTTATTTAGGTATCAATATCTGTTTTAGAGACTTCAAATATACACTTGTGTTTATTTATATATAAAGTGTGATTCATTTGAGTTTGCTAGCTACAGTATTCATTTAAAATTTTTACACAAAATCTGATTGTTAAGCTACTTCATATGATATATAAAGCTTGTAAATTACAACCTCCATTCACAAGTTACACATCAATAACATAATATACAGTTACTTCCACAGAAGATTAAGTGCTCGTTGTATTTACTTGAGTTTATTTTCTTTGCCCTTTATGTATTTATTATCAAACTTTTTTCTATAAACCAGAAGATCTTTAGATACTCATTGTGGGTTCCTGTCAGGAAGAGTCTTTGCGTTCGCAAATCTGAAATATTTCGACCATCTTCCACCTTCCTGAAATATCTCAGCCGAGGAAGGTCTTAACACGTTCCGGCTTATGTGTGGTTTTGTGTTATCTTTGAAATCCAAAGCTATTGAAAGGCCTGTGGGAGAACCGTGTAATCAGCAAAATGATGTTGTAAACAGATTCAGAATTGCTGATGGAAAAAAATACATGATGTGACTTTCATGAAAAATAAGACCACTTCCTACAGCGGAGACGTTTCCATTTACATAAGGGGTCAATGAAATCATTCAGCTTAACACGTAGCACTAGACGGACTGGCTTGCTCGGATTACCTCATTTTTGTTTTGGGAAAACCAGCATAAACAAACAGAACTTTATACACCGGACATTTCTTGGCCGATTATTGTCAAGTTATAGTTTAACGAGTTTGTTTACCAAGTGCTAAGTGGATGAAGGAGATGCATATTTCTTTTATTTATTGACTTCTTTTATAGCATTATGACTTTGTTTGAGTGGAACTTATCTCTCAAAACGTGAACATTTCCTTGTATTGGAGAATTTCATTGTACTTGTCTACATTTTATGATCGGATTTTTCTGTTGTTCTGATCAGAAGCTGACACATAGTCACAGAAACATGAAGGAAATGGTTTGTTTATCATTAAATTGCACTAAACAAGGGTCAAAGGTTACAGAGGCTTTATTTGTCCTTTACTTGAACTTTGCATTGGGATGGCCTTGGGTGTCTAGAATCTAAATGTACAGCATATTTGAGTGCGCAGGTAATTTAGGGCTGTCAAAATGGCTGAAAAACTAATATTTAACTTTAAAAGGCATATTTCAGTTAGGGGAAAAAAGCTTTTGGCTTGTCTTCTGAGAGTTAGGCAAAAAATATGAATACACTGCATTAGGTTTATTCAAAGCAATGAAATAACATGACTGTCTGGAAAAACCAACGTTTATAAGTCTAATATTTTTTTATAAATTGCATAAACAATGATGAATTCATCTATATTTATGTTTGCATAATTTGAGTGTTTTGTTTACTGTTCAGTCAAGGTGATTGATTATCATCACCTGTCATAAGTCATAAGTCTATAAGTTGAAAATGTAACTTGTCAGTTTGTTATTAGAAGACTTTCTACTAGTGAGAAATGAGGACAGAGAATTTTTTTTTTCAAAATCAAGTTTTACAGTTTACCGTTAAATAGAATTTATTGTTTTATGAAAACTATAAATGAAAGATTGGTGACTGATCACTAGGTCTTTTCGTTAGGTCACCCCATGCACTTCAGCTGACAATACAGGCCCGTCAAGAGAAAGTGAGTCAAGTCCCGACAACCCTATACTTACGCCAAGAAAAAAGAAGGTAAGAACATTTATTTTGTGTACCTTAAAGAAATAGTTCCCTGAAAATAATGAAAATCATTATTCCGTTCAAAAACCGTAAGACTTTCTGTCTTCTGTGTAACACAAAAGGTCAGTTTTTAAAGAAAATGATCACCCTTTTCAACAAAACATATATATATATATATATTTATTTATTTTTATTAAAGAAATTAACTTTTATTCAGCAAGGACACATTAAATTGATCTAAAGTGACAGTAAAGACATTTATAATATTACATCCAAGTTTATATTTCAAGTAAATGCTGTTCAGTTGACCTTTTTACTCCTCAAAGAAACCTAAATATTGATAATAAGAAATGTTTCTTGAGCAGCAAATCAGGTTTCTGAAGGATCATGTGATGAAAATATAATAAAATAGAAGAACGTTATTTTAATTGTAATAATATTCACAATATTGCTCTTTATTGTATTTTTGATCAAATAAATGCAGCCTTAGTGAGCAGAAATCCCCCCCCCCCCCCCCCCCCCCCCCACACACACACACAGCAGTTAATGCCCATGTGAAGCACACTGACCTGTTGAAGTTATGAACGGTAGTGTAATTGGGTGACCTTTTCATTCACGTCTACTATCTGTAAAGATCACACCACAACCCAATGCCTTTGTGTGACCTTAGTGCTTCGACCCTTCTATAAACAGTCAGTCGTTTAATGCAGAATTCAATAAAACAATGATTTTCCGGTGCGGTTTGCATCATCAACACATTAGCATATCGATGTCCAGATCTCACCCAGTTACTGTGCCTTAAATGCGTCCCACATGGGCTTGATCGATAGTGTCCTCTTTACCGTAGTCAAAGCCATTTCCTACTGACCGCCTGTGCCTTCGGGAATAAGTGGGTTGAAGATCAATCTAATCCTATTGTAGTCTTTGTGTTACGTGAATTTGTTGCACGATCTCATTTGCTTTGTGAGCTAAATCCGGTCATCTCTTCTGCTTCGCTGTGATAGATTGGTTTGTTATTCAAAAAAAAAAAATCAATGTTTAAAAGTTTAGAGTCTCTTCTGGCCAAACACAGTTTTGCAGCTGCTGTCCCAGGACGATGGTGCCATTGTTATCTGCGGTCCTGCTAAAACAAGTGGTTTAGTATAGTTTAAGGTCTGTTTACCAATAATACATGGGAATTATTCTTTTAAAGGTCAATTAGCTGTTCGGCATCATTAAGTGACAATGAATCGATCTGAATTTGACATGGCTCTTGTGCGGGTCCGTTTTTTTACCTCTTACACTTATTCAACCGGTTTTCGGCGTGTACAGCCTTTATCGTTTAGCAAGGTAAGATATGTGAGCTAAGCTTATTTATTATAAATCCCTTTTACTTGTTATTGTGCTTTATATTACTATCTTTATGTCAGTCAAAGGGTGTTTCCTTCAGGAATCAAACAAAACCACAGCTTCACCCTCTGTTCCTCTATCTTTATCTTTCTTTTGATTTGTATCCTTCAGGTGAAGAAGATAAAGACGGAGGAAATGCCTAGATGTTTTCCTCAACCGGCCTCCTCTGGTGATCCCGAGTCTAGGCTTTTGTCCCATCGTCCAGACAAAAGCTTGGGGGCTAGAGATCAGTTTCCTCTGCACAGTCCAGGACGGAGCATAAGCTTCAGCGCTGACGGCATGAATCTGACCCCTCAGACCGTTAGATCCGCCACATCCACTGAGACCTTCAACAGGTCAGTTTATAGCTTTCAAAAGTTTGGTGTCGGTACACTTTTTTTTTTCCTGTTTTTGAAAGAAGTCTCGGTAACACTTTATTTTACAGTGTCCTTGTTACATATGTTACATGTACTTACTAGGGCTGGGTAAAAAATATCGATTTCTCGATATTAATCGATTCTCATTTTTACGAACCGATATCGATTCTTAAAGTAACACTATGTTACATATGTTACATGTACTTACCATAGTAATAACAGTAAATCATACAACTAACCCTCAACCAAATCCTAATCCTACCCTAAACCTATAGTAAGTACATGTAGTTGCTTAATATTACTCACTACTTAAATATATAATTACACTGTAACAATGACACCTTAAAATAAAGTGTAACCGAAGTCTCTTATGCTCACAAAGGCTGCGTTTATTTTATCCAAAAATATGTAAAAAGAGTAATTTTGTGAAATATTAACAATTTAAAATAACTGTTTCTATTTGTATATACGTATTGCAAAATGTCGTTTATTCCTGTGATGCAAAGCTGAATTTTCCAGTCTTCAGTGTCACATGATCCTTCAGAAATCACTCTTAATGATTTGCTGCTCAAGAGACATTTCTGATTATTATCAATATTGAAAAATAGTTGTGCTGCTTATTTTTTGGTGGAAACCCTGATACATTTTTTTCTCAAAGATTTTTGACTGAAATGTCTTTTTCAAAAGAACAGCATTTTTTTAAAATGCATTTTTTGTAACAATTTCACTTTTGATCAATGTAATGTGTGCAGCAAAACAGTACGTACTAATGAAAATATAACCATGCAAAATATGAGCTTGTCATTAAGTTAAACAGGTTAATTACCTGCTTTGTGTTTCATTCTTTATCTTTACTACAGGGCTTTAGAAATGCCAAAGAAAGATTCAAACCAGACAATAATCCCAGTGAAATCTTTTATTTTTTTAAATTACCCCTTTTCCCTTTCACCCTTGTCCTTTCCAAAAATAGATTTTTGTTTACAAACACCACTAAGTACAATTGATTTGAGAGTTTTTGTACCTGACACGCTTATGTAACACCGTCTGGGGTGAATGTCTTCTCAGACAGGCTAACTAATATTCAATTGGTGTTATGGTCTTCATAATATTTCAACAAAATATAATAACATGCTCCACCTCTGAAACAAATGTACTTTTCAGCTGATGTTATCAAGCCCAACACCTGGTTCTATTCTACCATTTAGGAACAACATTAAAGTCACCATGAAATCAAAATTGACAAAAAAATTAAATAAAATTATTGCAGTATTTATTTAAAATGATTTATCCGTGCACATCATCATTTTTTTTTTTTAAATCACATCCCCTCGTAATCTTTAATCAAAACAACTTCCCCTTTGCACTGACATCTCTTCTCATTCTCTTCTCTGATGACGTGTTTACTGGCGTGAGGGCGGAGCAAACTGTCAATCACATGAGATCAACCAATAGCAAACCACAACCATCCAATCAGTTCCCCATGGCATTGGGGGAATATATATATCCACAATTCCCCATTGTAATATTTCATCCAACAAGTCAGTCTTCCAATAATTAACCCTTGAATTCAGAAAACAGTTTTTCAGTTGATCCAGCTGTCTTGTCAGCTTGCTGTCACTTTCAGTACGTATATGCGGACCTTGCATCCTCCTGTGGGTCTTTGAAGGGAATAGCAATCCCGCAATCTCGCCTTTGTGCCAAATATTAGACGACAGCATACTTTTGTGACTGCTGTAGAATTATCAGCATATACACCTCAAGAATCCATTTAGTAAAACGTTCTTGTGCAATAAGATGAATGCAATGATTTAACTGTAGTCAGTAATGATCATAAACATTGTCCTTGATGTAGTCAAGTAATTTTCCATCATTTCTCACAGAACAAAAGCTCAGTAAAAGGGCCTTGTTGTTCACTCAGGGAGGTGGTGGCTTAGCAGGATTTCCGTTTTGTAATTTATGACGACAGTCATGATTTTAATACCCTTGTCAGACTCTGTAACACCCCTTAAGAGCTCCAGTGAAGTGGACAAATATTTCCCTTTTATTCAAATTCTCCAAGAAATCTTGCGAAATGTCTTTTCAGGTACGTGCGGTACCCTAATTCTTAGTAGGCTTTACGGTGAGGTGGCAAGGGTCATTTCACATTTTACAACAAAAGGGAAGCACCCCGATAAACATACAAATGCACACTTTTTTGCTGAACTTTGTTTGGTAATCATGTGATTTATGAGCTTTTTGGAGCCTTTTATTTATTATTTTAAATTCCTGTGTAAACGGGACCTAAATCCTTTGTATTGGATGGTTATGATTTAGTGTGGCCAACTCTGATTATTTAATTCCCTTTTGACACACACACACAATTAGAACAGCGTTCATGGTAATGTCGCACGTACTCATGAACAGTGGATGCCAAGTCGCTCAATCAATGGACCTTTCAATGATCCCAACATTTCTAGTACTGTTTTTTTTAACACAATCCAAACTTAATAATTATATGGGTTAATTATAGAATTTGGGCCCACAAAAAGTTACACGGATTTCTACACAATTTGAATATGTACATCATTGTCCAGTTATTCAAATTGAATGCCCCTTTCATGTTTGTTTATGAATATTATGGATTATTTGATTAAGCTTTCAGCTGTACTGAAAAGACGTGGCTAATATGCCCCTTTTTTACCAGGTGTAATATAAGTCTCAGATGTCCCCTGAATGTGACTGTGACGTTTCAGCTCAAAATACCACCCAGATCATTGATTATACCATGCCCAAAATGCCCCTTTTTTGGTGGAAGCAAAAACACGCTGTTTTGTGTGTGTATCTTTAAATGGTTAGTTTGCGCAAACAAAGCACTGGAGTCACATGGATTACTTTTATGATGTCTTTTCTGGGGCTTAAAAAGTGGCAGGTGAGTATTTATTCTCAAACGTTAATTTGCATAATAGGTCCCCTATAATTTACAATGAAATATCTAAACATCCAAGATACATAAGATAATTTACTTGAGAAACAAAACTGAACAAGATGAGATGTTTTTAAAGAAAAGTTGTTCCTCACTTATTTGTGCTTAAAACAAGAACAAACAATAAAGCAACATTTATATACTTCCCCCCCCCCCCCCCCCCCCCCCCGCACCAGCCACTGTGGCTAGTATTTTTCCAAAGCTATTTGCCACTTAGAATTTTCACTGACCACAATTTCGACATCGATACCATGGGGAAAAGCTGTATTATAAATATATATAAATATAATTAATTAATTAATTATTTAAAAAAAATATTATCTCATAATGTGGCAACAGGTTTATTAGGCTGCTGTCACTTTAAGACCTGACGCACGGATCCATTATACTGTTACACATACGTTTTCTTTCTCAACTGATTACATTCACTTTAAACATAACTGACTGTGTTTACAAGACTGGCATTTTGACTTTATTTTGTGTGTATTTGACTTTTTAAGCGCAATACGCAACGAGAAATAACTCAATTTAGTGCTGAGAGGCGGCTTTATGTGTGTGCACTTTGGGTGAGAGCACAACATCTGTGGGAATGAGTAAAATTATGCCCAATAAGTGCAATCACACGCCGATATTCAAGCCCTGTAACGCCAACAATATTCATCTGGAGCAAATGAAACGAGTGAGTGAGTGGAGGCGGGTTTGTGTGTCACTCGCTGTCGAAGAGATGAGAGCGAGAGAAAGTGCAGCTGGTATCGTGTATCTATTCTGTGGGAAATGAGTATTAAAAGCGTTTCAGATATTTCAGTATCGATATGCATCGAAAAATCTATATTTTTGACATTTTAACACTAAAATGTGTTACTTTTTTACTTGGTTTATCATTTCAGATACCTTTTTAACCCTCTGGGGTCCTTCATTTCAGAGTCACACTCAGGACCTTCGGGTCCAAATGGGCCGGAAGGGTGGGATTAATATTTATAAAAAAAAAATCATCTTTTTTTTTTTTTACTTGTTTTTTATAATATTTTTCTTTTCTTTTTTGGTGTTTTGAGATAATTTCAAAAATAAAAATGATTTATAATTAATATTAATGCAATAATTATGACCCATTTTTTCCCATTGAATATAATAGAACATTTAAAAAAATTTTAAAGCTGTATTTCATTTTAGAGTCAAGCCTAGGCCTCATGAAAGCAAATTTTGAAATGAGATGGATGCCATCTGCTGGACACACTGAGCATTTAAAAAATTCAAAACCCATATGTAATCTGAATTTATTAGTGTGTATGTGTATAAAAGTGTGTTTGTGTGTGTGGATGTGTCTGTTTTGCACTCTTGATCTTTTATAGATTCACCCCTTCACTGTAGTGTGCTTTTTTTCTGGATCGTGGCTGATTTGTAGATTGTACACACAAAAAAAAACTCTGTATTTTCACATTTTTGCCAATTTCCCATTCATTTCCTATGCGGGTCCATTTGGACCCGAAGGTCCTGAGTGTGACTATTTTTTTTACAACCACTTAGACTATTCAAATCCTGTCCCCAATTTTTTTGGGTGTTCATATACCAAGTACCAACAAAGTCACCAAATTTCGGACCATTCCGATAAAGCTATGATTTAAAAAAAAAAATTATTTAAATGCTTCGGGTCCATTTGGGCCGAAGGACCCCAGAGGGTTAAAAGACTTTTAAATACCTTTAAAAAGAAGAAATTCAACCCGTAGGAGTGACTGCGTTACAAACCGCCACTGAAATCCACTCTCATGTGGCGTGTTGGCAGGTGTTTATATATATATATACACTCACCGGCCACTTTATTAGGTACCCCATGCTAGTAACGGGTTGGACCCCCTTTTGCCTTCAGAACTGCCTCAATTCTTCGTGGCATAGATTCACAAGGTGCTGGAAGCATTCCTCAGGGAGTTTGGTCCATATTGACATGATGGCATCACACAGTTGCCGCAGATTTGTCGGCTGCACATCCATGATGCGAATCTCCCGTTCCACCACATCCCACAGATGCTCTATTGGGTTGAGATCTGGTGACTGTGGAGGCCATTTTAGTACAGTGAACTCATTGTCATGTTCAAGAAACCAATTTGAAATGATTAGAGCTTTGTGACATGGTGGAAGTAGCCATCAGAGGATGGGTACATGGTGGCCATAAAGGGATGGACATGGTCAGAAACAATGCTCAGGTAGGCCGTGGCATTTAAACGATGCCCAATTGGCACTAAGGGGCCTAAAGTGTGCCAGGAAAACATCCCCCACACCATTACACCACCACCACCAGCCTGCACAGTGGTAACAAGGCATGATGGTTCCATGTTCTCATTCTGTTTACGCCAAATTCTGACTCTAACATCTGAATGTCTCAACAGAAATCGAGACTCATCAGACCAGGCAACATTTTTCCAGTCTTCAACTGTTCAATTTTGGTGAGCTCTTGCAAATTGTAGCCTCTTTTTCCTATTTGTAGTGGAGATGAGTGGTACCCGGTGGAGTCTTCTGCTGTTGTAGCCCATCCGCCTCAAGGTTGTGCGTGTTGTGGCTTCACAAATGCTTTGCTGCATACCTCGGTTGTAACGAGTGGTTATTTCAGTCACTGTTGCCCTTCTATCAGCTCGAACCAGTCTGGCCATTCTCCTCTGACCTCTGGCATCAACAAGGCATTTCCGCCCACAGAACTGCCGCTCACTGGATGTTTTTTCTTTTTCGGACCATTCTCTGTAAACCCTAGAGATGGTTGTGCGTGAAAATCCCAGTAGATTAGCAGTTTCTGAAATACTCAGACCAGTCCTTCTGGCACCAACAATCATGCCACGTTCAAAGTCACTCAAATCACCTTTCTTCCCCATACTGATGCTCGGTTTGAACTGCAGGAGATTGTCTTGACCATGTCTACATGCCTAAATGCACTGAGTTGCCGCCATGTGATTGGCTGCTTAGAAATTAAGTGTTAACGAGCAGTTGGACAGGTGTACCTAATAAAGTGGCCGGTGAGTGTATATATATATATATATATATATATATATATATATATATTTCATGTATCTGATGATTGTTTATCAATGTTTTGTAAAAATCTGATAAATATGTTTTACGAAAACTATGTTTAATGTATTTATTTTTGGGTGTGTATTACTCTGCTCCATTTAACACGTTTTACTGTTTTTAAACCATTTCCACAGATATTCCTCTCAAAAAGCAAAGCGTTGTTTTCTTTTCTTTTTTTATGGGCCATTCAGCTACTATATCATGACTAATTTAGCCATTGTTTATTGATTGTAATGCAGTACCACTGGTTTCTTGGAGATGTGGATTGTTTTGTTCTCCATAACAATATTGTTTCCCAACAAATCTGAATCTGTGGAACATCCACTCCTGAGCTCATCATGTTTTGTTGGCCGGACTCCAGCATGTGGAGTGGATACGGTTCTTTCCAGCTGTAGTAATTACTGGAGACAAGTCAAACAAAAACCCTGAACTGCGGCACTACGTGTTCATTGTTCACCAGACAATAGGCACTCTTAGACACTCAGACCATGTGCTCCAAAAAAAAACGGTTTTGTTTACTCTGGCAAATACCAGATATGTGTAGATTGTGCTGTTCAGTGATTCTGACCTGTTTCTTCTCCATTCCAGCTTCCAAGAAGATGAAAGACCGATATCTCCTTTTTACATTAGGTAGGACCAGTCACAGTTTCTCTCACTCTTTCTTTCCTTCTGTTCTCCCTGCTGCTGGTGTGAATGAACTTTTTATAATCTTTCAAAATGAAAATGATCTACATAAGAGTTGTTTTATTGTTCAAACCAGGGAACAAGGTCTCAATTTACGACCCTCAGATTCGACACAACAACTTTGTGTTCATTTTGTACATTAAGCTTCAGCTGCTAGGTGAATTGTGGTAGTAAAGTAAATGTCACAAATCTCTTTTACATAACACAACATGAACAAATGAAACAACTGAAATCCTCTTAGCGTCATGTCAGGGACAGCTGCTAATGGTTTTCCGGTTGAGTACGGTCTGAGCGGGATGAATCTGGGAGTGAACAGGTCAAAACAAACCTCTCCTGTGGTTGTTTTCTCAGTTCCTTCATGTGTGTTGACTCATTGCATCAGTTCAGGTCCTCTCTCGTACCATAGCAACTGACCCTTCACACATTTCCCATCACATAGTTTACCCAACCCAGCCCTCGCGCTGCAGACGCTCACTCTCTCTCGGGCACTAGTGCTGTGAACATGAGCAGAGAGCCTTAAGGAATAGTTCACACAAAAATGTCAATTCTCTTTATTGTGTACTTATCCTCATATCATTACCAACGCTTACGACTTGTGACACAAAAGGAGAAATCTTAATTGATCTTGGGTTGTGTTGTTACACAGTGTTGAGGTTTCAGCCAACCACTTTGCTAATGTCATTAACCCTTTAGCTGTCACCCCCCTTTTTGAGCGTTGACGTGAAAATGCACTACCCAAACTTAAACGGTTGTAATTCATGAAGCCTTTGTACTAAAGACTTACGGTTGGTCTCTTTTAAAAGAAGACTCTTGGCAGATTATTGTTGAAGTTGGAATAAATTAATAGAATTAAATTATTTAAAAGTTATTGAAGTTTAAGTTTATTGTTATGAAAATATAATAAAATATATATTTTTCTATTATTAAAAATATATATAAATTAATATAGGTTTCAGCCTAAAAATGACAGAAAGTCAAAGCCATATATCTAACCAAGTTGTGTTCCAAATTTGAAGTTGATATCACAAACATTGAAGTTCCCATGAGATTTTGTTTAGGCGTAATACCTAAAATAGCCACGGGTGCCATTGCATTCCATCTAAATATGTAACCTTGAGACTCAGACCTTTCTGACAATATGTGTTTTGTCAAGATTAGAACATTTTTGATAAAAAATTATGAAAGATGATGCCCAAAAGGGGAGGGGCCTAATAAAAAAAATACCGTTTCTATGGTAATGCAATGTCCAATTTCAAAACGGTTTCACAGGATGAATTCTGAGTTCGTAAGCTTTCAAATGATACCTAATTTATGATAACTACTAAAATATGTGATATAATAATAATAAAAAATTATATATATATATATATATATTATACTTTTTAGAGGACTTTTTACTTTACTTTTTAAAATATAATTTTATCTTTTTTTATTGACAAATACTAGATTATGTTTTATTATGAACTTTTAGCATTAAAAACCAAAGTTTCAATTATTAAAAGTGTGTGCGTCAACTTTTTGTGACAAAGGTCAGAAACTCCTGTAATGAAGTTGATTTTTTGAGGCGCACTCTTGTCATAAATTCATATATTACTGTTCATACATAATTTGTAAGAAAAAAACAGTGCTAAAATATCTATTAAGGAGTCTTAGACCTTTCCAACGATATATAGTTTGTCATGACTAGATTAGGATTTAATAGTAATATAGTGAAGTAAATTTAGGTTGCCCGTATACGGGCAGGTGACAGTTAAGAATGCAAGCAAGTAAATATAATATACTAGTGTGTTTTCTGTAACCTTTAACCTCTTGTTCGGGTGTGTACATGGTTGAGGTGTGTTTGAAAAGATGTCAGTCATTGAATAAATCATTTTAGCTTGCCAAATAAAGCTCTTATTAAGTTTGTCCTTTTATAGTTATTGGGTTTTCTACTGCAACAAAAAGTTATATCTATTGAGAGAGATATATACAATTATGTTGATCGGCAAGATTTATTTTTGTGTGTTTGAAAGCTGCTCAACAAGACTGCATTTATTTGATCAACAATACAGTAAGAACTTTTAATAATCAAATTTTTAAAATCAAAATGGCAAAAGTCACTTTCCATATCTACCCTCCAACATTAAGCTTATATTGATGACGTAATACTTGCATTATGATCCTTAAAGGGATAGTTCCCCCAAAAATTCTGTCATTGTTTACTTATAACATAGTTGTTATAAACCTGTATTAATTTTTTTCTTCTGCTGAAGACAAAAGAAGATATTTTGAAGAATATGAATGACGAAACAGTTGACTTCCATATTTTGGACCTGTTTTCGGTTAGCATTGCTAGTTTGGTTCCCTCCTGTTTTGCCCACAGCTGTTAACTAGATTTGGGAGATGACTGTATGGAAGAAATGACTAGGGTATCAGACTAGTTTTCATGCCAGCTTCGACTCAGTCCTCGCCCTTAAGAGTGCACCCGATGACCGCTGTGTTACGCAAGACCGACAGACCTCATCAAATCATCTTTAGTCCTCTGTCTCATCGCTTATCTGTTCTCACTGCCATATTCTTGCCAGTCTTTAACAGCATCTACGTTTGCATTCCTTTTGATACTGCTCAATACTGAGAAAATTGTTTACTCACTCATGGTGTTTAAATAGCGCGTAGTCAGCTGTGAGTGGTCAACTGGCTCTGACCATGAGAGCGCTGCTGGTAAAGACATAACTGTTGTGTCTGAAGTATTTCCGGATCCAAAAGATAATGCTGCTATTTTTACAATGTAAGAGGATTTACCACAAAAAAAACCCCGAATCTAAATACTATTTTTTTTTTTTTTTTTTGATGGTCGGATGAGGTTAGTAAACCAATAGGAGATTTCCTGGCTTCAAAACAATGCAGTGTTCTATTCAATGCTTTTACTACGGGGCTGTTGAATGCTTGAATCCGATTGGTTGATGAACGATGAAGGTGTGCTGTTATTTTCAGGGAAACACACGGCTAAAGTAGTTCCAGGTCTCGACCGCATTACGGTTCCATATCACCTCGCCAAATGATTTCAGTTATTTCTGGTAAAGGTACTTACAGACTACAACAGCAAAAGAACAAAAACCCAAAACGACACGGACCTAACAAAAAAAAATATATAGTAAACAATAGGATAAAAATGGTTAAAATACTGTAGGTTGTATCTCTGATATCAGTTTACAACTGTTTAAACCTGATTAACAGGGAAACACCTTGAGTTGACAAGAGTAACTATATATAAATGTGTATTACCGTTCAAAAGTTTGGATCAGTAAGAATTAAAACAAAACAAATAAATTACTTTTATTTGGCAAGAATCCGTTAAAATGATCAAAAGTGAAAGTAAAGATTTTTTACATTGTTGCGAAAATAAATGCTGTAGTTTTTCTGAAAAAAATTCCTGAAGAAAATATGTAGCATGGTGTGCACAAAAATATTAAGCAGCACACCACCCAGAAAACCCTAGCAATGGCCTAAAACTACTCGGAACACCTTAGCAACCCCATAGTTACACCCTTTCAACCACCCACAACATCATAAAGATTAATTGTATAAAACTGATGCAAAACAGAAAGTTTTTACACACCATCAAGTCGTTCCAAAAATGTATGACTTTCCTTCTGTGGAATACAAATTATATTGAAATATTTGGAAAACTGCATTAATGTATATATATTTTTTTCAAGTCAATGGGTCCACTGTTGTTTTGGGCCCCATTGACTTTTGTTAAAGCTTAATAATTCAGTATTTTTTCCTTTCTTTCATATGTTCTTCCCTTTAGCTCACAAATCTCTCCTGGACACTGCAGACCTGACTTAACAAAGTAAGTGATTATGCAATGCCAAAATATGACAATTCAATTATTTGAATCAATGATTAGTCAGTCTTCTAGATAGACAGAAGAGTTCCATTGTTCATGTAATTAAAGCAATCATGGTTTGAACATTTACATCCCCCTCTCTCTCTCTCTCTCTCTCTCTCTCTCTCTCTCTCTCTCTCTCTCTCTCTCTCTCTCTCTCTCTCTCTCTCTCTCTCTCTCTCTCTCTCTCTCTCTCTCTCTCTCTCTCTCTCTCTCTCTCTCTCCCCAGTTTTCTGGAGAAGACCATTCGCTCAGCGGTCGAGCAGCACCTCTTCAACACACGCATGCACACAGGTCAGAGTTCAGAGGGCTTGGATGCGACTGCCTACTTTTCATCTCCTGTGACGACGGCCCGAGAGAGGAGGAGACATCTACGAGAACAGGAGCAGCACTTCAGGTAGGAGCAGGTTACTCCTGAAATGCAGCTTTTCTTGGGTTCTATTGACTCTGGTGCGGCTGCAGCCAAACGGCATGGTAGCTGGTCTGTGTAGTGGGCAACCAGTTATCCAGTCACAACGTTACATGCTTCTTAGTTGCTCAAGATGTTTTGCAACTCATCAAAACTGCTAAATCAACTTCAATTCTGCACTTCACATCTGTGATTTCAATCTTTACAGCCACTCCACAACAATTGGCAAGTTGTTTGGTGTGATTGCGATCTAGGTTAATAAATTCACAACTGGATAAACCTGATTAACAGAGAAACGCATTGAGTTATATATTAGAGAATATATTATACTACCGTTCAAAAGTTTGCGGTCAGTAAGACTTTTTTTTTTTGGTTGAATGAAATGACTTCTATTCAGCAAGGATGCATTAAATTAATAGAAAATGACAGAAAAAAACATTTATAATGTTACAAAGTAATTCTGTTTCAAATGCTGTTCTTTTGAACTTTCTATTCATCAAAGAATCCTGAAAAAAAAAATATCAGTTTTTTCACAAAAATATTAAGCAGCACAACTGTTTTCAACATTGATAATTAATAAGAAATCAGCATATTGGAATGATTTCTGAAGGATCATGTGACACTGAAGACTGGAGTAATGATGCTGAAAATACAGCTTTGATAATTTTTATGTATTTTTGATTAAATAAATGCAGTCTTGTATATTTTATTTATTTATTTTGGAAACCTGGAAATAATGCCAAATTCAGAAATTTGATACCAAATGGTCTCAGACTTTTGGCATCCGCTATGCTATACAGTTATATAATTTATATGGTATATGTAATTTATATGTAATGATATGCACACAAGATGCACAGAAAACTTACTTAACACTTCATTTTATTCAAAATATATTTATATTAAAACTAGGTTTAATATTAAGACAGTATTAAAACAAATATTTTTAGAATAAATAAAATAAATTTTTAAAATGTGCTTTATCCATTAACAAGGATGTTCAGCTTCCTGCAGCCGACACTGAATATGAATATTAATTTAGATGATAGTAGATACTTGGCTATTTTAAGATTATCAGCAACTCAATCGGCCTATAGGTAATTTTAACTTTACAAAAGTGTTTTTGTTAATCCCATATAATCACAGTGATTCCTATGGAAGCTTGTTTCCTCCACTGAATAAAAATAAATAAATAAATAATTGTGACTTTTTATCTCACAAGTGCGAGATATGAAGTCAGAATTGTGAGATAAAAAGTCGCAATTACCTTTTTTATTTTTCATTCTGTGCCGGAAACAAGCTTCCATAGATTCAAGCAAAAACATGTTAGATGCAAATTTTTATGAATCTGATTTCCATTCCAGCTTGGGTTTGTTGATGCCTGGATCTCAGAGCGATCAAACTAATCCTGTTGACACGAACTCTAAAGCAAACTATCTACAGACACACTGAAAACATTAGATTAGTGGCTCAACAGTTGTGCTGTTACATAGATGTAAATAAACAGTCACGTCTGCTTTAAGTAGTTGAGGTATCACAGCTAAGGGTTCATTTCTGCTGTGGTCTTAGGATTCGATCCCTTGAGTAAAGGACAAGCACAGGAAGTCCTAGTCTCATCTCTCATAATTCTGTGGTGTCTGAAAGCGAACGGTGTCTTTCTCAGGGTCGAGGGTGATAAAGAGAACATCCCGTCTCCGGGTGTGAGGGTCACAGAGGAGTGTGACAGGCGTCTGCTGCTGCCACACGAGGCTCAGAGAAACAGGAAGCCCAAACACAGTCCCACACTGACTGAGCTCTCCGACAACCAGGACGCCCCCACTGTAAGTCTGATTTTTAGTCTTATCTCCATGGTCTTCTCTATGTCTTTCTGCAAGCAAGCCAAGCATCACTATTACAATTGCTCTTACTTAGGGTTAGTGATTTCAACAAACCACTAACCTAAAGTATTCAATTTAGGAGTGTAACTTGTCCCACAGTGTTCATGCAATAAGACTTACAATTTTCACTTGCCGGACAATGACGTTTTTTTTTTTTTACTTGGGCCAGTAAGCAACCAATTGGCAACAGCTGTGCAACCACTTAAAGGGATAGTTCACCCAAAAATCAAAGTTTTGTCATTAGCTGTTCCAAACCTGTATGAGTTTCTTTCTTTTGTTGAACACAAAAGACGATGCTTTGAAGAATGTTGGTAACCAGATTAGGGCTGTCACTTTACGTCCGAAAATCGATTGCACAATCAATCGGACCAACCAACACAAGTTTCAAAAACGAAAATAGGGAATCGATTTTAACGGCCCTTTTTTTTTTTTTTTTTTTTTTTTACCAAAAATGTATTTTATGTGGACAGATCAATACAGTACACAGAACATGTAGGATGTTGGAAAATAACAATGTCTTTTCTGTTAACCAAATGCTTTTCAATATTCGCTTTTACTTCAATGCAAGTGAACAAGCACGCCGTTATTTGTTGCTTAGTGACGTGTGTGTTCAAGTAAGCCAGAAATGCGCAGTCGGCTTACACGAACTTCCCCAGCAAAGTGAGTAAACATAGAAACACGCCAAATTGGCTAGTGATTTGACAGCATTACCCACCAAAGTTCATTTTTACCCGCATTTGGTGGGTTGGAGGGTGTTAATTTCAATCCCTGAATGTTGCACTCCAGTTTGTCATTGAGCACGAAACTTCACGCCAATAAATCATCAGAAATATTGCTGACTTGTGCGCGTCTCAAGCCCCCTCTTTACGTTCGTCCTAATGCCTGTTAGTTGTCCGTGGATTTGCCTATATTTGGTGTTGAAAATGGAAACGTCTTTAGACATGGAAAATCAATTTTACAATCGATTCATGAACAATTATGTCTCAAAAATCGAACAGGATTTTTTCACAAAAGTGACAGCCCTAAACCAGACAGTTGACAGTAGCCATTGGCTTCATTAGTAATTTTTTCAATGGGTGCCGATAATAATAAAATGTACTTTTATTAACATCAGTAACGTGCAAAAAACACATTTGTATAGGGAAAAATGTACCTATACCAATACCATTTACCTACTTTTGGTAAATGCACTATTGTTCTTCTATAGTATAATCCTGAACAGACTGGAAGCTTCAGTGATTATAAGAGCACTCTTTACTTGCTTTCTGTGTAATTCAGTCACAATTTGAAGACATTTTTTAGTTTTTCATGATAACTTGTGTCTTCCTACTTTTTCCATATATTAGGGAATGGAAATGGCTAATAAGCCAATAAGTGCTCCTCAGCCGCCATTTACTGGTTATAGTGGTAATTTTATATCTTTTTAAAAATAAAAGTGCTTGTTTGCTGCAAAGTTTTAGTTTTCCCATACCTTTAAACTTTTAGTTTTACAAATCATCACATTAAAAATAACATTGGATAATATTTAGAGGTTGGAAGTATTGAAAAAGTGTGAAGCACTTGAAAACCCTTGAAAAGTACTTGAATTTCACTCTCAAAAGGTTGTACGAACCCTGAGATGAATAATGTAAAAAAAAAAAAAAATCCAACTATTTCTGCCACAATACCGTGGTTATAGTCAGGATTGAATATTGGTGATTTGTGGACTGAAAAGCCTTCTAACTTTTTTGTTCATGGTACAATGTTTCTCCTGTTTTGATCTGGTTTATAACAGAGTTATCTCCCAGCAAGATCTGCTTGTGAGTAAACTTGTTCTGAGCTCGCGTAGCACTGTCTATCATTGCTCTGAGCTGATAAACGGTCCGCGCTGCGCAGCTTAAAGGATTAGTTCACTTTAAAAAAAACTTTTGCTGATAATTTACTCACCCCCATGTCATCCAAGATGTCCATGTCTTTCTTTCTTCAGTCGAAAAGAAATTAAGGTTTTTGATGAAAACATTCCAGGATTTTTCTCCAAATAATGCACTTTGCTGGGCACCAAACGGTTCAAGGTCCAAAAGACAGTTTCAGTGCAAACTGCAAACTGTTCAAAGGGCTTTAAACGATTCCAGACGATGAATACGAGTCTTATCAAGCGAAACGATCGCTCATTTGAAAAATAAATAACAAAGTTTAAGTTTAATAATGTCAAATGCTCGCCTTGCTCTGTTTTGTGATGCACGTTCGTGACTCTCCTGTTCGAACTCGTTCATCAAAATGAACAAATCTTTTTTCGAGTCATTTGGTTCATTTAACGAACGAAATGACCGAATTGACTCGGAAAAAGATTCGTTCATTTTGATGAACGAGTTCGAACAGGAGAGTCACACAGAATAGAGCAAGGCGAGCATTTGAGCTTATAAAACTTAAACTTTGTTATTTCTTTTTTAAATGAGCGTTTCGCTTGATAAGACTCGTATTCATCGTCTGGTGTCGTTTAAAGCCCTTTGAACAGTTTGCAGTTTGCACTGAAACTGTCTTTTGGACCTTGAACCTTTTGGTGCCCAGCAAAGTGCATTATATGGAGAAAAATCCTGGAATGTTTTCATCAAAAACCTTAATTTCTTTTCGACTGAAGAAAGAAAGGCATGGACATCTTGGATGACATGGGGGTGAGTAAATTATCAGCAAAAGTTTTTTTTTAAAGTGAACTAATCCTTTAAGCAAGAGCCGTTTCTCATGTAGCAACAGAAATGGCAGCTCTTATCAATTGGGCAACGTGGTGGATGCGACCTCTAACAAAATTTAGTCGCACTGGAAGGAAAAAAATGTTGTTTGGGTGAACTATCCATTTAAATGACGTCCCCCCCAAAAAAACCACTACACATTAAAATGTAGTGTGGTACGAAACAGTGTCAGGAACAGCTAATTATCTTAAAATCCTTCTTGTCCTTGTTCATGGGAGACAGACAACACTCAATGTGTCTCTGTGGAAAATCAGAGGTAAATTGCAGGGCTTGCTTTTGTCTTAATAGTGTTTTGACGAAATCACTGACTCATGTTTATGCTAGGTGTGTGATTTGTATTTTGTATTTACCTCAGCAGATCAGACCACAGTGTTCAAAGCATTTGTCGGCACACCACAGTGACGTGCATTAGACACCATTAAATATGTTTTAGTAATGTCTTGGTTATACAAAAACATCTCTTGGCCAACTTGTGGTTGACCAATATGGGCATTTTATTGGCAGATAACCAATATAATTAGACGTTCGGTTTGTAATGTAGACAAAAGTCTGACACCACATAAAAATCAAAACGTAACTTCTAGTAAACCTAGAATTAAAGCAAATGCGTTAAATATGAAGGACTTATTACACAAATTACAAAGTTCATGTTTGTTTTTTCCATTCTACTTTTCAACCAAATTGTTGTACACAGAATTTATATTAAAAACATTTACACTAGGTTACACTAGGTGGATACTGGCCAGTGCATATCACTTTTACAACTGTTAAACATGATAATAACCCTGGATTTGACTGCTGCAAAAACTTGTATATGCACCCTAGGTAATAGCATCGGATATTAGCACACTTTTAGCACACCTTACTGTCACATTATTTGTTTATTTAATGTTGGTTTATGTTTTCTTTGTTGTCTTAACATATTAAGACGCATGTGTTGGTTTTCTTTTAAATCTAGCCAATGGAATGCCAAGAGCCACCTGGGGCTTACGATAGAAATGCTACGGAGAACAGGTAATTTAAACCCCTCTAAATGCATTATGTGCAGTTCTATGTATGTTGGGCAGTAGAATGAATTGAAATGGGTCACATCACGAGAAATCTTCTGTTCCCAAAACCCCATCTCTTGGATAACTGAGCCCCTTGGGTTTCTGAGATCAGAAACCTGAAAGCATTACCATGTAGCCCACATTTACAGTGCAATGTTGCTTATTTAGTGGTCATAAATGATGGATTTGTAAACACTCTGATTTAACAATACGAGTAAAATCAGTGAAGGTCAAATCTTGTGCCGTCTCTGACTGTGTGTGTAGCACCTACCACTCTGCACACTGGATCCCAGCATGTGAAACAATCATTTTTTTCAAAACAATATCCCTGATCATTTCAGTCTGCTCTTTACCGATTGAGCAGTTAATTGATAATTTTAGCAAATAGCAATGTTATGCTGTTACAATATCACTAATGAAATATATATTTTTAGGGGGAACCATCAAACGGAACATGGGTTCAATTTTATTCAGGTGAGTGTAGTTTTTTTTTTTCTGTATCATATTTCCTGCCATTTATCTATTTTTCTTTCCTGCTTTGTATATCCTTTTTTCTTACGTTTGAGCACCCTACACGGTTCACTTTTTTTTTTTATTGCGACAAGTTCCTGTAATCACAGCCTCGTTTTTTAAAAGAAAAATGTAGATGAACAACATACTTGAGTGAGTGAATTTTTCGCAGAAAGGACATCAAATAGACAGCTGTGCTAAATCTTTAGGCTTTCACAATGTCTTTTGATCGTCTGTCACGGTGGCGTTAAGACTGTTTGGTACATGTCAATATTGATATACATTATCAGATCTTTGGATAAAGGGATTAGTAAAGCATCTGAATTGCATCGAAAACAATGGTATCTGTTGGTGTTACTGTGAGAACATCCTGGATTTGTTGAACCACCATCTACCTTTACCCTGCCGTCGTGCCATCTGGGCTCTGGCACCGTCTAATGCCAATGTGCCAATTGACCAAAACCCTCGGGTTTAGTTGTCTTCCTGCATGTTCAGACCAATCGGTTTATCGTCTTTGGTTGTCCTCCAAGTACTGATACACAGTGGTCCCGTAGTATTTGAACACTCTTAAAAATAAAGGTTCTTTTTTGGCACCTATGGTTCTATAAAGAACCTTTAAAGCAGCACTAAGTAGGAATTCCGTTTTTGTCAAACAGCGACCCCTAGAGTCGCTGTGGAGTACTTGTACTGTCTGGAATAGCACTCACGCAGAGATGGCTCGCACTCACGGCCGGATCCCCTCCCCCTGTACACCGGTACCTGTTCAGTAGGATGGACACTGTAACGAGTGGAAATAAGGTATGGCCCCTTTAAGAGCTGCGCGCGCCCTGTTTAACTGTCGGCAGTCTGTATTGTATGTGCGCCTCGAACACCACATGTATACGGCGCCGGGTTATTTCTGTTTGATGCTCATTTTATCAGAATTTTATCAGATCTGTTTTTTGCCGTAAAGCAATTCGTTACCTCGTGAGACCTGATATCACACGATACTTCCTAACACTGAGGCGGCCCGCCGGCCCAAAGTTGCAAGGGTGGTTTTGCGGCTCACAGGCACCAGAGGGGTGCGAGACGACCACCATTCAACACGAAATCAGTAATATAAACATTACAATGACTCCAAAGCTGTTCGGTTAAGGTAAAAAAAGTTACTTAGTTCACCGTTAAAGGCACACTATGCAGGAATGCCGTTTTTGTCAAACAGCGACCCCTAGAGTCGCTGTGGAGTACTTGTATTTAATGTAAATGCCACTCACGCAGAGCGTCTGCCATAGACTGGTCTCTGCACTCACGGCCTGATACCCCTTTGAAGCTGTTATATTAAGGTACAAATCTTGCATTGTGTTCCTTTAAATAAGAGATCTAGCGCTAAAATGTGTTTTTGAACTCAACCTGAGCGCTCGTGTCCGCTGCTATCAGTGTCATGGATACTTACATAGTGTCTCTTGTGGCGGCGCGCTCGCAGTCTTCACTCGGACGCGCTCTTCAATCTATCGCCGTTGCAGAGACTCTCTATTCATTCCGGCGAAATCACAAAATAAAATGCACACAAACTTAGAAAGATTTACTTACTAGTCCATCAACAAGATCGCCAGGTCAGCATCACTGTTGCATCCAGTGCTGCTTTTTAGCTCGCGCCAACGAGTGAAAGCCCGACCGAGTGGGACTCTTGTCCGGTGACTCACGCGGTCAGATTCTCTTTTCCTTTTCATAGTCTCTTCCGACCGCGTTTTATTTGCTTTTTCCATCGTCGAGTATCACGTCTGAAATGCGCGCAAGTGTCTTCGTGCTTCAAATGTTGTTGTTGATGTGTGTGACGTCGTTGTTGATGTGTGTGACGTCGTTGCCGTAAAGCATGTCGTGATTCTCGCGAGATTTGTCGGGGGCGCTCCTCTCAAACTTGCATTGCTGGTTTTTCCAGCGGCGTCCCCCCCAAGCTTTACTACCAGGATGATTCGCCCTACTATGAGTTTGTTTACCACCGAAATGACTTTGAAGCTGTTATATTAAAGTACAATTCTTGCATAGTGTGCCTTTAACATCCATGGAATCTTTCCATTCCACGAAAGGTTCTTTATAGTAGCAAAAGGTACAATAAGGTTCATTAGTTAACATTAGTTAATGTATTAACTGTCACGAACTAACCATGAGCAATACATTTGTTACTGTACTTTGTACTGTACGTTACTTTGTTAACGGTAGTTAATAAAAATACAGTAATTTATTGTTTATGTTAGTTCACAATGCATTAACTAATGTTAACAAGATTTTAATAATGTATTAGTAAAGGTTAAAATTAACATTTACAAAGATTAAGAAAAGTGCAGTTCATTATTAGTTCATGCTAATTAATGTAGTTAACTAATGTACGTTATTGTAGAGAGTTACCCTTGAGATGATTAAATTCTTCAAACTAAGAAAAAAATGGTTCTTTCAACAACTGTTCACTGAAAGGGTCTTTCAGGAACCCGGACTGGTTCTTCTCTGGCATTCCTTTTTAAAAACCTTTATTTTTAAGTATATTAAAACGAACAAACTCCTTGAAATTAGATGTAGTGCTTGTGCTATTATTCTTTCAAAAGAAGGTCACTCGGTTTGTTTATTTAACTGATGCAATGACATTCATACACTTTTAAGAGTGATTCAAGCGTTCAAATACTTTGAGGGTCAATGAAAGAGTTGATATAGTCACAAACATCCTGTGTTGAAATATTTCTCTATCGACGGTTCAGTCTGTCTAGTCTAAATACGACTATATAATAAGACTAAATATAAAAATCAAGCAATTCAGTTTCCTTTCTCTTTGTCCTTCAAAGATGTTTTTAATGTTCCCTTTTAATTGGGAACAGTTTTCTATTGGTTTTAAGCCCAAACAATGGCTGTCATTGTGATGTCACATGCATGTTGAATCAGTGTCACTGCATGTGATGCGTGAGATCTTACTCCTTCATGCGCTCTAGCAGTTAGAACATGTTGTACACAGCTGTGACACGTACGCAATGCATTGTGGTATAAGAGTTTGGCATCCCGTTGATTCTGGCAGCTGATTAGAGACCTTTTTCTTTGAACGTTTGGTTTTCTAAGTAATGAATTTTTTTTTTTTTTTCATTTATGGTAAATTCATAATTTTATCTTAGTTTCACATTTAATGACTGCTTTTAATGTGGACTCTCTACCTTTGTCCTTATTAAAAGTTTTAATCAGTGCATAAAGATATTAATAGTATTTTTAGAAAAAATGTTATTGAAGACTGACACATCAAGAGCTTTGCCCTGTGGGGTCTGTAATTTTGAGATCACATGACCAGCCGAATACTACTCACTTAATCTCGGTAACTCTCTGTAAACGTTATTGGACTCTCGTGGAATGAATTAATCTGGCCTGACTGACTCCGTACTACTTTTTTTGTTGTTGAGTGGAGGGCATTTTCAAATATGTTCATATTGCATGGAATTTTTATTTATTATTATTTTATTTCATTTTATTCACATCTTATTTCAAATGCTTAATTTCCCCCCTAACTTTTCAACAACACCTTTGCTTCAGAGCTTTTAAGCCACCGTTTGAGTTTCTAGACCAGATTACTAGTGTTTTGGCATCTCTGGATATGATGAGATGTGTAGATTGAAATATTTATACCCATAACAACTCCAATCTCATCATCAGCCATATAATCTCATTACCTCTTTAATCACGACGTGAACAGGTGATGACAAGATTATCAGATGGATTGTTTACTGTTGATTGCCCTTGATTGGAGAGATTTCTCTGGGACAAACATCATGTGAAGGCTCCAAATCTGCCGAAAGCCTGTTGATCTAAGTCAACTGACTTCCACCGCTCGGGTCTTAAACTCGTTTTCGTCATGGTTTAAGCAAAAAGCATGTAGATGTTGTATATACATTAGGTTTACGTTCACACTGTTAACACATTCTTGTTATAAACGAGCAGTTGGCCTGCACATGAACTGGTGTTTATTTTATTATCAGTTTTGATGAGTGTTGTATTTGTGCAATGAGGCACATTTCAGGTTAAATGTTTACTTTTTGTGTCCTTACATTGAAGTGCCAGAGTTTTCACATTCAGGATGTCTGGACAGTCCGTTTCCCATTCTGTTCCTTATCTCCTCTGGTGGTAATAAACATCACGTCTCTTGGCATGTTGGCAGGGGCATTTTACAGAGTCATGCACACAACTTTAAACAGCACAAAGTCCTCATTCCAAGTTTGGATTGACACATAATCAGGAGTGTTGCAATTATGGACCGTTATGGGCACGTAATGAAAATCACATCGACAAAAATAGCACGTCTGCAATGGCACAAGTGCGTTTCAAATCCAGTAGCATTAGCATGAGTAAGCCCTGTGTGCCGTAATAACAGAAAACAGGACCGTTTGTCATCCTGTCGGTAATGCAGGACACACTGAATTTTTTTTTTTTTTTTTGGTGTAGAACCAATTTTCACTCAGAAGTTGTTAGTTAATTGAACAAAATGGCAATTAAGACACTGAATTAAATGTGAAATTTTAAAGTAGAAAATCTGAAATGGAATTTCCAATAATCTTTGTTTTATTTGAAACTTCAAAAAGTCCCCCTTTGCTCCAAAAATAGACCCCATCCCACGCCCCAGTGGCGGAAGTGTGTGTTTGTGCGAGTGACCGAATTGCATGATTTGTCTGCACCCTTCACGACCCCTCCTTGCGTGATTTGATCATCGCCGAAACGGGGGGGGGGGAAGAGTCCCGGCAATGATAAAGTGAAAAGATTGGGAAGGCATTTCTGCCTGCGTGCTTTGCGTGCTTGGCATGCTACCCCCCCTCTCCCCCCCTCTCTCTCTCTTTATGGGACACACAGCAGCTCAGAGAGAAAGGGAGGGGTAGAGAGATAGAAAAGAACATAAAATTAGCCACACCTACCCTGGAAGGACCATGGGTGGGGCTTGAGCAGGGCAGACAGCCAATCAGCAGGCAGGGGTTTGTCCTGCAGTGCCGCCCCCTGCCTCCTCCCAGCCTGTAAGTAGACAAGGGCAGACGCAGGCAGGGTATTGCTCAACCTAAGAAGCGCACTACCCCCACTCTGCTGTAGTTGGTGTTTATCCTTCGCTCTTTTCTCTGCTAGACGCCTGCCATGAAAATCCAGGAGGCTCTTAGTGGCACAGAGCCGTGCGATGATGTCCCTCGACTGGACCTTTCTACTCTGACAGACGACAGCAACTGGGCAGGTCAGTGTTTTTTTTATTTTTTTTATTTGTGTGTCTCACTTTGTTGCTGTCTCTCTCTCTGCACATGGGCGGCAGCTGCAAGTCTGCCTTGTGTCCTCATGCAGTGGGTATTATTAAGTCACTTAATAGAGGAAGAAGATTACAAGTAGTCTGCAATCTGTTTTCCTCCTCATGCATACTGTGTTGCGTTTAGTCTAGAGAGGCTTATTTTGCATTGCAACGGCGTGCTAGCTATGCTTTTTTTGTGCATTGTTGTTGCAAATACTGAGATTGTAGCCACAGCTACTTCAAAGCCCTGCGATGTCCCTTGAGAATTTTGCCTCTGGGATTTATTGAGTTTGCACTGGATTCAGCTGCGGTTCTTGCAGTTGCATGTTTTTTCTCTCTTCCCACACTTCCCCTTTGGCCATAATTCTCTGTTTGTAAACAGTCGCAAGGCTGTTGATTGCATATTTGTGCTTCTTTGTTTATGTATCATATTTGTTCAGATAAATAAAAAAAAAGTGTTTGAATTATATAGGTTTTATTTAATTTTTTATTTAATTTTAATGTGTATTAATGAATATGGATTATAGCACTTTCTTGTTTATTCATCATATTATTTGAGATTAAATGAAATATTCTTTTGTTTTTATTTTTTTTACATATAATTTTAATGTATAGATTAATTTATAAATATAGATTATAGACTATATAAATACTATATATTAAACATGTATGTAATATGTATATTTAATGTATGTATTAGTGTTTTTATTTTTCTTAGTTAATTTTAATGTATAGATTTAATTGATTTATAAAAATGATCATAGCACTTTTTTGTTCATCGAATCTTTGATTGATTGATAGATAAATGGATAGATAGATAGATAGATAGATAGATAGATAGATAGATAGATAGATAGATAGATAGATAGATAGATAGATAGATAGATAGATAGATAGATAGATAGATAGATAGATTGATAGATTTTTTTCACAATAATATTTAACTTTGTATATAAGGCCATGGTTTATACAAGCAGTCTATGAAGTCGAAATGAACTTCACTGATCAGATGCATCACACTTAAATGAGTTTTATCAGCCACGGTGGTTCGGTGCATTTTCACAGCTGCTGCGTTTCAGTCAAGTTTACGACGACGGACCGCATTTGTCATCTTCAGTGTTTAAATTTGTTTGGGGAGGGTGAGCCTAGCAACAAGCAGACTTTCGGCTCTACAAGCGGAGGACCGTATAGTCATAGCAACCGAGAAGTGAAACAGGAGGAGGTTTGAATCCTGGAGTCTGAGAGCTGTTGCTATGTGCACGTCACGTCTCAGCCTTTTAAACTGGTCATGGCTATTCACAATCTCCTTTCCTGTTTCCTCTCCTGTTCGTGCAGCACGTGCCAGTTGTAGACTTGTTCCAACAATGCGCAAACACACCCCTTTTCACATTGACCTTGGAAATGTTGTAGTTTACGATTTCTAGAGATCTCCGTCCGAGGCCTGGCACAGATGCGCCCTAGGCAGTGAAGTGCACATATATGGAGCTGCCCTGCTGACAGGTTTGCCATGTTGATTCACAGTTACCCTTTACTTTAATATAGTGCTTAATATTGTGGTCACAGCCTTGGCAGGATCTCTATTCTGTATAATGCACTTGTTCTGTGGCACCCTCTAGTGAGAGCTTCAAACGGCTGCTTGCAAAATGACACATCTCAACTAAAATGGTCCAAAAAAAAATGGCCCTGTGGTTTTGCAAGGTAGAGACATTCCTGGGAGTGCAACATGAGATATTTCCTCCATATGCGTTCTTTTGTTTAGACAGAAATGTTTTCGAAGGTTTTCTGTTTTTTTTTTTTGGTAGTTTTAAAATATGTATTGTGAAAAGCGTTATTACTAGTAAATAAGTAGAATTTTAAGGCCATTCAGACCTTTAATTTGGCATTTGACTTCTTATACACAGATCCTTGCAATTAATTTGACCAATAAAATTTCAGAAAACACAATTCTGACAATTTTATTGAAAAAAATACTAATATATATTATAAATAAACTCACTATTTTTGGGGTGCATATTTCCTAGATTTATTCTGCAAATCCTTGCTGTTTATGCAAAATGGAGCAACTCAATTTAGAAAAAACATGAAAAAGATTTCAGAATATTATTGAAAAAAAAAAACTATTTAAATGACTGATTTGTATAGCTCTGTGTACTTTATCTAGTTATATTCTACAAATCCTTGCAATCATGTTTGTTGTGCTGATCAGAACAACTTAATCACACATAACATGATAATAGTTTTGGGACAAGATTTATTGTAAAATAAATTCTCTAGTTTTTTGGGTAGTCAATGTCCGGTTGTGCATTATTACCCATTTATGCATGACAAATCGTAGCAATTTAGTTAGTTATGCCACGGATAACGTGATTCTTTCAAAGCAAAATTTATTTTGAAATGAACTACTATTTTGAGTAGTTCATAGTGCTTTTTACCTAGTTTGTTATGATGAGAGTGGAACTTGAGCACTGATAACATGATGAAAAAGAATCAGTTTTATGTGTGGTTGAAATGTAACAAAACAAATGTAATGCTTTGTGCATTTTGTTGTGCATACATGGTAAAATTCTATAAATTGTAGCAATTATGCTAAGCAGATGAAAAGGGTAAATGATCATACAAGCTAAAAGTGTTTTGTTAACATCTTCGTAAGCGTATGGTTGCTGGAATCGAGTTCACGTGACTGTAAATATACAGTGGCAGTAAAAACAAGCTGTTGCTCCAGCTCATGGGAGTGGTCAAATGAGTGTTCAGGACTGTATGTAACATTGAGCTGCCAGACCTTTGTCCCACTGCAGCCGGTGCCAAAGCACATTGCGGTGACCCACTGCAGTGCCAAGAGGCAGCGGCTCGCCCAAATGTTTGTCAGCTGTGATGTTCACAATCTTATATATCACTGCCTGCTTTTCTGCCCGTCTCATCATTTTCCTTGGGTCGTTATAACAGTGGCGTCATTGGTTACCTTTCTTTCCTTTTGTCTTTCAGGTTCTCATTTCTTTAGTGCTTCTTTCCTTGATTTCAAAAGCCTTTTAAAATCAAGTCACAATGAGGGTAAGGGCTGAGATCTGCTTTTGTTAACAACTTGATATCCCTGAGCCCCGTCTCTCACCAGTGACCTTTAAAAGCTGCCCAAACTGGCATGTAGCTACTAACATCTAACATACTGCAGCCTTTGCGGACAGGCACAATAATATGTGGCTTTATTTATGTTCTCAATAGCCTACTGAGACTTTGTGAGCCTTTCAGTGAAAGGCCATCTTGTAGCACATGCTTGGATGCATTATGCCGGCTCAACAAAATGGCTCCAAATGCGCTGCATGAGGGAGAGATCCACCTGACCCATTAGCTCCTCAAGCATGACTTGTAAGCGCATGACACAAAAAAGTGCAAAGAACCTGTAGGAATTTAAGCTGTACCAGATTGGTTGCACAGCAATTTTGAAAAGCATGTTGAGCTGTTTGTTCGTGTGTGCATGTATTGAAATAATGCAATAGCATCCCTGCTAAGGCTATTACTGCTAATATTGTGAATAACGATTAGCAACTGCATAGCTGTGTGCCGAAAAACACTGAACTCTTTTAAAACCACATAGCAACACCTAAGCAATCACCCACGCCACAACACATAGTAAAAACCACTTTAATAGTCCCATAAACTATATTGATGTGTATTTTAATGTTCTTTTAGAGTTTAGTAGGTACATCTATTAAAAAAAGTTACAGTCCCAAACTTTTTCCTAATGAACGTTGCCTTGTGCAAGGGGTTTTACCTTCACTTCAACACTGTAAATATGCTGATATCAACTTTATAACAGCAGATAAGATCAAGTTTGATCCATCATGCATGGGAGTTCCACAGGTCACATTGCAGTCAGCATTTATCGCCACATTCTTCTCGCTGCTTCATTAAATTGCTCTTCTGACCTTACTTTATGATCCCGGTATCTGCATAGTAAATAAACACAACATTCCGATATCACAGCATGTGCTCACTATGTTTGTTTAATAATCTGTAGTGCATGACACTCCTCAGAACACTTTGTCATGGTTACATTTAATAGTCTGCAATGAAAAATTACAGGTGTATTGTGTATTTAACAAAGGTGATAGTGTACTTATCTTTCTTAGAGATAAAAACAACTGTCTGTTGAGCTGAATAACTCACATTCTAATGTCTAGTGGGTATGAAAATAACAATATTGTCCTCAGGATGCCCGAAATAGCAACAAGGTCAATAGAATATCAGCCTAGTTAAAATTTAATATGTTCTCCACGTTCCTTTGGCCCTGACTTTATATCAACACAGACAAGATCTACCACTTGTTCCCTGTTTGGCTTGCTATTTACTAAGTGACTTGTGAAATCTAGGCACGCTGCTTTGTCATTTCCCTCAATTTTAACGCTTGTGTGTTGACAGAACCAGTGCCAGCCTATTCGTCGTGGCAAAGGGAGAGTATGGACCGCGAGGAAGCTCGTCTGTCTCCCCATGCCGGTGGCAAGCCGATTCGCCAGCTCCTGGAGGAGGACAGCGACCCAATGGTCTCGCCACGGTTCTACGCTTACGGAGACGGTCGGCAGTATCTGGACGACACAGAGGTTCCTCCATCACCACCTAATGCCCACTCCTTTGTCAGGTAAAACAACAAACCCTTGTGCGGTCTGAAAGAGGAAATCCTATGTTTTTCGGAGGGTGAAATGAATGCTGTTCTCCATTTTAGTAGGCGAAGAAGTTCGTCGTTAGGCTCCTGCGACGATGACCGGGAAGAGTTGACCTCTGCTCAGCTTTCAAAGCGGATCCACGTACTCAAGAAGAAGATCCGGAGGTTTGAGGAGAAGTTCGAGGATGAGCGCAAATACAGGGTGAGCGAAAACATTATATCCCATGATGAGTCCCTTTTAAAAGTTGCGACAACTAAAAATCCTACGACTTCTACACTGATAAATCGATCCCATTCTAATCAGTGAAGCAGTCTATTCTGGAAAACATTGTCAATGTGCTATTTTCATGATGAAAATAACCAGTGCAAAATGTATTTAGCTCTATTTGCTACAAATGTTGAGTCTAGTGTTTTCTCTACAGCCTTCACACGGCGACAAAGCTGCCAACCCAGAGGTTCTGCGCTGGATGAATGAACTGGCCAAGATGCGCAAAGACTTAAAAGGTATTGAATGAAAGTGGTTTGTGTCATGTAAGCTAGAGCTGCATGATTAATCGTTAAAAGATCGCAATCTCGATTCAAACCCGCAAGCAATTTTATTCCTAATTGCAACGATTTGCCTATTAAACATGTCTATTAAACCTTTGACAAAATCATTGACGCTGCTGCTGACCCAGAGAGAGTATTTTCAACCACACAGTATCATTATTTCTGTTACAAATATTCTATCACAGAAGTACCGCGATAAAAGTTTATAGTTCGGATATAAACAATGTCTACGGTAGCGATCAAAATAGATCAGATCACTTTTTTTAAACGTAACATGGTGCTACAAATAACGATTATATCGAGTACATCATTACGCCACCAGGTATTTTTGAGTGAGTCATTGAATTATTCATTCAAACCAATTTAAAAAAAAAAAAGATTCATTCAGATTAAACATTTTAAATAAACTGCAGCAATTAACATTTTGTTAGAACCTCATGTTATTTTGTTTAGTTGTCTGGTCAGAATGGTGGGAAGATTGTGATGTTTGAAAAAAAACAAAAACGTGATTCTCAATTTATCCAGAATCGTGCAGCTCTAATGTAAGCCATGATAATCCAATCTTCATGATGTTTTGTTCAAACAAATTGTTTCGGGTGTAATTTCTCACTAACCTTTGTGGGTTGGGCCTGCCAGGAAAACAACATCTGATCTAATCTGCTCTGCTCATGGCTTGCAAAGTTCTTATAAACAAGTGGCTCCATGTTCTGGCTCTACATCACAGATCACAAGCTGCTAAAGTCAGAAGAGGATTTGACGCCCATCCCCCGCCAGCGTAGCAACACGCTTCCCAGGAGCTTTGGGTCTCAGCTGGAGAAGAAAGCTCCTGAGACCAAAGCCCCCAAACCCCCTGTGGAAAGCACACTGGATGCAGTCATGAACAAACTGCAGGAGAAACGCAATGAGGCTGGCCGACCTGAAGACATTAAGGTGCGGTTTTAAGGGTTTCTTTTGCCCTTTTTTATTATAAACAAATGCATGTATCTTTAAAATTCTCATTCTCTGTTCTCCATTAGGACATGACCCGTGAACAGATTGGAACAGAAAAAGTGGCCCTTCAGAAAGCTCTTCTATATTATGAGAACATCCATGGGAGACCAGTGAGTGTGCAATTCTTAACCTTCAGAACATCTGAAGAACTTAGACTGAGGTTGATTTTAATATCTGTGTTTTTGTCACTCATTCTAGATCACCAAGAATGAGAGGCAGGTCATGAAGCCTCTATACGACCGGTACCGACTCGTCAAACAAATCCTCTGTAGAGCTTCCTCCATTCCAGTCATTGTAAGTTCTGTTTTTCCACCATTTTTCACTTTTCCCTCACCATTGCATGCTTCTATCCCAACTCTGTTTCTCCATTCACTGGAGAAATCTCTCATCTTGGGAGTTCATGTACAGCAAGAGTGTCCAATCCTGCTCCTGGAGGGCCACTATCCTTCAGAGTTTAGCTACAATCCTGGCTGTTGCAACTTCATTGTTCTGCCTCCTAAGATACCTCACTAAGGCCAAATTTACTTTCTCCTTCACTGGCCTTGTTTACACCTGGTATAAAGATGCGTTTTGGTCGATCGAATCACAAGTGGAAGACTCTAAATACAGGTGTAAACAGGGTCTAAAACGTTTTGAGCTTGTCCACTCTCGACCACTTCCAGAGGTTCGACCGGATTACTTTCGTAGTGTTAGACGCTCATGTTGTCGAATGTGTTCAAACAGCCACAAAAGACCGCCTACTCTCCGCCTACTGACCTAATGTGTGGAAACCTTATAAGAAGCGCGCTTGCCAGACGGGACTTAGACTGACGGCTGGAGACCCAAGTTTCGTACCAACGTACCAAGCACAATGTTCTCTCTCCATTGCTGATTTATAACACACACTCACAGCGTTCGGCTGGTCTTGCGACTGTCAGAGCAGAAGTGTGTTTTTCCGTCGTCTCCGGGAGCGTTTTTATGTAAACAGCGCGAGCTTATTTTGTCCATTAGATCGAAAGATCTGAAAACGCATACATTTACCCACCCATAGACCCTCCCCATGAAGAAATCAGGACAGAAGTGGTTGAAGTTGGACAAAAGAGAAGGAAAACACCAGGTGAAAACGGGAATGTGTCTCCATCGTCTACTTGTGATCCGATCGACCAAAATGCATCTTAATACCAGGTGTAAACAGGGCCTCAGATGCAATGAAGCAAGATGGCTAACTAAGCAAGAGAAATTTAATTCAGTATTAAAACATAGTAATACAAATAAATTGGTGATTTTGCCTAATTTTTCTGCATGCTGTATGTTTTGAAACCATTACGAGTCGAGTGCCCCACATTGGGCGCCATATTTGAGCTGTGCAAAGTCGCTGCCTATATGGACTGTTCCAAATCGGCCACTTGTGAGGGTCATTAGAGTTCGGTTGCTGGCCATGTAGGCATTTGGCAGCTAGGCTAGGTTTGGGAATAAAGCTAATACTTATCTGAGCCACGCTAGCAGATATCCATAAGCTACTATGGTTGTATTACAGGCTAGCTAACTGCTATTTCTACTTTATTCAGGAACTAAACCGTATGGATAAATCTCCATGGTATTAGTAGAGAAAATAGCATTAGCAGTAGCACAATATAAGCATTTAGATTTTGTATTGATGCAATGGCAGTGCCGGGGCTTTTTAGCACCTATAAGCCCGTCTTTAGCAAGAGCTCAAGAGTAGCTCACTGAGGTCATATCCTGTAGCTGGATATTTGCAACAGTATTCCTTATAATTCCCAATTCTCTTACATACTGTACATACTCTAAAAACATTAAGCAGCAACCCTGGGCATATCCCCACACCACAGGAAGTGATTTCCCACACTTAATACAGAATGATATGCATGTGAAATACAACAACAAAACATCCTAAGGGCATGCAAATATTATATTGGTATGTTCCGAAAACATCTGGCTTATGTAAAACAAAATGGATGTTACCATTATATAATACTCTAAAGCCTGATTATACATGTTTAAACTCATGTGCAGCTTTAGCTTCTCCATTTTTTTTTAGTCATTGATATGGTTCTAGTTCCATTTTGTCTTAGCATCAGTTAAACCGTGAGTTTCCAATTTGGTGAATATGCTTCATATGCCCTAAAAACCAATTACTTGAAGTGCCACCTTCAGATTTCAAGGTTTATTTTAATGTGAATCTTCTAGTCCATTAGTGGAGTGAGACCTGCCCTTAAGTGGGCTTGTGTGAAGGGAGTTTACCGGGTTGTAATGTCACTATTAACACCCACCACAGGGCTCGCCTTCCAGCAAGCGCAGAGGCCCCCTGCTGCAGCCCATTATCGAGGGTGTACCAGCCCTGTTCTTCAGCGACACAAAGGTGAAGAGCTGTGACTGCTCAATCAACCAGTGATTCGGCTGACCCACCTCCTTCCCCCCTCTAGTTTCCTCATTAACCTAATCATGAATCAGTAACTTGCATGGGCACGTACTTGGGAGTGCTGTGAGATTCGACTCCTGCTGATTCCAAAGCCGTTTGCTCACATCCCTGTTGGGTTTTGGCACCAGGGATGTGAAAACTCGAATTGGTGACTCAAATGTAAGGCAGTGCACTAAATACTCCAACTGAAATGAAAATAATTGATTGCACTGTTAAAGCACTGATGCTTTTCATTTGTACTAACACTTGTCACAACAGAGGCTTGATGCACAATGATTCCTATATGATTTCCCATTGAGATTCGCCTTCCAAATCAATGTTAGGCTTGATGCTGCTCTCAGTCATGGTAGTGTAAACCCTCGGAGATAACTCACCAGCGCCATCTGCTCTTTTCCAGGAGGAGGAGGATGGCTCGGATGACGACGACACCAGGACACAGTTCACGGTCACGGTTAAGCCAGAGCTGAGCATGCTGGGACTTCTCGACCAGCTGGATGAGGACACGGACGGTTTCATCTCGCCTGTTGATGAACTATCACCCTCCAAGAACACCATGGATATGAGATTGTCCAATTTGCATGCTGCCACCATGTGAGTATTAGGTTTAGAGGAGAAACGTATGTCTTAGGGCGCTGACACGCAAGATAATGCTTGGACAGAGTGTTTTGAGATCCATTTTGAAGATGTGGAAAGAGTCGTACCGGACCTCAAATGGCCAGGTCTCTCTCTCTCACAAGAAAGGGACTAACCAGATCTGCTTTTCTAAGAAGCATTGTGAGCTAAGTTGATCGTAGAGACCATTGGTGACAATGGTTCTACAATATACTTAGGCTTATTATGCTTTTGGGAAACACAGCCTTGGACTGCGTAGACCCAAGTATATCGTAGAGACCATTAGTGCCAATGGTTTTTACAGCCTACTTACACTTATGATGCTTTTGGAAAATGCAGCCCTGGTAAACTAAAGGTATAATAAATAAAATAAGGTAGATTTCCAAAATCACAACTGGAAAGGTTGTCATTGGTCAATCGTAGTTAAAATATTGTCAACTACTGGTTGTGCGATGTAGCGCAAGCCTAGTGATTTCCTTGCTATCCATCATCCCCATTGACATCAATGAATTTGCGTGCTTTCTGACATAAACTCAAGCGTGCAAGCGCCCTTACAGACCTTTTACATTTCTTGTATTCATAATTTATCTTGTGGAGCTCCAAGGCCAAATATATATATACAAATGGCTAAAAGTAATTTGTACATTTAAAAAAGCGAATTGTTTGGTAATATTTACCAACTATTGAAACAGCAAATTATTGAATTGTCGCTGCTAAAACTTTCCACTCCCTCTTAACCAAACACACAGGCAGGAACTTGTGGAGCAACTCCAGGAAGCCCGTGAGGAAAAGAAAAGAATCCGCCAAAACCTCCGTGAATTTGAGGATGAGTTCTTCAAACAGAATGGCAGGTAAAGAAAACTTTCACAATACAAATACAAAGGGTAACATGTTTGCTCTTAAAATTGTGTAAACATTCATATGGTGGAATCTATGTCTCTACAGAGAAGTAAAAAAAAAACGTATTATTGAATGTTCTACTTGTGCTTTTCCCATAGAAACGTGCAAAAGGAAGATCGCTCACCCTTGGCAGGGGAATACAATGAATACAAGCATATTAAAGCCAAGCTAAGGCTGTTGGAAGTGCTCATCAGTAAAAGAGACTCCTCCAAGTTCATTTAGTGCTCAGCTTACTCAAGACTTACTCTACTAGCCAAGCAAGGACCAGCCACTGCTATCCAAAGCTATACAGTGGGTACAAAGACATGTCTTACAGGCACATTTGGCTTTTGAAGGACACAGAGACATGACTTGTTCACCAATAGCAGATGTACAGTGCCGTTCGGTCCACTGTACAGCGAAGAGGACTCGTGTTCTGCTTTTGACTTCTGATCATTTTGCAGTCTGCTATGAGACCGTGGATTCAGAATACAATCACATATTGCGAATCTCTGATCCCGATTCCCTTTGAAGCCCAGAAGAATGTTTCTGTTATATTTTGTGTTCGTATTGGTATTTCGATTTTTTCTATATTAATATCGCTATAATATAGAAACAACTGTGTTTTCACAATCAGGCACAAGCTTTGAAGAACATTGAGATATTGCGTCTTAAATTGTCTTATGTATATAGAGATGAGGAGAGTTTATCATTATAGGAACTTTTAGTATTTGATGAATTGAAGAAAGTAACCAATTAATGGAAGGAAGGCTCTCTGTATAGAATTATTTTTTGTTATTTACTGGTGCCATAATTCATGCAAATGGCTTTATTTTGAATATTAATGCTTCTGAGGAAATGCATAATTTGCATTGTTTATCGACTCGTTAATCTAATTCCCCTCCCCTCCAAATTTTAAAGCTGTAATCTTTAAGACCATTGACTAAGCTAGAATCGACTTGATTTTCTTTACAAAAAAACAAACAAAAAAAAAAGGTGCAAAAAACAACCAAAAGGAAAAAAAAACTCTCTCGCTATGCTGTAATGGTGTAGAAACGCACAAACCAAGGTTCTATAAACCAGCTTTCATTTTTCATTTTTTGTGTATATTTTTATACTAATAAATAGTCTCAAGTGTCGAACTGGTCATCACATGAAACTCACTGTTTAACAGTGCTGTGGGCGGATCAAATCCCCTCAAACACATCTCTATTGTTAGCGAGCAATAGAAAGCGAACCTGTGGGGCCTCACTTAGCGTTTGCGCCTGGTGAACGCGGATACAAACCCGAGTGAGCACATTACCCCCTTCTCTTATTCTCCAGATTGGAAAATTGTAGCGTGAATTTTGTTTTTACTGAACGTGACAAGAATGATGGATAAAGATGAATACCGTGTGTACATTTTAGTACATGATTGTATTTGTATTTTGTACATATGATATAAAACCAAAATATTTTTTCTGACTCTACTGGTGTTGGGTGTTTACTTCAGTGTCATTAAATACAAGAAAACGCTTGATAATCAGAGGTGAAGTAATTTTATTGTTCTGGAAAAAAATAGATAAAACAATATATTCCATTTGAAAGCTATAAAAGTAAATATACTTTACTAAAATAACAACGCATCAGTAGCCACTAAGAAGCCCTTGTTTGCATACATTGACAGAAAGGAATACGTTGGATAGAAACACTTCTTTCTATGACCTTCCATCATGTTCAAACAAACACATCTCATGCAGCTAGATGCAAAACATCACACGCCACAGCAAACACATCACCGTGTTCCCCATATCATCCCCATCTCGGAAAACCACCGAGGAACCGCAGGTAAATCACTCGGATCCGTTTTTAATAGCGACCCGACGACGTCAGAAAGAAAACGTGAGTAGAAAACAAAATTTTACAGCATATGACCTTCCTGTGAATCAACAAGAGGGATTAAACTGAAAGCGGCAATGGACTCACCGGAAGAACACAGCTGTTAGAATATTCACATTTGCTGGATTTAAACAATATTAAAATCCCATAACTAGTACACGTCATACATCACCCAGTAGTTATTGCTGGATCACATCCTCAATGAAACCCCATATCATTCTAAGCGAAATCCAACCCCCCCAATGTTAATTAAAATATTTCTGAAAAGCAGCTGGGCATGGCATGCTCATGCACGCCTATTATTAATAAGAGACATTTTTATGCTAATGACTTGCTACTGTACATAAAAGGAAAACCGCTGGAATGGATTCAGGAGGTGTGTAAACGCTTAACGTCCGATTCGAGCATGGGCTGAAAGGGTTAAGAAAAGGGGTTAATCAAGTTAAAACCGTGTACCGTGCTGATGGCGCTGTGTTATCTCTACCATCTTGAACCCGGACGAGCCCCCAATTTACAGGGTTGCGGTGGCTCTTTCTGAATTGAGTGGGCATTTCATACGCTTAAACTAGCGAATTTGATCCAAATTGGTTTAAGTCAAAACGGCAAAATAACATGGTCTGGATACGAGCGACCTATCGGATTCAAAACCAATTCTACTTAAAAAAAAGATATAAAGAAAGTCAAGTCTTTCATTTATTTAGCCAGCTACTCCATCCCAATCTTATAATTTACTTTCATCATTTAAAAAAAATATAAATTTGAGAAGAAAAACAAAATCTGTGCACATCTGGAGAAGCCAACCAAATAAGCAAGTCTGTAAAAATAGGAAAATAATAGATTTACTCGTATGAGATTCAGGATGTGCTCTTCTGTGGTTAAATAAATGCGAGAGCAGCGTTCGTTTCCATTTCTCCACAGGTTTAAAGTGCAGTGTCGGCATACAGAAAGCCACCTCTGTAAGTTAGTTCCTGCTCAGACCAGACTGAAGCCCTCGTACTGCTCCACGGCTTGTGTGAGCCGGTGCCGCAGGGTCTCTTTGGTCTGGTAGCAGGGCATGTCCAGCATGTTATAGCAGGTGTGAGCCACAGGAAGGTAGTGCTCTTCCGTAGCGGTGGACTGGAGGATGATGCGTAGACTGGCCATGCCGTGGATGGGGATGCGGTCACTGCCGGTCAAGAACACTGTTGGGAGGACAAAAACAACACTTATTTGGTCTGCGTTTTAAAGGCGGAGTGACTTCAGCGCAAAGAAGATGCGTTATGCATGAGTGAAGGGACGCTTGAAGGAGTTACTTCCAAACCAAGAAGTGTTCAGCAAAACTCGAAGCGTCTCTCCTCTGCAGTTTATGGAGAGGAGGTGCACAATATATGGTTCTGGTGTACATTTCAGGCGCTTTTATATTATATATTCAATAGCACAAACTGTACCGCAGTTGTCTCTCACTTACACAAGAACTGCTTTTTTTTCTCCAAGGGAAACTCGTGAAACACCTCCCAAAACATCTGAACTGTCGGGTGAGATGCAGAGAACTCGCCCTTGTAGGAGGCATTCTGGGACAAAACAAGACAAAACACAAGTTTAATGTGAACATTAACAGGGCGCGGACAGAATGTTGAATCTTAAAATTGTCAGAGCACGGCTGTGTGTCCCACCTTCTCCATCTCCTCCCAGTTGTAGTTGTTGTTGCCCACCACCATGGCCATGAGCTCAGAGGGCTGGAAGAGAGAAAGGATCTCCCCACCGCAGACCTTCAGGAACCCGCTGGAGAAAGCCGAATACAGCTCCTGTACGGCATCGCTGAATACATACTGCAGATACGCCTGGACAAACTCCTTCCTGAGAGAGGAACATCCAAAATAAAAAAAATAAAAATTATTTATATACATTTTTTTCATTAACGTTGCATCTAGCATTTTGTATTTTATTTTACTTTTCAAGAAAATTAAGCACTTTTTTGTAATTCTTATTGTTACTGTATTGTAGAAAAACCCTCACTCGTTCAAAAATTCAAAAATAATTAATATTATTTAAATGTAGTTGGAGCATTTTTTATTGTCTTTGTGCTGATTTAAGTTTTTTTTTAAATGATGATATTACAGTCATTTTTTACTAAAGATGATGCATGTTATTTAATGATAATGCTTATTTTGATTAAAAAAATCTGTACTAACTAATGAGAATCTAATCTCAGGAAATAATGAGAAAAAAATAAAAATAAAGCATATCTGCCTAATATATTTATATATACAGGTCCTTCTAAAAAAATTATCATATTGTGATAAAGTTCATTATTTTCCATAATGTAATGATAAAAATTTAACTTTCATATATTTTAAATTCATTGCACACCAACTGAAATATTTCAGGTCTTTTATTGTTTTAATACTGATGATTTTGGCATACAGCTCATGAAAACCCCAAATTCCTATCTCAAAACATTAGCATATCATGAAAAGGGTCTCTAAACGAGCTATTAACCTAATCATCTGAATCAACTAATTAACTCTAAACACCTGCAAAAGATTCCTGAGGCTTTTAAAAACTCCCAGCCTGTTTCATTACTCAAAACCGCAATCATGGGTAAGACTGCCGACCTGACTGCTGTCCAGAAGGCCATCATTGACACCCTCAAGCAAGAGGGTAAGACAGAAAGAAATTTCTGAACAAATAGGCTGTTCCCAGAGTGCTGTATCAAGGCACCTCAGTGGGAAGTCTGTGGGAAGGAAAAAGTGTGGCAAAAAACGCTGCACAACGAGAAGAGGTGACCGGACCCTGAGGAAGATTGTGGAGAAGGACTGATTCCAGACCTTGGGGGTCCTGCAGAAGCAGTGGACTGAGTCTGGAGTAGAAACATCCAGAGCCACCGTGCACAGGCGTGTGCAGGAAATGGGCTACAGGTGCCGCATTCCCCAGGTCAAGCCACTTTTGAACCAGAAACAGCGGCAGAAGCGCCTGACCTGGGCTACAAAGAAGCAGCACTGGACTGTTGCTCAGTTTTGCATGTCATTCGGAAATCAAGGTGCCAGAGTCTGGAGGAAGACTGGGGAGAAGGAAATGCCAAAATGCCTGAAGTCCAGTGTCAAGTACCCACAGTCAGTGATGGTCTGGGGTGCCATGTCAGCTGCTGGTGTTGGTGCACTGTGTTTTATCAAGGGCAGGGTCAATGCAGCTAAATATCAGGAGATTTTGGAGCACTTCATGCTTCCATCTGCTGAAAAGCTTTATGGAGATGAATATTTCATTTTTCAGCACGACCTGGCACCTGCTCACAGTGCCAAAACCACTGATAAATGGTTTACTGACCATGGTATTACTGTGCTCAATTGGCCTGCCAACTCTCCTGACCTTAACCCCATAGAGAATCTGTGGGATATTGTGAAGAGAAAGTTGAGAGACGCAAGACCCAACACTCTGGATGAGCTTAAGGCCGCTATCGAAGCATCCTGGGCCTCCATAACACCTCAGCAGTGCCACAGGCTGATTGCCTCCATGCCACGCCGCATTGAAGCAGTCATTTCTGCAAAAGGATTCCCGACCAAGTATTGACTATTGAGTGCATAACTGAACATAATTATTTGAAGGTTGACTTTTTTTTTTTTTTATTAAAAACACTTCTTTAATTGGTCGGATGAAATATGCTAATTTTTTTAGACAGGAATTTTGGGTTTTCATGAGCTGTATGCCAAAATCATCAGTATTAAAACAATAAAAGACCTGCAATATTTCAGTTGGTGTGCAATGAATCTAAAATATATGAAAGTTTAATTTTTATCATTACATTATGGAAAATAATAAACTTTATCACAATATGCTAATTTTTTTAGAAGGACCTGTATATATATACACTCACCGGCCACTTTATTAGGTACACCTGTCCAACTGCTCGTTAACACTTAATTTCTAAGCAGCCAATCACATGGCGGCAACTCAGTGCATTTAGGCATGTAGACATGGTCAAGACAATCTCCTGCAGTTCAAACCGAGCATCAGTATGGGGAAGAAAGTTGATTTGAGTGACTTTGAACGTGGCATGATTGTTGGTGCCAGAAGGGCTGGTCTGAGTATTTCAGAAACTGCTAATCTACTGGGATTTTCACGCACAACCATCTCTAGGGTTTACAGAGAATGGTCCGAAAAAGAAAAAACATTCAGTGAGCGGCAGTTCTGTGGGCGGAAATGCCTTGTTGATGCCAGAGGTCAGAGGAGAATGGCCAGACTGGTTCGAGCTGATAGAAGGGCAACAGTGACTGAAATAACCACTCGTTACAACCGAGGTATGCAGCAAAGCATTTGTGAAGCCACAACACGCACAACCTTGAGGCGGATGGGCTACAACAGCAGAAGACTCCACCGGGTACCACTCATCTCCACTACAAATAGGAAAAAGAGGCTACAATTTGCAAGAGCTCACCAAAATTGAACAGTTGAAGACTGGAAAAATGTTGCCTGGTCTGATGAGTCTCGATTTCTGTTGAGACATTCAGATGTTAGAGTCAGAATTTGGCGTAAACAGAATGAGAACATGGAACCATCATGCCTTGTTACCACTGTGCAGGCTAGTGGTGGTGGTGTAATGGTGTGGGGGATGTTTTCCTGGCACACTTTAGGCCCCTTAGTGCCAATTGGGCATCGTTTAAATGCCACGGCCTACCTGAGCATTGTTTCTGACCATGTCCATCCCTTTATGGCCACCATGTACCCATCCTCTGATGGCTACTTCCACCATGTCACAAAGCTCTAATCATTTCAAATTGGTTTCTTGAACATGACAATGAGTTCACTGTACTAAAATGGCCTCCACAGTCACCAGATCTCAACCCAATAGAGCATCTTTGGGATGTGGTGGAACGGGAGATTCGCATCATGGATGTGCAGCCGACAAATCTGCGGCAACTGTGTGATGCCATCATGTCAATAATATGGACCAAACTCCCTGAGGAATGCTTCCAGCACCTTGTTGAATCTATGCCACGAAGAATTGAGGCAGTTCTGAAGGCAAAAGGGGGTCCAACCCGTTACTAGCATGGGGTACCTAATAAAGTGGCCGGTGAGTGTATATATATATATATATATATATATATATATATCCAATGCACATATTTACATGCACTCACATCCCAGACCGAGTGAATTTAGACTGATAATCTGAGCTGGGCTAAAGGCCTGTAATATCTTCAGGAGGTCATATAGCAGCGTCAGGTTTGCTGAAGATTGTGATCTGAGCTTGTGTGTGTGTGTGTGTGTGTGTGTGTGTGTGTGTGTGTGTGTGTGTGTGTGTGTGTGTGTGTGTGTGTGTGTGAACGGGCCTTGATCTGAGCTCAAGATGATTGGCCCTCCGCCTAATCTCACCGTCAGACAGCAGGACGCATGCACATATGCAAACAAAACACACATGCATGATCCCATGATCGCCATTTTCTTACACCCTTTTTCTATTCTTACAATCTCTACTTAATGTGTTACCTGAAATACACACTTGATCGCGGCAACAATTCTTCATACATCACAAATGTGTGTGCATTTACATGTATTTTTTTTGTGTGTGGTTTGGATTGGATTTGTGTTGATGCAGTCCCATCTGTTCCTGCAGCTTCTGAAACTGTGCAATTTTGTCCCCGCTGACAACACACCTACACACACACACACACTCTCCCTCTCTCTCTTTCTCTGACAGACACTGAAAGATGGAGCACAGGCAGGAACAACATGACCTCTTTCAGACCTTCATTTAAAGAGACACACCACAGACTATATTCCTAACAATCGCACCTGTTGGTCTTGTCCACAGCGACGTTCTTCCCACCCTGAACCAGCTCCTTGACCTCTGTGATCCCATAATACTCTCTTGTAATCTGTGGACACAGTTGTTACATTTATATATTCATTTACTGATAAGTCTGAAGTCAATTTCACACCTAATATTGTCAAAAGCTTGAAACGACTGAGATTGTTTCATCTCTACTACCGCCCATCCCTAATTCTAAATCATAAATCACAAAAACATATGTTGAATATCGTTCTATCATCCGACAGGAAACGTTGATGGGACATATGGCAAGTGAGCAAACTCAAACACATTCGAATAACCGTCTTGGCAGCATGTGTGTGATATCAAGGATAGGTTTTACCAAAGCAGTGAATTGTAAATTGCTCTATAATATGAATTAGTTATCAAAACAAATGCTCTTAACTTGGTGTGGCCTCATTTGAGGGGTCACGTTTAATTTGGTGTCCAGTAACTTACAGCAAAGTTCAAACAGAAGGTCTCCTCCACGTCCCCCTCATAGTCCAGCAGCTGCTGAAGACTCCTGCAGACAGATGAACACATGACAAAACAGTCACTGAAAATATACATTTCTCATTATGACAGATGCGTAAGCCAAACTTTCATATTATCCATGTCTCCTTTTATGTCTAGAGTCATCGACAGGCCTTTAATTGTCTTTCTCTCCGGTAATCGCAGCTAAGAGCTCAGCGGCTGCAGGGTATAGGAGCAAACCCCTGGCTTACCTGAGCTGGGACAGTAGCACATCATCTCCTACTTTTTACAAATGACTCTTCTGCCTATGACATTATAAACCACTTATAAATCAGAATGTTTGCTTTTTACATAAGCAGCCAGTCGAACTCAGAAAACAGATTCAACTGAAGTCTCAAAACAAGGACTAGCACGTTTATAGCTAGCTGCATGAATACATCCACTTTTAATTTAAAGTTAGTAACATTTCAAGGTTTAAACTTAAAATTGAAACTTTATTGCCCTCTTGAGTACTGAGGTTTGCTTCCACCAGTCTGTTGTGATTGGTCTACTCCGCTCTGATTGGTCAGATGACCCAGTCTGTTGTGATTGGTCTACTCTGCTCTGATTGGTCAGATGACCCAGTCTGTTGTGATTGGTCTACTCTGCTCTGATTGGTCAGGTGACCCGGTCTGTTGTGATTGGTCTACTCTGCTCTGATTGGTCAGATGACCCAGTCTGTTGTGATTGGTCTACTCTGCTCTGATTGGTCAGATGACCCAGTCTGTTGTGATTGGTCTACTCTGCTCTGATTGGTCAGATGCTTCAGTCTGTTGTGATTGGTCTACTCTGCTCTGATTGGTCAGGTGACCCGGTCTGTTGTGATTGGTCTACTCTGCTCTGATTGGTCAGATGGTCCAGTCTGTTGTGATTGGTCTACTGTGCTCTGATTGGTCAGATGGTTCAGTCTGTTGTGATTGGTCTACTCTGCTCTGATTGGTCAGGTGAACCGGTCTGTTGTGATTGGTCTACTCTGCTCTGATTGGTCAAATGGTTCAGTCTGTTGTGATTGGTCTACTCTGCTCTGATTGGTCAGATGGTTCAGTCTGTTGTGATTGGTCTACTCTGCTCTGATTGCTCAGGTGACCCGGTCTGTTGTGATTGGTCTACTGTGCTCTGATTGGTCAGATGGTTCAGTCTGTTGTGATTGGTCTACTCTGCTCTGATTGGTCAGATGGTTCAGTCTGTTGTGATTGGTCTACTCTGCTCTGATCGGTCAGATGACCCAGTCTGTTGTGATTGGTCTACTGTGCTCTGATTGGTCAGATGGTTCAGTCTGTTGTGATTGGTCTACTCTGCTCTGATTGGTCAGATGGTCCAGTCTGTTGTGATTGGTCTACTCTCCTCTGATTGGTCAAATGGTTCAGTCTGTTGTGATTGGTCTACTCTGCTGTGATTGGTCAGATGGTCCAGTCTGTTGTGATTGGTCTACTCTGCTCTGATTGGTCAGATGGTCCAGTCTGTTGTGATTGGTCTACTCTGCTCTGATTGGTCAGATGGCCCAGTCTGTTGTGATTGATCTACTCTGCTGTGATTGGTCAGATGACCCGGTCTGTTGTGATTGGTCTACTCTGCTCTGATTGGTCAGATGGCCCAGTCTGTTGTGATTGATCTACTCTGCTGTGATTGGTCAGATGACCCGGTCTGTTGTGATTGGTCTACTCTGCTCTGATTGGTCAGATGGCCCAGTCTGTTGTGATTGGTCTACTCTGCTGTGATTGGTCAGATGGTCCAGTCTGTTGTGATTGGTCTACTCTGCTGTGATTGGTCAGATGGTCCAGTCTGTTGTGATTGGTCTACTCTGCTCTGATTGGTCAAATGGTTCAGTCTGTTGTGATTGGTCTACTCTGCTGTGATCGGTCAGATGGTCCAGTCTGTTGTGATTGGTCTACTCTGCTCTGATTGGTCAGATGGTCCAGTCTGTTGTGATTGATCTACTCTGCTGTGATTGGTCAGATGACCCGGTCTGTTGTGATTGGTCTACTCTGCTGTGATTGGTCAGATTGCCCAGTCTATTGCGATTGATCTACTCTGCTGTGATTGGTCAGATGACCCGGTCTGTTGTGATTGGTCTACTCTGCTCTGATTGGTCAGATGGCCCAGTCTATTGTGATTGATCTACTCTGCTGTGATTGGTCAGATGAGCCGGTCTGTTGTGATTGGTCTACTCTGCTCTACAGCGTATGTTACAGCCTGGAATTACTGACGACTCGTTTTAGGCAGTTCAGAATCAGTTATTTCTTTTGTGAGACAATAACTCCATTTATCCTACACTTTGATCTTTAAAACTTTGCAGACCTTTTACATTCAAACAGCTATATTACACACTATATGAAAGGTAATACGAAAAAGCATAATAGGGGCACTTTAAATTAAACGACAAATTAATTTGACTAAAAATAAAATAAAACCTAAATTCAAAACTATAACAACACTGGCCTATATTTGCATACTTGCTATTTTGAAACAAATAAGTTGAGTATTCTCTTCAATTTCATGTTGCTGTAAATCTCGTTCCTTAGCTCCTGATCAGATTAAAACCGTCCACGGATAAATCCAACAATTTGGCAGGAGTGTCAAACACATCTAACTGAGGGAAAGCCAATTAATCCTAGATCCTTTTAAATGCATTAGCACACAACAAAATCATCTGCCATGGAGTTGTAATTGCCAGGTCAAGGTTCGCTGATGGCTGTTTTCATAAGGTGATATGACTCATGAAATGTGGGAAACAGCCTTGAAGACGCAAACCACAAACACAATTACAGGTTTGAACCGGCCATCAACTCTGAGCCGGCTGGTCTCTCCTTCTGCAACCATTTAGTGGTCTGATGGTGACTCACAAACTTAAGCTGTTCAAAAAGCTTTTTGGGTGGCTTTTAATTAACGTTACAGAAAAAACAACCTGTTTATGTAACCAAGTGGCAAAGGACACAGAGCGTAGGGCAAAAAACAAGACAAAACAGTTCTTCACTGGTCTGTGCAGTCCGTTTAGGACTTCGATTTCTCAGTAAAGCCTCGGGGGTCACAGGAACTCCATTGATTTGGTCTAACGAGGGCAGTGATACAGTGTTCTGTGGGAGGCCGAGTTCATTTGATCAGCGAGTGATGACTTTTAGTGGAAAAACAACAACATGTTGCCTACAAGAGCTAAGTGGTACAAGTTTAGATACAGACAGGCTTAATTTGAACAAACTGGATCCGGCACCTCTGGAATACCTATTTTAAAGGATCCCCAACCTCATATAGAGAGCTACAGCGAATTAGAAGATTTTCTGTGAATTATGGCTTTAATTATGGTCTTTATGGACTACGTCTATGTCATTTTTGAACATTCGTAGTCATGGCAGAATTTTCATTTTTGAACAAACAATCCCTAAAAGAGGGAGGGACAACCTGTCACTCACATGAAATCAACAAATAGCAATCCACCACCATCCAATCAATTCCTGATTAATAAAATCAAGTCCCGGCCCACATTTTTGTCTTGTTCAAGAAGCCGTTTAACTTGGATATATGTCACAATAGGGAAGAAAAGACTATCACATCTTCTATTTCGTGCCGACTTTAAAGACAAAGACAAAAAAAGCATCATGTTTTATACCTTCCCTCTGTAGGCGAAAGCTCTTTCAGGTCATCCAGAGTGGGCGAAACATCCAGAAGCTTCTTGTAGAGCACCAGGGGAAAGTGCAGATCCACCACAGTAGAGTTATAGATGGCCAAACCGCAAATGATCCCGATCAAGTGGAACCAATTGTGCTCCACAAAACACTGCAATGCAAACGCACACACATGAGTTATCCATAAAAATACTTCTGCATACCAATGCCACCAAGACTCCTTTATCTAAAAGCCATCTTTCCTTTACAACCCTTTAATTAGCCAAGAATGTGTGTCAACAAAATAAGATCTCGCCAGCAGTGAAAGTAAATTAAACTCATTAAACTCTGTACAATCACGTGTCGTAGTCTTGTTTTGTACACAGCTGAAGAGAAATCCAGCAGGATCATCATGTTTGCATGAAAACAGCTGAGCTGTCCCAGATTTTTCAAAATCACCAGGCCGATAAGATTATCTGATGATGTTCTCAGTCACGCAGCACTTTGAGAAACACCTACTGTATAGAGAGCATTGGTGCCCGCTCTTTTTTTCAGCGGCGTTGGAAGTATTTTTCCATATGTTGTTTTTAAAAAAAGTCTTTGTCAAAGCATTATAAGCCATGAACCAAACCAACCAGCTACGAGGTCACAACATTACAAACTCTGATGTGAAGCAAAAAAGTATTTGAAACCCATAAGTACTTTATGGCTTAAAGGAATAGTTCACCCAAAAATGTCGTTCTTCTGCTGAACACAAATGAAGATATTTTAGAGAATGTCCGTAACAAGACATTTGATGGACCCCATTCACTTCCATGGGTAGGAAAAAATACTATGGAAGTCAATGGGGTCCATCAACTGTTTGGTTACTGACATTCTTCAAAATATCTTCTTTTGTCTTCAGGTTTGGAACAGCTTGAGGGTGAGTAAATAATGACAGAATTTTCATTTTTAAGTGAATTCAATCCAATGTATTTGTGAATACCAATCAAAAACGATGAAGAAATATAAAACTAGTAATTTAAAAGTGCTATATGTAACGTTTTCACTCTACTATAGCATAAAAATACCCAATATGTTTGCATATATTGAGGAAACATGCTAAGTTCACATACTCGTTTCTCTGAAAAACACTTCTACAGCCAGTTATTTTACTTTAAAAATGTGCGTTTCCAAGCTGGAATGTTTGTTTTTGGTCTGTTATACTGCACGTTGCCAATTTGCCAATTTTCATTGTCCATTGCACTCGTTCCTGTTACGTGTCCTTAAACTAGCAATCCGTGTGAGCGCCATCGAGTCCGAGGAGGAGGGGGCGGGAGAAACGACGATCTCTGATATTTTTAATTGGACTGCAGAACCTATTTTAACCACTAGTTCTTTCTTACAGACTAAGCTGTTGATTATCTCTATAGAAACAATATATGTTAAGTGTTTTGTAACATATTTTGACAGTATAGCAAGTTACATTTATGTAATTTGTAATTACGTCATTCACGGTGCTTTATGGGACTGGGTGTTCCCTGCAGAGCGCTTTTTGATTGGTGGAATCTGCTGTACTGCATTGTGGGTAATGCAGTTTTTCACCACAAATTCAGCTGTTAAACAATTATTTTAAAAATAAATACAAATAAATCTGACAGATGGCTTCAGTCAAATCAAAACAAAACCATCGATTAACAACCTCTGAACTCACAGTAGGCCTGTCTTTAAAAATCAATTTCCTTATGGAGATCCTTATCCAATCCTGAATGTTGCTCAAACATTTCAACTGATATTAAGATTTTTGGAGTACCCTGCATATGCAATTAAATTCTGTTTTGAATTCACATTATATCTGGGGCATGTTATAACTCCAAAAAACTTTTTTCATTATCTTAGTTTAATGTTGAAAGCGGTGGTAATAACTAAGGCTGAACTCACTTTATCAGAGAACCACAGCAGATTGGACTCTGAATACTGGGTGAACATGCCGTAGATCGGATCCATCAGCTCTTTCAGCAGGAGCAGGAAGAACTCCTTCGTGACTCCTCCAGCATCTACAGCTTCCTCTCCATCAAAGATGACCTGCAATGATTAATATAGTTAGTCAAACCTATGTCTAAGTAGGCGGTTCTTGGTCAAAATATGCTACAATGTGGTCTAGAAAAAATTAACTCTGTGGGATGACAAAGACAAACCTTGAGTGGCTTCTTCAAGTCTACGTCATTGTAGACCGTGAGCTCCCGGAGAGCGTCACTGACTAAGTGGTTCCTGCGTACGTGAAGCACCAGGAAAGGGTTCCTTGCCAGCAAAGGTTCCATAGTCAACAGCATGAAGACGTTGTGCAAGTTAGCGCCGCTTACGGCCATCTGTACAGTAATGAAGCAGGCAAAACAAGTCAAAGAGACTGAATAATAAGAGTCAGATTCATAAACCCTGGGTATTTTTATGAGATGGCAATAGTAATATTCATGCAGAGCACATCCTCTGTATCTGCTCTGAAACCAATGCCAGGCTGTAACTGTAACATGGACTAATGTAATATGTCAGCTTTAACTTCTTAGTTTAATAGGAAACATTTTGTTTATTTTAAGATAAAATGTATAATGTTTATAAATATATGAAAAAATTGTAGGAATAAAATACTATTTGTAAAAGCAAACTATTATTTCAAAAGTTTGCTGACAGTAAGATTTCTTTTTAAAAGAAATTACTACTTTTATTTAGCAAGGATGAATTAAATTGATCAAAACTGACAGTAAAGATATTTATAATGTTACAAAAGATTTTGATTTTAAACTTTTTGAACTTTTTATTCAACATTGATAATGATTAAAATGTTTCTTGAGAACCAAATCAAAGCAAGTAAAAATTCATTTTTGCATCACAGGATAAAATAACATTTTAAACTATAGCAAAATACAGAACAGTTATTTTAAATTGAACTTTCACAATATATTTTTACTGTATTTTTGATCAAATAAATGCAGCCTTGGTGAACTTCTTTCAAAGCATTGACAAATCTTACCGACCCCAAACTTTTGAACGTTAGTGCAAGTCAAAAACATGAGCAGAACAACAACAACAACAATCCTAAAAGTTGAGTGTTGAGTGGTGTTATTTCTTTTACCTGCATTTGCAGCTCCGCATCTGTTTGCAGCACGGTTGTCTTGGCTTGCGCGTTCAATATGAACGGATAGGCACATAACGTGACAGAACCCTGGGAAATAAGACTCAGATGATCAAGCCGAGACCATCACAACTGTCTAAAAACAAACTGATATTGAGTTATTAAATAAACAAACCTGCACTGGAGGGTATCGCATTTTCTACAATAAAAAACAAGAACATATGTTAAATTCTGAGGTACTTTTATTTTTCAACTTGGGATGATCAAGATTTGAGGAACTGTCTATGTGAAACTATAACATTTTGTGTACATAGTGTACATAAACATTCACTTTAGCTATGCTTCCATCCACCTATTTATATGCAAATTTTTATTTTTATTTAAAAATTATGGGTTATCGCATAAAAAAAACACTGGATGGAAATGCCAAGACGCAAATAAATTCGAAAAATGTGACTAAAAAAACGTAAGCGCTCAACTGAGGTGGATCATTTTTTTGTTCAATAAGTAGACGTGTATAAACTATGGTGGGAACACAATTTGCAACTTTGGATGGAAACATACATTTACATGCAAATGTCTAAATTCATAAATGTTAATCTGCAATAGGCCTATGTGCAGCAATATACGCACAATATCAGCTTTGCGCAGAAACCATTTGAGGTAGTCTTCCTGGATGTCCACCAGGGTGGTGATATCAGGGATGTAGAAGTTGTTGTATTCCACATGATGGGCTTTCAGATTTACCTGCAGCAAAATACGTGGATCCATCACTAACAGTAGTTTATAATTCAACAACGCAAGCTAAATTATGCAAGTATGTCTGAAAAAACATGGAAAAACAGCAATTCAGCTGGGGAATATTCAATCAAATAGCTTATTAATCATTTACTCATTAAAAGCGAGATCTGTTGTGTGGGTTTTGGTCGTACCTTGTGTAGTTTCTCCAGCAGTCGGAGGGCGGCACTGGTGTAGCTCTCCATGAACACAGGCACCAGGAGCGCCTTCCCGCCAGTCAACAGAAACACAACGATGCTTTTGTACATCTCCACTAGTCTGGAGAAAACCTCGCAATCCATCAGAGACCACCAGTTATCTGAGAAACGGCATACAGATTCATTCCAAAAGCCTTTTTGATCTTGGACTTTGATAAACTTTGTAACGAAGCAACAGTTAACGGTGTTTCTAGGCAGTGAAACGTGTTGGCGACGTCATACCGAGCACTTTGCTAGGGTTGGCGTCCAATCTGAGGATGGCCATGGCTAGAGGGATGGTGAGAGAGATGTAGTTTTTGGAGTCCTGGAGAGCGGGACATTCAGACAGGATCAGGTAGATCCGCATGGCTTCCACGTCAGGAGGAGAGCAGGGCAGCTGGGGGATCAGGAGACTCTCAAAGCTCTTTGTGGCCTAGAAGAACACATTTGAGAGAGGTTTATAGTTAAAATACATATATATTGATCAAAAGTGACAGTAAAGACATTTACAAAAGATTTCTATATCAAATAAATAATGTTCTTTTGAACTTTCCATTCATTAAAGAATCATGAAAAAAGGGGTTACACAAAAATATGAAGTGTTGAACTGGTTTCAACATTGATAATAATAATGAATGTTTCTGGAGCATCAAATCAGCATATTAGAGTGATTTCTGAAGCATTATGTGGAACTGAAGATAGTAATGATCCTGAAAATTCAGCTTTGAAACACAGGAATAAATTACATTTTACATAATAATAAAATAATAATAAATATTTCATGTATTTTTAATCAAATATATGCAGCCTTGGTGAGTATTTAATAAAATCCTAGCAACTGCAAACTTTTCAACAGTAATGTATAATCAGAAGATTCCTCAAATTAGATTGGAAAGTATACCAAATTTCACCCGGTTAAAACACAAACGAGGCTTTAAATGTTTTAGAAACTTGATAATGTTCCCAGCCGAGTAATCGCCTTCCAAGTACGCAGTGTATTAAAGACCTAAATAAATGATGAGGCAATGGTGACGTATCAAAGCACACACACCTGCTCCAAAAGTCTTGCGAAGGCTGGTTTCATCAGCATTTCAAAAAGCAGCCGGACAGCATTGAAATCGATGCCCGGGACTTTGGGGTTTGTCTTGAAATGTCCGTCATCGCTGTGAAAACAGCAGGTGAAAATTAAGTTTCCAAATGTTGGTTAGCAACAAGATATGAAATCTAATACCGACAAATCTAATTTACTAATTTAAGATAATAAAAAAATGGTGTGCATTGTCTGAATTAGTTACAATAGTTCAAACTATTTTGAAAACATATAACATTGGGATTTAGTATATCCAAGCAAGGGTGGGTCAACAGATGAGCAAATAGATGGATCTGAGGTGAGGTCATTTAAGGCCTTTCCTCTCCATTGCTCTTTATCCTGGTCTGTCGCTCTGGCGGGATGAAAGCAGGATCACATGCTGGGTGTAAATACAGCCTGATGCTGATCCCTGCACTACACACCAGTGTATTTTAAGCATGTCAGGGTAAGATGGTTGATCTATGATAAACGACTCTTCACACACCAAGAAAGGTTTTTAATACCAGTCCCGTTTCAATGAGATGGCAAGATGTTTTTAACCATAATACAGTTCAGTTAAATGTAATCAATCTGACTCATTTAAATCAGATTCAACTAGATCTGAATAATCTGATTCATTCTAATTCAATTCAACTGCATCTGACCAATCTGATTCATTTCAATAAGATATTGTATTTGGCCAATCGGAGTTATTTAAATTCAATTCAACTGGATTTGATTATTCTGATTCATTATAATTCAGTTCAGTTAAATTGAATCAATCGGACTCATTTGAATCAGATTCAACTAGATCTGAATAATCTGATTCAATTCAATTGCATTCGACCAATCTGATTCATTATAATTCAATTCAGTTGAATTGAATCAATCGGACTCATTTAAAACCAATTAAATTCAACTGCATTTGACCAATCATATTCATTTTGAGTAATCTGATTTATTTCAATACGATTCAATTAGATTTGGTCTATCTGATTCATTTCAATTCAGGTGGATATTTTCAATTAAAATCGATCTAATGAGTGTGATCCCATTCAATTTGTAGAAATAAAGCTGCCCAGTCAGCAGTGCAAATGTCTACAGAAACCTCAACTCTTCAGCTCTTGATCTAGAGTTCATTGTGTGCAATGGAGTCCATGGCACCATGTGTCGCTCCAAATGCCCGCCAACCCCGAGTTGGGACATGTGCACAGCAGAGTTTTAATCAAATATCCAAAACCGCATTATAAAATGCAGACTTGACCTCACAACCCATAATACCCCGTCTGAACGCCAGCGACACCAGTTGTTCCTTATGTAACCAGATAATCTCTTGAAATGCAGTGCAGATTATGAACATCAAGGACTGCATCCGGCAGAATGAGGTTTCTAGAGTCTCTTGTCAGAAAAAGATACCCATCGAGTCATGTTTTCTCCGAAAGAGGGACTGCTCTTTTAAAGGCAGAGCTGTAACCGGGAGCCCTGCGGGATGACTGTGAAGAATTTGCCTCCTGACATTAAGAAGAAGTCACCTATGGAAAAATCACAAGCGCTCCACTCTCCATGGTGTCACCCCGTGCGCATATGCTTATTGACATGGCATTTACATTTAATTAGATTGGGAATGCAAGGGAGGAACATTTTAACTGCTCACCTTTGGTCCAAAAAGCTGGCATTCCAACATGCAGTCGAGGACATCAGGAGTATGATGTCACTAGAAGGGGAGGGAAGAGGCTTGAAATCAGCATCGAAATCATAACAGATACACAGTGTAAAGAAAATCTTCTATCACCTCTGAAATTATTTATTTTCTGCTGACGTAATGCCTGCATGGCTGGGGGAAAATAACTAACCAATATTATCCCAAAAAATCGGCCTAACATGTTTTATTTCCTCACCTCCTGATCAAAATTGTTCAAAAAGTCTTCTTTTTCCCCCCTTTTTTAAAGAAATTGACAATTTTACTCTGCAAGGATGCATGAAATTGATCAAAAGTGACAGTAAAACATTGATAATATGTTACAAAAGATTTCCCATTTAAAATAAATTCTGTTTTTTTCCTTATATATATCAAAGAATCCTGTTTTTTTTTTTTTTTTTTTTATAAATTTTCCACAAAAAATATTAAGCAGCAAATCAGAATATCAGAATGATTTCTGAAGGATCATGTGACAATGAAGACTGGAGTAACGATGCTGAAAATTCAGCTTTGCATCACAGGAATAAATTACATTTGACAAATTGTAATAATATTTCACAATATTAAGTTTTTTACTGTATTTTTGATCAAATAAATGCAGCCTTGGTGAGCAAAGAGACATTGATCAAAAACATTAAAACAATCTTACTGACTGAATGGTAGTGTGTCATACAGCATTATGAAAGTTAAATATTTTAAAATGCAGCTAATTCTGCCTTAGAAATGATAAAACATTACAAAAGTAGAACATTTCTGTAAGGCCTCTATCATTATTATTATTATTATTTCCTTTATTTTAACCAGGAGAATCACATGGAGATATTACTATCTCTTCTTCCAGAAAGACCTGGTCAAGACGGCAGCACATAAAGTTTCACACACGAGAAGGGACTTATCATAACTGTAACCAACCTGGATATAGTCACACACTCACTTGGTGATGCTTGAATCGCTGTTGTCATGCAGCTTCATCCTCCAGCTGTCCAGACTCTCAGAATTAATCACAGCGATGCTTTTGGTGGTATTCATGATACGGAAATCCTCAGGGAAAAATGAACCCTGTTCTCAAACACACAATGCACACACTTAGAAACGTGTATTTCTAGAATATTATGACCTCAGGGGCAAATTCCTAAATTGTCCTACACAGTAACTGAAGTAATAAAACAATACAAATCAAATCGGTGGCAAAGCAGGCAACCTCAGTCTTTCTGTTGATCCTGAAAAACCATTGCATTGATGTATCGGCGCCACCATGTGGATAAAAGTAGGTACTGACCAATCAACCTTGCAGATAAGATTGATCAAATAAACATCAAATACATCACATAAAAGCCTACGGTATGAGCAGGTACAAACTACTCTCAATTCATGAGAAGATATTGAGGAATACACTGATTTATTGAATATTCTAGTAAAGTAAAAGCATCCAAAAAACAGTACAATATCAGCTGTGGTGTTTCACAGCAGCAACGTTACCTCCTTGGCAGACAACAACAGGAAACTGTGATCACCTCCACTGTGGATTTTACTGACGGTGTAGCGCTCGGCTTCTGTAGAAAAAGAACATATAGAACGGTCACAAACCGAACTACAGATCCTGTGAAATGGTGCCTATTAATATCTGACTATCCCTGTCAATCCAGTTAATTAACATTTAGCTTATCATCACTTAATAGAGGATTTATTTAATCCATACAGAATGTGACACAATGGCATGGTGATCATATGTACGTACTTGTGTATGTGTTTCCAAAGCACAGGGGTTGGATGTTCCTGACAGGAAGTGGGCTCTTAGCGTTTCCTCTGAGACCTGTGCCCAGCTGGCCCTGAGTGTTGCAGCCGAAAGCGTAAATCAGGCCTGTGGAGGGCACGAATGCCAGGGTGTGGTGCCTGTGACACACACACACACAGAGGTATGCTGTGAAATAATATCCCATCTCATTCTTCCCTGATGACTGCATGCATAATGGTATACAAAAGTCAAGTTGAGAGTATTTTAATGTTTAAATATTACAGCCTGGTATGGTAACTTAGGAGTGAGGAATAAAAAGAAGTTGCAGAAGAAGTAGTGAGAACGGCAGGAAAAATAATAGGACGCCAGCAAACACAGCTTGATAAACTGTATTTGCTGGCAATACACAGAAGAGCAACAAGGGATGTATCTGACTGCACACACCCACTTAACTCAGAATTTGTAATGCTTCCATCTGGAAGAAGGTCCCAAAATATCTTGGAAATGTGTATAAACTTTCCTTTATACCAGTGGCAATTAGAATATTATATCAAGGGTAAGCAACTCTTACCCTTATAATCATTTTTATATTGATATATTGTGTATGTGTATAACTTCAGCATGGTATAAATATATGATATAATCAAATGAATGTAAATTCATTTATTTTTAAACTGTGCTTTTTAAAAAAAAAATTGATTACCGTTTAAAAGTTTGGAGTCGGTAAGATGGTTTCTCATGCTCAAGGCTGCATTTATTTGATCAAAAATACAGTAAAAACAGAAATATTTTGAAATATTATTACAATTTAAAATACCTGTTTTCTATTTGAATATATTTTAAAATGTAATTTTTTCCTGTGATCAAAGCTGAATTTTCAGCATCATTACTCCAGTCTTCAGTGTCACATGATCCTTCAGAAATCACTCTAATATGATGATTTGATGCTCAAAACACATTTCTCAAAAGAAATCTTGATGACCCCAAACTTTTGAACGACCCTGTAATTAATAAACAGTAGCTACTCCAAAATAAAAAATAATGATGTGCATTACCCATACAGTGTCAGTATATTTTTGGAAATGACACAAACGAAGAAAAACAGCACATCAATCTGAAACAGATGGACACAGAAATGTACATATTACTTACCGCCCACAAGCGATCTGAGACACCTCGGTGCCCATGAGCTCCATAACTCTGCGTGGAAGAGGCTCGTTGTTGGTGGAATCGTGGCCCAGCTGTCCTCTTGAACCGTTTCCAAATGTGAACAGACCCCCTTCCTGAACCAAACACGGCACAAACAGCAATGCTTCAAGCTCAAGATTGAAAATGAACAATGAAATCAAACAACTTTCCATAGAAAGCTAGTTCAACAGAAATTCTTATCAACAGTCACTAAAAAGATTAAAGATTAAATTAACGGAGTGTTCAAATAACTGTAGCAATTTGTCTCTTTCTTCAAAGTTTTACATATTTTAAAAAGAATGTGTTTTTCAGCATACTGCTATAATTTGGCTGTATGATCAAAACCTTTGTCAAGGCAGCGGTGTGTTCATCTCCACAGCTGATGTACACCACCTTCTGTGACCGCAGGAACTTGATGTGGCAGGGAACAGCCCGGTCTATGAGACATCAGACAAAAATGTTATGCCATTGTTATGCCATTCTTTTAAAGAGGACCTATTATGTCCTTTTACATAGTCTTGGTTTTGTTTTTAGGGTTTACTAGAATATATTTTCATGCTTGATTGTTCAAAAAACACATTATTTTTCGCATATTTGACATTGTTGCGGCACCTCTCTTCCCAGTCTGTCAGTACCACTCTGTTTAGTTCCTGTCTCTATGAATCCCTCATTCTGAAAAGAGCAGTGTGCTCTTTGGTACAACGGTGCTCTCAATTGGTTGGCTGGACCAGTGTGTTGTAATTTGTCAACCACTTTTAACGCGTGTTTTGAAAATGTCAAGCTCTTAGGATAACCGCGAGTTTCAACACACTACTAACTAACTCAACCAGGCCTCACACCTTTATTTTGCGTGTGCCGTGGCCGGGAATTATTTAAATGAGGAATATTGTGACGTGTTTGTTCTCTGAAGAAAACTCAAAACTACAATGGAGGCGTTTCAGGGAGTTCAGAAACAGTGCGCACGCCACTGATATAGGGAATAACTCCCTTTGGAGTGACTTTATGCTTTGTAACTTTGCAGACCTTTTTCATGCTCAAACAGAAACACACTAAAGAAAGTAAAAAACCATAATAGGTCCTCTTTGAATAATATTCCATAGCAAACTAATCCTGGAGCAACCTAAGGTTTGGCGCCTTGCTGAAGGGTATTAAAGTTTCAAGAATCGTCAGTTTCAAGCATTCAATCAAACAACCTTTTGGTTCACAGACGCGCGTGTGTTTTACCTTGCTCGTCATTGAGGCCCAGCTGTCCAGCGCCGTTCTTCCCCCATCCGAACACAGCTCCAGAGAGGGACAAGGCAAAGCTGTGGTCTCCTCCGGCGCTGATGTGAGCCAGTGGGATCCCACACAGAGATTTGAGCGGTTGAGGAGACAGAGTGCTCGGCTCTCCCTTCCCTAAACCCAGCTGCCCACTGGAGTTCTCTCCCCATACGAACAACTGGCCATCTGAGAAGAGGAGGACAGCGGGGATCTTCTGTTACTGACACAGCAGAAGTACAACGGAAAACAAAACGACTGAATTAATCTGCTCTTACCTTTTGAAAGTGCTATACAGTGTTGGTTGCCACACATTACTTGTGAGATTCGATGCTCGCACAACTTTTTAATCAACCTAAATCAATAACAATAAAAAGGAACACAGAAAAAATACATAAACTTATTTAAGACGTCAAGTTCTGGACTACATCTATCAAATTCACCAGGTTAATTAACTATGATGATGATGATGGAGAAGTAATAACCATTCAACATATCATGTGACACGTGGAATGTGATTTTTTCTTTTTCAGTTTCTGCACCAATTGTGGGGGGACATATGTGAAATTCTATGGAATGGATTTAACACTTTGATTATTAATTATTAAATTGCAACTCAATTCAATTAAAATCAAGGATTTTTTAAAACTTCTAAACATAATCATTCCCAATGATTTTATATATATTTTTTTGTATAATAAATCAAAAAGATTTATATTTTTAAAGAGGTACACATCTGTGCAAAAACCACTCCAGAAGGTATTATATAAATAAATATTAATATTCTAGAGGTACTTTGGGCATAACCAATTACAAAAATTCTTTCTACACGGATTGTGGAGATAAATGTGAAATATTCTCTGTAATGGATTTACATTTTTTGATGCATTCCTTAATATAGAATAGAATATTAAATCCGAAAAGAAAAGAAAATCTCAATGTTTTTTCCCCCCATCAAAACAAAAACAATCACACTCAATTATTTTGATGAATTATAAAATAATTATATTTACTTTTTAAATTTTATATTATTATATGTGTTTTAAGAGTTACACATCTGTGCAAATAAGATAGTTGGTGCATCAACACTTTCTCAGCCACTTTTGTTGTCATAAATGAAAAAAAAGGCATATTATTAGGACAGACTTGCAGAATTATGGAAAAGGGTCAAAGGTCCAGTGAATGTTATGCAGCAAATGGCTACATATGGTTAAATTGTCCTGAGAGTACTGCACTGAAAGCATTGTCAAAGTAGGACTGGGCGATATGGCTGAAAACTGTATCACGATATCAGTGTTTCATATCGGTCGATATCGATAATTATTGATTTTTTTATGACCCATTTAAAATAAGGACCAGGAGAAAAAATATATTACAATTAAACTTTTTTTTTTTTTAACTTAACCTTCCTCTTTTTACAATCCCAAGACAGAAATGTCAACACAACCATGGAAAACTCAAATAATTAAAAATGTAAACATAAGTCTAAATTCACAATCAGACCTGCAAACTCCTCAGAGTAAAAAAGGTGACAGTGGCGCGGTGGGACGTAGGTGGTGGGGGTTTGTGATCGTACGTGCCCCCTGCTTGATTTGTTTTGTGATTTTTAATATGCAAATGACACATTTCTGAGCGTGACTTAAAAATCAGCATACTTATCAAAAGTCTTTTTCTGCCAACCAGGAAGTTTGTATCTTACACATGCACTGTATCATAAGAAGTCAGGGCAGAGCACTCGGCTAACGATAAGCCTAACGTTACAGGGATATTCCACCATTTGGGGAATTAAGCTCATTTTCCACCTCCCCTCGAGTAAAACAAATGTTTGTTTACCGTTTAGGAAACCATTCAGCCGATCTCGTGGTCTGGCGGTACCACTTTTACCATAGCTTAACGTAATTCATATTATGACGACAATACTAGGGGTGGAACGGTACACAGAAGTCACGGTTCGGTTCAGACATCACGGTTCGGTACGATTTCGGTAAAATGGAGTGAAAAGCAAAACCGAAATATAGAAGGCATTTTTATAAATGTCTTAAGCCTTGTATTTTTTAAATAAGTTTTATTAATAAAGGCATAGAACCAGTTTATTTATAGTGCACTGATAATAGTTTTATATAATTGGTTTATTAATTAAACTAATAAAAAGATAGATATGAGATATGTTTGGTAATTGTACCTGAATGAATTTAAAATTAATTTGCTATATTTCAGATCAATATATTTGTTTTCCTTAATTTTAATTAACCCTAACTTTATTCTCATCAGAATTATAAATAATTGATTTCCGTATAAAATAATACTACCAACACATTTCATTTTCTTTTTTAATCAATGTGTAACTTAAAAATAAACAGATTAGTGCTATGAGGACAAGAAATTAAAACCAATGCGATATGATGAATGTCCAAAAGATGGAACACACAGGCTGTTTTAAAAAGGGGTTGGATAAATATGTTTTGCTTTTAAAACGGTGTGTGACAGTTGTAGGTTACAGTTTGACAAGAAATACAGTGTGACAAAAGCACAATGTTGTGTTTTATTGCGAGTATAGGCCTACACAAATATAAGTAAACACTTTGCAGACTGAATGATGTCCTGTATTAACAAAATGACGGAGTATGTTTTTATGTCTCCACTGTTCGATCGCGCCCGCGTGTCTGTCTCTCTCGTGCCTCTCTCTCTCTCTCTCGCGCGCACACACACACACACACACACACACTCCAGCATTGCAATCTTGACATCGCAGCCTGTTCATTATGCTGTGTTCACATCAAACGCGAATAGAGCGAATTATCCAATAATGTTTCGCAATTCTAGCCTGCATGGCATGCAGATGAAGGGCACTCATTTTCTGCTTATCAATCGCCGGTTACTGAAGAGGAACCCAGCAGCACGAGACAACGATATGGCGCAACCAAACTGACACGTTACATGATTGCCTGTTAGCGTGTCACACGCGAGTGCCTTTGTTAATGCAACCAAACTTGCTTCGCAATCTTTGGTTTCTTCCGACGAAGAAAAAAATATCGAACGTTTTATCGAACACATTTTTTATTGATATCGATCACGTGTCTATCGCGATACATATCGTTATCGTTTTATCGCCCAGCCCTATGTCAAAGCATATTTAATAAAGAAATTCCTGATTTACTGCCTGGCCAGGAATCTCACAGTCAAACCCCAGTGGTCTTCATCACATCACAAGATGTGAAACCAAATAAATAACCCTCAATTATTAACTCGCTCTGCTTGTATTGTGCTTGTGAAGTTATTCAAATAACTGAGATGACAAGTGATGAATGTCAGGAAATGCTGTTTCATCTGTTGTGGTTTATTCAGCAATACCAGAGCAAACATCCAATCCACAATAAAACAGAATAGCTTTCAGCAATAGCACGTTATAACTATCATTAAGTCTAAAGCCCTGCGGTGAGGAAGGTCCCATGCAGAGACCCCCCTCACGAGCCAATTAAATCCTAATTAGATTACCCTATCTAGAGCAGCCTTTACAATGCAAAGGAAGTCAAATATGAAAAAGCATATCTAACCCAAAAAAGGATGTAATTGTTAATGTGGTTTAAAATGCATTCACACTGACTGGAATCAAAATAACAGGAAACACTGTTTGAATGTTTTCATGTTTGAAACTTGAGAAATTGGTTCTCATGCAGAGCCGACAAAAACAAGATGTGCATTGAAGGGATAGATCACACACAAATTTGAATTCCTTTATCATTCACTCACTCTTCATGCCATCCTCGGTGTATATATGGATAACAGAGATAAAAATCTTTGTTTGTGTTTAAATGAAGAAAAAGTCATATGCATCAGGGATGGCATGAGGGTGAGTAAACGATGAGAGAATTTTCATTTTCAGGGAGTATCCCTTTAATTTGCAGAACACCATATTAATACAAATTTCAAGAAAAGTTTTTTTTTTTTTTTTTTTTAAGATAACTGATTTCGACATAATGCATGCGCTTCACAGTCACAGTGGACTTTATATCACAGGTGTTTTAATCGGACTGCTCACATTTATAATTTTATGAAACATTTCTGAAAACTTTGCATTTAAAAGTGATGTTTTACCTGGGCACCCGGACCGCCTCTTCAGCCGTACCCAGCCCGAGCTGCCCTCCTTCTCCGGCCCCCCAGGCGAACACCTGCCCCTGCTCATTCACCGCCAGAGAGTGAGACTGACCACACGACACGCCGGATATCTTCTGAGCGTCCAGAGCTCCGACCAGCTCTATGAGAACACACACACACATACAAAGCCATTAGATGGAAACATCACACTCCGGCCTTGATGCTTGCGTAGACATCACTCATATCCCGTCTACAGATTTGCGGCGGGTACTGCTAGATTTGTTTTGTGCAGCAAAAGGTTTGTGATGGCTATATTATTTTTGACAGATTAAAATAGTAGATTTCCCTGTACACTATACCATTCAAAAGTAATTTTTTTTTTTTTTAAATTATACTTTTATTCAAGCAAGGACGCATTAAATTGATCAAAAGTGACTTTATAATGTAACAAAAGTTTTCTTTTCAAATAAATGCTGTTCTTTAGAACTTTCTATTCATCAAATAATCCTGAAATTAAGGATTTCCACAAAAATATTAAGCAGCAACTGTTTTCAACATTGATAATAATCAGAAATGTTTCTTGAGCAGCAAATCTTCATATTAGAGTGATTTCTGAAGGATCATGTGACACTGAAGACTGGAGTAATGATGCTGAAAATTCAGCTTTGCATCACATATATATCAATATTACTGTTTTTACTGTATTTTTGATCAAATAAATGCAGCCTTGGTGAGTAGACTTCTTTCAAAAATATATATTTTTTTTAAACTTACTGACCCCAAACTTTTGAACAGTAGTGTATATTCAGAGTGAAACCAAAAGAAGACACCTACTGTAAGTGACCAGTCACAATGTTGGTTTGTGTGGCATCAAAACAATGTCACATGTAATCTTTCATCATCTCATCAAGATGAACAATACAGCACTGGCTTAAAGGAAACCGAAAAACAAAACAAAAAAATCCCCTTTGGCATGAGAATGTGGTAAGATGAAACTGAATGCCTAATAAACCAAAACAGCATAAAAAAAAACTAAAAAAAAACTTTAATTCTTTCTAATTCTTTCATTGAAGCTGCAAAAAAAAAAGAATAATTGCTCAAAATCTGTTAAGAATTGTATGCTTTACACAGTAAATATTAGCAACACTAATAAAGAACAAAACGTCACCAGAATGCATTTCTACAATCCGACCCTTTTAGAAACAGAATATTGTTTGGTTATTTTCTGATTTATCATTTTGGACACTAGTTTCTTGTCTTCTTTTACACGTCTCTCATACCAACAGGGCCTTGTATTGAACAAACGGTGCGATCTCATTAGCACAGACATGTGAGAGACCGTCTGCTGCTTGGAATTGTTTTCTTATTAACCGGATTAGCAACCCTGGACTGGTGAGCCCCAATGCATGCTGGATGAAACAAGATCTGCTGTCATCATTGACTGTTAATACACTGTAACACAATAATCATAATAGTAGCATGATCAAGCAAGCAGTGTTTTACTATATCCAGGCCACATCATTAGGTTGTTGCCTCATTTCTGAGAATAATGTCAATTTCGATTTTAGGTGTGTGCCAAAATATGATGTGGTTACATGGCATTTCGCACATTAAAAGACATGGGACATAAAACCTCAGCAGGAACATGAGAAATTAATGATATTTAAATGCAAAGTGCTACATTCATTAAAAAAGGCAAAGATGTGCAAAGACCGTAAAACCTTTATTACATCAATTATTATGGCATTGCATGAAAAGAAACCTTACATAACGCAAATATAGGCGTGTTCTGAAAAAAAATTGAGAATCTGAATGTTCATATCTAATTGTTGGGGCTAAGCACGTCCCGAAATATCATATTTTTTTTTTTTTATAGTTTTCAAGCATAATAAATAGGTTTTAAATGTTCCAATAAAATATCTGTGTGGAATAACAGGTGTGTGGTGTGAATATTCTAATCTAATTTTTTAGCATCATCATCAAATTCTGAACATACGCACATCTGGAGCGTCAGTGCCATGTTCCATACTGTATGTTCAAATTGAATGTATGAATTGTTGGGGCATAATAAATGCGTCCTGAAATATCATATCACATTTCTGAAAACATACTGTATATGTATTCCGAACATTCGACTTTTTAAAAGTTTGAATGGAATTCTGGAGCATGTTCCATGCCATATGTTCGAAATGAGTTAATGGTTAATCCTTCTGAACATTAGAATTACATTGTGAAGCATTACAAATAGGTTATAAATGTCTGAATCTAATTTCTGTGAAACAGTAGGCATGGTACGAATATTCAAATCGAATTTTTGAGCATGACCAACAAATTCCAAATGCCCAAATCTAATTGTTTGGCATGTTATATAATATAAATCTTTTGGAGAGACATGCGCATTCTGAACATTTTACTTTTTTTGCGCAATACTGGCGCGTTCTGAAAGTTTGATACAAATACTGGAGCATCGCTTTCATGATCCACGCATGTTCAAATTCTGCTTATGTCAGTTACCTGGCCTGCATCCTCGCTTGTCATGGCCCAGCTGACCGCTGCTGTTGGAGCCACAGGTGTACACGCTCCCATCATGCAACAGGAAGAGCGAGTGTTGGCTGCCGCATGCCACATCTTTAAGACCCCTCCCATCAAACATGCAACAGCTCCTCGGCTCGAAGAAAGAAGCCTCTGACGCACCGATGCCCAGCTGACCCGAGACACTGCTTCCCCAGCACAGCATCATGATTCACACATAAAGAGAGAGACAGATGGAAGGATCCGGAATAAGGGAGAGCTCCTAGGCTGTGCCGCCTTGCCGCCTCCGCCTGTAAATGACGGATCTGGAACAGAAGAAAAAGTCTGGCATTAGAGACTTTGGAAGCAAATAGGTGAGAACTCAGTAGAAGAGAAGGGAAGAGGTCACACCCTATTCCTGTAAACGACAGCTGGTGTGGGCGGCCAGATACTTGAGACAAGAATGCAGATCGTGAACATAGATTTGCAAATCCAATTGTCCGAATGTCTACCGAATCATCACAATTGGCTTTTTTCACTATGTGGAATGTACTAATATGTACTAATAAAAGTGGGCATTTATAGACATAAATAGGGGACAGTTATTATTTGACTAAACCCACCTACACGCATAAAGTACATACTGGGAAGAGTGAGGTATATAAAAATACTAGAGATATAAAATCAATAATGAATGTAAAAAATAATTTTTTTGCACTTGGCACGTTCCAAAAGTTTGAATCACAATTCTGGAGTCTGTGTCATGTTCCATTTTCGTTCAAATTAAAGATAAATTCTAATTGAAAGTTCAAATTTATGGGTCAGACTGAACGTCATTTCTGCTGAATCATAGGCATGTTCTGAACATTCAAATTGAAATTTTGAGTATCAACAACACATTTCGAACGTTCAAATCTTACTGGGGCATCATAAACCTGTCTCGAAATATCATATTAAATATGACCTTACATTAAATTTGAAGAGATATACGATTTTATACATGTGCTAAAATTTGTGTTATGTGTTAAAGTTTGAAACGAATTCTAGAACAACACTGTCATGATCCAAGCTGCACGTTTAATATGAATTTATGGAAAAGGTACGTTCTGGACATTAGAATACATTTGTGGAGCATTATAAATGGGTTCCGAACATTCGAATCTAATGTCCGGGGGAATCATACGCGTGTTCTGAACATTCGAAACACATTTTTGAGCATCATCAACAAATCTCGCACCTTCGAATCTAAATGTTAGGGCATCTAGGCGCGTTCCGAAATATGTTATTAAAATGTTGGGCGTTCCGAACGTTCGACTTTTTACGTATTACTGGTGCGATTTATGGGCGTCAACAATGCATTTCGAACGTTTTAATCCAAATTGCCTATAATGTCTAGAACTGCTCTCTAGGTTGGTAGCTCACTCACAACTAGGTTTAGAAACACAGCTGATATCTCCATATGTGGGTCCAATATGAGGTCGGCCTGTAAGAACAATCCTGACATATTTCAGTTTCATGTAAGTCAAAACAAGCTATAGTTCATTTACTGCAGACATTAATGCTTAAACATCTGACCAGACTGCCTATGCGTTAAATACTGTACCTCAATACTAATATTCAGGATGATGTCAGAACAAACGCAGCGCACTGCCACTCATGAAACTCTCATTTTCTATCACGCAAATGCAATTGTCTATCTGACTCAAGTCAAAAACAAACATGTTCTAAGGTAGCAGATAGTGTTACCTGGTAAAATGCATTTCGTCTCCTCTTTATTTGACCGTATGTTACTGAAATGGTTTCAGTTTAATGGTTCCGACAAAAACAAGGAAGTTACGACTCAGATTACGGAGTCACTGATGATCACGTGACTCCTGTCAACCAGCTGTAATTGCGCTGGAGTCAATGGAGGGCGACACTGAGTACAGTTTTGTCATTTTGTACATGTGTCACTGATGTGTAATTTATTTTTATTGTTTATTAAACATGCAGTGTAGAAGTGCAGTGCCATGCCACTGATATTAAACATAATAATATACTACAATATATCTATTATTAGATTTTTGCAGAGTATTTATTTATTATTTTGTTGATATGCTTCTTAGTTTTAAATTTTTTTTTTTTTTTTTTTTTTACAACATATTCTCTTTAACTTTTTGCCCCAGTCTTAGATGTTCTTTATAAAGATTTTATATTTATAGACTTTAGTTTACTACCGGTATACTATTTTTTTAATTAGTCCAACATTTAGCTTGGTCCTTTGTTGTTATTTAAGCCTGACCGGCAAGAAAAAATCTGTTGGATAAATGTAAATATTTCATTGCTATAATATTGGTTTGTAAAAATAAACAAACTAACAAACATCTTATTATTAAGACATGTTTATTTGAATTAAGTTCATAAATGCAACACGTTACATAGCATTTGGAAAAGAAACCTCTCCACTCTGGTGTCAAAGTACTGTAAACAGAAACTCTTGCCAACAGAAATCTTCATCTGTTTGCGGATATAAATGTAAACTTTATAAACACACACACACATACAACAGCAGGAATGATTGTCGAACATGGGCTGTTACAAACCCAGCGATTCCACCATCTCACGTTTCCTCCATTTACATAATTTATGTGATTCATGTAATTCATAACTTAATGTGACAAGACAAGAAACATTAACATAACTTTTACCCCACATTAAATTAAGGCATAAAATTAGGCGTGAGTGCATATTTAAAAAAAAAATATATATTTGCAAATAGTTTCTTTCTAACTTCTAGTTCTTTAAGATTTCTTCTTATTTTTCTTTTTTCCCTTATATCCCTTTAAATAATTAAATACCCCATCTGAAAATGGTTTGCCCCCCCCCCCCCCCCCCTCCCTCCCTCCCCTCCCCCTCCCTCCCCTCCCCTCCCCTCCTCAAGACATGGTAAAAGCCTTAATCAAGGATCAAGTATCAAGTTATTAGATCTGTGATTTGTGTCCGGATGATCTCAGAACTCCAGTCTCACTCTTCCCAGAACCCCCTCTTGTGGTTGATGGCCTCAATGACTTTAGTCCTGAGTGTTTCCTTGTTCTGATAAACAGGAAGATACAACAGAGCATGGCAGGTGAGGGCTTCTGGTAGATGATCCTGAGTAAACTTGAACAGATCTCCCACTCTCATCTTCACCGCACTCATACCCAGAATGGGCACTTTCTCAAACCCTGTTATGAACACTTCAGAGAGGAAAACAGGAGAGATTTATTTGAAAGCACTCTGAATGTGTTCTGGCAAACAAGACAAAGTCACAACCTGAAAAGCATAGGAGCAGCCAGAGTAGATGCAAAATAAATTTGATTTCTTAAATTAGATCTCATTTCGACAAATGACATTTTCAGTTATTGCTATACATAACTACAGCACCATATAATCACTAGTGAACTTACATAGAAAGCCCTTCTTCTCATTTGGTGTCAGTTCATCAAACACCTCCCAGAATGAGATGATGGTTGGATGCTTAGCATGAAATGATCCTTCATATGTGGTGTTCTAATGATCAAAATATATATTTAGTCAGTATTTACTTGCTCACAAGGTCAAGAGCATAGTAGTTTTGACTTTTGTTTGACATTTGTGTTATGGTGGACCTTTTTGAGGACGTCCCAGTCATATTCCTCATTGCCCACCAGAACTCCTCTCAGCTCCTCTGGCTCAAACATCTCCACCAAGCATCGGTCACACGCACTGAAGAAGCCTCTCTTGAACTCTTCAAACACTTCCTTTACTGATTTATTCAGGATATAATCCACATACTTGTCCACAAAATCCGTTCTGTTGCAGAAATTATATTCAAAAAAGTTTTGCATCTTACTAAGATTATCAAATATTATCCTACATCCAAGATTAAAGTTAAGCAAAAAGAATACAATGTTTTAGTGACAGGGTAACGTATTTCAGTAAAATTTTAACCCTGAAATTAAAAATTAAAAACCCTGACCTGTTATTATTTGTGACAACTTTTCCTGGCTCAGCTGGATCCAGTTCAACTTCGGTTCCATCCCATACAATCTTATGTACGACGATTAAAAAAACTGTTATTTTTAAATAATATTGGGTATCATTTACATTTTACAAACTTTGTGTCCAGACAATTTTGTGAATGAATTCAGCGTATACATTTGAATAATCCACACAATTATGAATGCAATTATGAATAAAGTAATGAGACCCAATGTCTTTAAAAACTACATTACTTCACATGACAACACAAACTAACCGTGAAGTTCATGTCCATTTCCTTAACATCATCGCTGTAGTCCAGGATGTACCGCAAACTCCTGAGAACATCATGTTTCAGATTCATTAAACAATGTTACTCAATGATAGATAGCAGCGCATACATAGAACATGGACATACATTTTACCAGTCATTATACAACAACCAAGAGAATCAAGACAACATTGGGTCTCATTCATGTAACACGAGCAGAACGAATTTCTGTGTAAATCGTGTGTAAAGTGGTTCTGGCGTGAATTTTCGGATTCATTAAAATGTTCGTATTTTCCAAATGTTAGTTGGTACACAAGAAATCTACACCTGCTCCCAGCCACACGTAAATAGTGCGCTTAACACCCGAACGTTTTGCTCATTAATAAGGCTGCATTTTAATTCACCTTAATCGGGTACATATTTGCACAGCATTTTGAAAAAATATTATATATAGTAATTACATACGGTTTTTCTTATTATGAGAGCCAGTAATAGCATCTGCGATGGTGGTCCTTCTCCAGTTTGAATACTATTTTTCCGAAGTGAACTAATTCGTTTTTTACTCTCAATTAATGTCGAACCATTTTCTTCTCTCTCTGGCAATGTTCGATTAACAGATGAAACTCCATTAACTGCATTTTTTAGGACCCGATACGCCACTATGTACGCTTGAAAATAAAATGTGGCGTTTTGAATGAACTTCTGATAATAAAACTTCAATTTCTGCAGCTGAGATTTTTTTTTTTCATTCGCATTCATGTCATAATATGATGCCCATATATTCATCATCTGAGGGGAGAAATCAAGACTCTCACCAAGCAGTTCAAAAGAGCCCTTGCTGATGAAAGGGAAGGCATCAAGGACCTGACGAGTCAACTCCGGGAGCGCCTCTGTAGACTCCGAAAAGCAGAAAGCACTCGGAAGAAGAGGAAGGACAGGGGGAACAAAAGATCCCAGTTCACCAAAGACCCCTTCCGATTCACCAGAACACTTCTGGGTGAAGCAAAATCTGGAAGGCTGACCAGCCCAAGAGGAGATGTGGAGGCGTTTTTGAGGGAGACCCACAATGACACCTCGAGAAACCAGGCCCTTGACGCCAACCCAAGCATCAACAGTATAAAGACCCCGGAAAAAGAGCTCAACATCAGTGAACCATCCTGGAAGGAAGTCCAAGAGGTGGTGAAGAAGGCCAGAACAGGGTCTGCCCCTGGCCCAAGCTGTATACCCTACAAGGTAAATAAGAAATGCCCAATGCTCCTCCGGAGGCTGTGGAAGCTGTTCCGGAGGATTTGGAAAAAGGGTACCATTCCGTCAGGCTGGAAGAAGGCGGAAGGCTGTTTTGTGCCAAAGGAAGTGAACTCCTCAACCATTGAGCAATTCAGAACAATCTCACTGCTAAGTGTAGAAGGCAAGATCTTCTTTTCGGTACTGGCCAAGAGGATGACCTCGTACATGACAGAGAATGGATACATCAACACTGCTATTCAGAAAGGTGGAATTCCAGGCTTCTCTGGATGCCTGGAACACACCGGAGTTCTCAGTCAGATGATCCGTGAGGCTAAAGCCAGCAAGGGCAACCTGACTGTTGTCTGGCTGGACTTGGCCAATGCTTATGGATCAATCCCTCACGCCCTCATTCATGCAGCATTAGACCACTACCACATTCCGCAGCTCATCAAGAGAATGATCACCAGCTACTTTGGTGGAATCCAGCTACGATTCAACGCGGCCCATTTTACAACTCAGTGGCAAAGCCTAGAAAAGGGTATCGTAACTGGCTGTACAATCTCCCCCATCCTCTTCGTCATGGGAATGAATCTCCTAATAACAGCTGCGGAGAAGGAAGCCCGGGGTCCAAAAATGGAGTCAGGCATCCGACAACCCCCAATAAGAGGTTACATGGACGACCTTACCGTGACGACCACAACCCATGTGGAGGCGAGGTGGGTGCTAACTGTTCTGGACCACATGGCAACATGGGCCAGAATGAAGTTTAAGCCAAAGAAATCCAGGAGTTTGGTGATCAGGAACGGGAAGTTGACCAACAGGTTCAAGCTGCATGTGCAAGGGGAAGTGATTCCATCGATAGAGGAGAATCCAATCAAGTGCCTCGGAAAGTGGTTTGATGACTCACTAACTGACAGGAACAACAAAGCGAGTACGGAAAAGCAGATGGAGGAATGGCTGAGGATGATTGAAAAATCAGGGCTCCCTGGGAAGTTTAAGGCTTGGCTCTATCAGCACGGACTGTTGCCAAGACTCATGTGGCTGTTGACTGTGTATGAGGTCCCGATGACATGCGTTGAAGGAATGGAGAGGAAGATTAATAAGTACCTCCGGAAATGGTTGGGGATCCCTCCAAGCTTCACTGCAGTAGGCCTCTATATAAGATCAGGGCAGCTCCAACTTCCTCTGTCATCTGTGGTTGAGGAATTCAAAGTTGCAAAGTGCAGAGTCGTAATGACATTCAGAGACTCACAGGATGAACAAGTCAGACATGCAGGCGTCATTACAAGATCAGGTCGCAAGTGGGCAGCTGATTCATCTGTTGCACAAGCTGAAAGCATGTTGAAGCTACGGGATATCATTGGAGCGCCATGCACAGGAAGACAGGGTCTTGGAACCTCCCATTTCCAACAGTGGAGGAAGGCAGGAACCAGTGAAAGAAGAGCCATGATTCAAGAGGAGGTACGGAACCTGGAAGAGGAAGGACGAAGGTCAAGGGCAGTGGACCTAGCTTCCCAAGGAGCCTGGACCAAATGGGATCTTCCCAAGAGGAAGATTACCTGGGCGGACCTTTGGAGACTGGAGCCGTTCCGCATCTCCTTCCTGCTGAGATCAGTGTATGACACACTGCCAACCCCAACAAACTTGCACAAGTGGGGTATGAGAGAGGACCCATTGTGCAAGCTTTGTGGGGAGAGGGGCACCATGGCACACATCCTGTCCGGGTGTAAAAAAGCACTCACCCAGGGAAGGTACAGGTGGCGCCACGACAGGGTGCTCATGACACTCGCCAACACCTTAGAGCAGGAGAGGAAAAAGAAACGCCAACCACTTCGGAAAACAACATCAATCCAGTTTGTAAGGGAGGGGGAAAAGCCATCAACCACAGTAACAACAAGAGCCAGTCTGCTACAAAAGGCCCAATCATGGGAAATGAAGGTCGACCTGGGAGGAAGGCTGCAGTTCCCCCAGTTCGTCCAGACAACTCTGAGGCCGGATGTGGTACTGTGGTCTGAAGAGGGAAAAAAGATCATCCTCATAGAACTTACAGTCCCATGGGAAGAGGGTTGTGAACAGGCCTTTGAACGGAAGAAAGCCAAATACCAAAACCTGCAGCACGACTGCAGGGGGAAAGGCTGGCAGGCTTGGCTGTTCCCGGTCGAAGTTGGCTGTAGATGATTCCCTGCTCAGTCAGTGTGGAGAATGCTCACAGCCATTGGAATAACAGGGAAAGAGAGGAAGGCAGCAGCTCGCAGGATGGGGGAGGCAGCGGAAAGAGCCTCTTGCTGGTTATGGAGCAGGAGGGAGGAGTTGAGCTGGAAGCCTGGAGGGGAAGATGGGCAGTGATCTGGCCACCACTGCCGACCCACCATCGGGAGGGTGTTGCGGATAAGGGTTGAAACACCCAATGAACGATGGGTACCGCCTGATGACATCAACCCCTCCAGGCCAAGGCTACATTCACTTAAGGTGAATGAAGGTGAGAAGCATTTCCGGATGTATTTGTAACTTAGTTGTCAGTCGGATTTAATGGGCGGGATTTATGGTTATTGAGAATGAACGTGCACGCGCATCCCATTTACGACTGATTGGAATTCATTAACACACACACACATTTCACTATCACATCTGACGTTTACGAAGTATTTGTGAATCAGGAGAAGAGTTTTCGGGAAGGTCTCTTTACGCGCAAATCACTCGCATATTTACTCGTATATTTACGAATGTTTCATGAATGAGACCCATTGATTGTAAAAACACTCACTTGCCAAGAACCGGACTGAACTCTATCAAGTCTTCAAGACATGGTTTGACATTGAGAAGCTTCTTGAACAAAGCTAACGGAAAAGGCAGATTCACTACAGAGTTGTTGTTGAAGGCCAAGCCACACAGAATCCCAAACAGGAAGTACTTCTCCTTCTTCACGCGGATCTGGTGCATGTGGGACAATAAGAGGTTAAAGCCAAAGAGAACAATAATAACAATGTATAAATAAATGGAAAAAACACAAAAGAGACATTAGGTTCACACAGGAAGCATTTTCCATTCTACTCTGCAACTTTTCCATTGGTTTCCATGTAAACATGCGCTAGATTGATGATTTTGACCGTTGCGCTATGTCTGATGTCTTTTGTGGCATCTAGCGTAGCGCATGACACAGCACTATAAATAACTTTTTTTTTTAAAGAAGAAAAAAAGACCCCCATTCCACTGTCCACGCCTCACATTCTTTCAAAGGAATAACATGTTCTGTGAGATTAGCCCCTTAAGCCAGGTTCACATTGTACGATTTTGGCCACAATTTGACCATCTGAGACAAATGTTTAGAATCCTAAAAGTTTCTTAGGCCAAAATCTGAAGTCTTCGAGAGTTAGTTTGACATGTTCACAGACAGCCTATAATGACCATTGCGATCAAATTTTACCTCCGACACAATTCTGGCAGTGTCAGAAGTTTTGACGCACAGCTCTGTAGTGTGACTTATACGTCAAATCATAACCAATAGGAGCGCCAAACCTGATAAGTGAGACGCACACACCATCTTTATTTATGTTTTTCAGTTTACTTTTCAAGAGAAGCCATGATCACATTAGAGATTGTATTTGTTTGGTAGACACCCGCATATAAATGCAGCTCACAAACACCAGACTTGTCACGGATTGATGATATAAAACTTCATAAGAGTCTTCTTGGTTGCGTCCGTTTCAACGTTTCTTGACTGCTGTACAGTCTGACACAAAATTTACTTTTATATGGTGTCTGAACACAGATTTGTGTCCACATTGGGTCTCATTCATGAAACACGAGCAGAACGAATTTTTGTGTAAATCGTGTGTAAAGTGGTTCTGGCGTAAATTTTCGGATTCATTAAAATGTTCGTATTTTCCAAATGTTAGTTGGTACACAAGAAATCTACACCTGCTCCCAGCCACCTGTAAATAGTGCGCTTAACACCCGAACGTTTTGCTCATTAATAAGGCTGCATTTTAATTCACCTTAATCGGGTACATATTTGCACAGCATTTTGAAAAAATGACGAGTGAGATTTGTTGACGGGGGGGGGGGGGGCGGTCTCGCTCGCGCAAGGTCTCTCGCTCGCTCTACGCGGTTTGGAGCACAATCTCTGTCTCGCATGCACGCTCGCTCTAGATAACGGGAGATTTTTAACGAATTTGCGGTATAACTAGTCGATCACGAGTGGCTCAACAGGTAGATATATAGATAAACTCATCTTCCAGGCATTTGACCGCCCTTGTTGACACTTCAGCGTGAGAAATCGGGAGTGTGGCGTGTGAGCGTGTGAAACCAATCAAATGCGGGTGTCTCACGGCCAATGCGTGAGAGTTGGCAGCTATGTGAATGATTCAGCGTTTTGACCTAATCGCTCGAGTCAAAGATTCAATTAACCTTACCCATTATTAAACCGCCTCATTCTGAATCAATCAGCCGTTTGAACGAATCGTTTGAATGAATGACTCAATGACTCGCTCATTAAGACGGCCGCCTGCCGCTTCTACTGGCGGTTTAGTTTCAAAGTATCATTCTTTTCAACATTCCTTATTTGTATATTCAAAAAATATTCAAAACAATCTCATAATCTCATTTAACACAGTTTTAATTTTTCAATGTAAATTATTAAATTTGATTGGTAACAGCCTTGTCTTATTATTTTAATTGAATGTATTGATAAAATGTAAGAATTTGAAATGAAATTTAGAGCATACCAGTACATTAAATAAAATTAGGGGGAAAATGCCCTTTATAAAGGTACAAAAAATTATTCCGATAAGAGTGTTTTCAAAAATGAAACATTGACAATTTAAGTTTAAAGGTAGTAGGCTAAAGCCTCTGTTTAGGCTATAAAGGAAATGTAATTTTGCCAAAAGAAGAACTTTTAATTTAAATAAATGTTAATTTTAAATCAGCCTACTTCAGTGTGATATGTTACCATATTATCATGCTTAATTGAATAATTGTAATGTGATGATCAGATGCAGATATCTAAATCAAAGAATATGGGTGGTTGGCGGGTGGATTATTTTTTATTTTTAACAACAGATTCGAGTGACTCAAAGTGCACCAGATTAATGAATTTATCTTTAAAATGTACAAATTTTTCTCACGGGGGGCAGGACCCCGGACCCCGATTTTACCACCTCCGCCTCATTTTGAGCCAGGAAAAACCCTGTATTGGCTATTGTTAAAAGGAGATCTGTGTTTTATGTTGTTGGAAAAGGGAAAGAGAATCAGTCCTGTACATGACTGTTTTAGGCCTGTAATTGATTGATGATTGAGGTAATGAATAGTAGTAGGTCTGTAATTTGTGTGAAAATATTTTTGAAGAATTGAAGGATGACTGTTGTCATAATATTTTGTATGCTAGTTGCACTTACCATTTTGATTTGAAATAGCCTATGTTTTAAAAGGGAAAATGAAACAGTACATTATTGGCTTAGGCCTGTAATTGACTGATTAGTGTGTTTATATATGAGTAATAAGCCTGTGGATATATACTTAACAATGTTATATTACTGTTGAAAATGTTGAATTATAGTTGACAGTTTGTATAGTTATATACTATTTGTATAGTTAAATAAATATTTTCCTAGTGACTAACAGGCAACAAAGAATGTCAAAGTAGAACTACATTGTGGCCTTGTTTTTTCATAATTTTCTGCAAGTGGTAGATCTTGGTTTACATTTGGACTTGGGATGTGATCTTAGGCTTGAAAAGGTTGGTGACCACTGCTGTAGAGCATACTATTTTGTAGGCTTTTCAATAAAATTCTAATGATCAAATCAAGAAATAAAAAATAAACTTTCTTAAAAGATACAGGGTATCTGCACACTTTTTAAAGTCAAATTTAAGGCTTTTTAAGAACTTTTTAAGACCTGAAGAAATCAAAATTAATACCTTACATTAGGGGTGCGCAATATTGAAAAAAATATGTCTCAATATTTTCAAAGTTTTGTTGATGATAATTAGATGATATTTTACTGATTGTGTTTGTGTACATGTACCATGGCTGGTTTAGGCCTGTTGTTGACAGCTGACTCACGAAGATATTCATATTTTTCATATTCTATGCAGTGGTCAGTTCACAGCAGTGAAAGGAATTAACATTTTTTTATTAAAGGGCAATATTTGCAACCTTAAATTGAGTTCCAGGGGCATTTTCACCTAGCCTGGCTCCGCCCTCCTACGCACTTCCGCTCAATTTTATTTTCCTTCAGTACTACGTCTGGGATTGTGCTGTAGACTTTGGTTTCCAGAAATAATTTTTTTACCGGTCCAATCAGCGAACAGAGGGAGTGGCTGAGAACGATGACGTTGATGTAGCGCGTCAGTTTGAGTTGGAGTTCAGTAATGGCAGCGGAGAAAGACCATAGACAGTAAAAGAAATGGACAGAGCGATCTCATTGGAACTCAGTTGAGACAGTTGAAGCCCACTTTTAGCGATTTTTGAGAACTTCCGTTCCTGACGCGCAGACTCAGACCGACTCAAACTAAGCTTGATGACGTGAGCAACCTGTCTGACAGACGTTACTCTTCTAGTAGCTGTGCGTGAAAATTGCCAACGTTAATCTTGCAGAGACGGGGAACTTGAGCAAAGAGTCCTTTATCGTGAGTGAGCAGGAGTAAGTATTCCGTTGCTTTTATGGACTCATTATCTATGGGCTTCTCCCTTGACGGGACGTCCCCCCGATTGCCTGCAAGCTTCTCCTCCTGTCTGTACGGTAATTTCTGTCCAGCGCGACAGAGAGTCGAGTGGTTATGACGCAATCGTTAGCCTATTTTTACTAAAACTGTTTCTACGGGGCCATAATGTAACATAGAAGGCAATGGAGCCATTTATACATTGTCGTGTTTCTTTATAAATAAATAATGGACAAATGGAGTCTTTAAACGCCTCAGATGTAAAGTTATTCGCTGTCAAAGTGACGCCAAAATGAATGGTAGTCAATGGAAATGCTAACGCAAGTGAAGTTCTGCTACAAGATGGCGGTACCCGGCCGGCTTCAACTTCCGGTCGATGGATTACCCCCTTGAGAAAGACGTGAGAAAATCTATTCGGTCCGTTGTTGCAAAACTGCCGAATATCCAGAAGTTAAAGCCGGAGCAAGATCAATGTTTGCTAAGTGTTGTTGGTGGCCATGATGTTGTGGCCCTCCTCCCCACGGGGTTCGGGAAAAGTTTAATTTTCCAGCTCACTCCGCTAGTGGTGAATGAGTTAGCTAAGGCGAACGATAGGATGCAAAGCCGATAGTTGTTGTCGTCTCCTCTTGTTGCACTAATGGAGGACCAAGTGAGGGAGGCAGAAAGGTTAGGAGTTGGTGCTGGGCAGCTCGGTGTGGACGATGATCACTGTACAGCATTTGCGGCAGATCCGAAACGACCGCAGCGGCGTATTGTTAATGATTACACCCAGCTTCGACAGTTGACTGAATACATCACTGTCCTTAGTGTCAAATATACATTTAGAATTTAGAATTGTTCCTTGAACTCTTAAATTCGATGAACAAAACATGCAGCTCTCGTTGACAGACATCTTATTCTAAACATAATCCTCTGATCATTCGGACTTGTTTTTTTTTATTGCTTAAAACAATACACAAGTAATAACAGAAAACATAATACAAAAACAAACAAAAAATAATAATAAAAACAAAACAAAAATAAAACAGTAGGGGGATAATATAAAATAAACATGAACAAGTTAAGAGAATTACATGACACTGAAAAAAGGAAAATAATTACAAACAGATAATGTTTTTAAGGCTTTTTTTGTTCTCAGACAACTTAATTGAAAAGAGGTATTTTTAAAATTCTTTCACAAATATAAGAAAGAGAGGTTTAGCATTTAGATTTATGAATATGGAATTCGGACTTGTTGTTTCCAGCCGGTTTCGGCGCATGACATACGTCACGACCACACGTTAGCGATTGGCTATGGCAGATCCTGAGTGACGCTGGGCAGATCCAATAGTTTTGAACTTTAACAGAGAACCCGCCTACAAGGAAGTAAACGTTTCTCAATGGAGCGAGGCCAGAGACTCTCTGTACAAATGAAATGTACGAGAGTCTGGTAGAACCAGGCTAATTTTCACCCATATATGGACTTTTTTTTTTTTTTACTTAGAGGTATGCATCACCTTTTATGTCAAATTATAACATTCAAATTAAATTATATTAGAATAATAACACAATACCACTGTTACCAGTTAAATTAAATCATTAAATCAAAATCCATCTTTGCAGTGCAGAGGAGACACAGAAGCAGCATCAGAACTGGCATTAATATATTTATACTCCATTTACAATTGCATAAATAAAGCTATGATATATTCAATTCTTTCAATTCTTAATTCAATATTTAAATATGAACTGATTTCTAATTGTAACATTTTAATTACAGGGTACTTTAAATGTGAAACTAAAACCGCCAGTAGGTGGCGGCAAGTCACTGTCTCAGGGAGTCATTCATTCAACCGATTTGTTCAAACGGCTGATTCATTCAGGAACTGCAAGTGATTGTTCATTGAATCGTTAAAATGATTCGTTCAAAACGCAGATTTCAGTCAAGAAATCATCGCTGTCTTTTGCATTGAGACTCTGCTACGGTTTCATTTTGAAATTCTCGTCAGCGAAATAAAGGGAAAACAAACAATATTGACAATATTGTTTATAAAATGTAACAATGTTAATTTAACTTTTATATAAAATAAATTTCATATTTGCTATTGTGCACGGGAAACCAGCCCTCTTGCTGATGCAATATTGTATGATAACAACATATGATATATAAAATACAAAAACTTTATACGTCTATTAGGGAACATACCTATAATAACTGCACTGACACATCACGCAGTGAAAGCAAGCATGAGAGACAAATGCGATGTCAGCTCGCAGTGCGCCCTCGTAACGTTACATAGTTAACGTTAAAGTAAAACAATGATTACAATATCATAATAGACAATACACATCGCAGACCACTACGCACATAAAGAATGAACTTACAATTGAACTGAAATTAACCAGCTTTCTTCTCCTCTCCTGCTGTTTCGCGTGCAGGAGACAGACGTAATGCTGGCGCGAATGTGACGCGAAATGTCACGTGAACGAGCAAATCCACAAAGAACGAATAATAAATAAAAAAGTACGCTAATTAGATAGTTTTAATTTGGAAAACATTTAGATATGTCTAACTCAAATTGCCATCGAAAATTTAAGACCTTTCATAAGTAAAAATAAGACTTTTTAAGGCCATACATTTTCAAAATCTAATTTAAGACTTTTTAAGGACCCGCGGATACCCTGAAGATATGTTGAGTAGGCACACACAGACATCAAGAATCAGCATATGATTCTCAGCAATGGTGACAATCAGATCATAAGCTCATTATTTATTCATGCAGCAATGCATGATGGGAGCCATGAATGAGTTTTGATTGGTGGCACCCAGAATGCACTGCAACATGCTTTATAATTGTCACCATTGTTGAGATTCACAGGCTGATTCTTGATGTCTGTGTGTGCCTACTCAAAATATTTTTTAGGAAGTTTATTTTTTTATTTATTGATTTGATCATTTGAATTTCATTGAAAAGTCTAAAAATAGTATGCTCTACAATGACAATGCTGCTATTATTCGAAAGGTAAACTTAACTCAGAAATTCGGTTTAATATAAGTTCAATGACTCAGGTCAAATGATTGTGAAATAATGATTATGTTAAAACACAACCAACACCATCAGATGATTGTTTATTGTTCATCCGGCTGTTATAACTCATGTACAGCAACCAAACAAAATCTAAAGTTAATAAGTTAATGGTCAAGAGCCCAACTAAAACACACACTTATCTCCATAATGGTGACTTAAACATTCCGGTTTTCTCCTTCAGAGATTCTGCTTGTTAACATCAGGTGTCTTCAATAATGCTCAATCATCACTCAATTATTCACTTAATTAACTCATTAGCTCAGAGTTTAATTGGGTCGCTTAAAATTACCAAATTCCATGATGTTGAAGATACATGAACATATTATGTTTGTTTACCGAAACATAGTTATGTGGAACCGGTGGAACCTGTTTACAAAAAAAAGTTAAGTAAAGCCAACATTATAATTTTTTTGAGTGTGGGAATGTTCGATTAACAGATGAAACTCCATTAACTGCATCTGTAATATGCTGCCAAGCTTCCTTTTTTTTAGGAACTGATACGCCACTATGTACGCTTGAAAATAAAATGTGGCGTTTTGAATGAACTTCTGATAATAAAACGTCAATTTCTGCATCTGAGAATTTTTTTTTTCATTCGCATTCATGTCATAATAAGATGCCCATATATAGTAGCCTAGTCAGTCGGATTTAATGGGCGGGATTTATGGTAATTGAGAATGAACGTGCACGCGCATCCCATTTACGACTGTTTGGAATTCATTAACACACACACACACACATTTCACTATCACATCTGACGTTTACGAAGTATTTGTGAATCAGGAGAAGAGTTTTCGGGAAGGTCTCTTTACGCGCAAATCACTCGCATATTTACTCGTATATTTACAAAATGTTTTATGAATGAGACCCAGTGTGTGTTATGAGGGGCCATTCACGTCGCGTCTAAAAACGTGTGGAACACGCTAGCCGCGCCACTTTCTCCTCTTTTCAAAAGCTTCTGTTGTCCGCCATTGCTAAAACGAAGATTTTTCAGCAAAAGTTTCCAGCCCTTGCATTAGCTCTACTACTAGATATATTCATGTCAATGAGCAATGACCCCCGAGGCCCCGACATGTATGTAGGATATGATGCAAATTAGTTTAGAAGAATAAAACGTCATCAGCATGCGCTAGCAGTGAAAAAAAAGAGTCAGAGAACACAGTCATGGCTTGGGAAAATAAGTGCACTTGGCAAGCCAGTTTTGCAAATGGAGCTTGAGGTAAGTAGTTTTAAGATTTAGCGCCATGTCTCGTTGATCAATACGCCATTTCATGTTGCATTTTTTATTGGCTAGTCAGTAGACTTAGGTCATAGCAGCACACACTGTGAGATGATCAGAAAATTATTGCAGGCTATCTCTGGTCGTAAGATTGTGAAAACATCCGTCTTTGAACCTCTCTCACTGTACGACGTACAGAAGGACCACCGTTTAGGAGCCACGGCCACAGAAATCGTCACGATTGTTTCAAGATACTCATCTTTCGTCTGAGACAGCCCAAAATCATACAGCGTGTACCGGGCATAAACCAAGCTTGACCAGCAACAGTCGTAAAGGACTATTCTAAATCATACAGTGTGCACCCGGCTTTAGGTATATAACTTGACTTAACTAAACTTTGTTACTATTATCTTTAGCATGACCTCATGAAAAGTCTTTGCCTTACCTTTGTGGGGAACCAGCTCAAAGTTTTGTTGTCAATGTCCATGAGCAGCTGAGACTCTGGCCCACAAAGCTCTTTAAACACGTTGAGAAAAAAGTCTCTTTTGTTTACATCTGTGTTTCTCATATCCTCTGTGTAAAACACCTGTTAGATAACCAAAATAATTTATTCATACTGCAGCTCGTAACAGTTTGTATAATAAAACTGCACGCAAAAAATACCCTCAATGTTACTGAATCAAAACATATCGTTTTTGTTTTCCTTACCGCCAGCCAATGTCCTCTGAGATATTGCAGGTTGGCCATCAGCTGAAAGAAACAATCCTCCAGCAGAGCTGTGCGTCTCAGAGTCAGCTGAAGACCACCCTGCAATTAAAGCATTTCATTCTGTGATTAAAAAGTACATTTACACAGAAGTAATTCCAAGGAGTTTTCTTTAGGTCAAGACAAAATTACCTTCCATTCTCTGTTCTTCATATAGCTACATTTGGCCTCCAGATTAAAGATGCATGGAAGTGATATCAGATTTTTTAAGATTGTCTGTAATAAAAGAAATAGTAACATCATGCTTTCTTGATCTGACATGTGCATACATGTCAGATATGGACAAAATTCTTTGGAGCTCACATTATAGTAGTTTTGCTGTGCCATTAATGCCTGGATTTGTTCAGGCAAGTAAAACGGCTGCCTGTTGTAGTTATCCACATCTTCATTGATGGTTTGAAGCTGTTGATTTGGGGAAAACAAAATTATTTGTTTGTTTTTTCTATAGTGGGAATTAATGGTGTATCAATATATCATAACCAATACAGAAATTATCAGCAGACAACCAGGAGTATTAGTGCCCTCTTGTGTCACTTCTAAAATCTAACAACAGTCCTGTCAATTGATAGTTTTTTGTTTTTTTTAAATATAAATTGAGTGATTTCGGTCATTTTTGTATGATAAATACAGTGATTGCTGCCATATTTAATTTTAGCTATATTTTAAAAAGATATACCATAAATCAAGGGTGTTCAATCCTGCTCCTGGAGGGCCACTGTCCTTCAGAGTTTAGCTCCAATCCCAATTAAACACAACTGAAACAAGGTGTTCAAGGTCTTCAGGATGACTAGAACCTTCTAGACAGGAATGTTGGGACAAGTTGGAGCTACACTCTGCAGGACATCCCAGGAGTGGGATTGGACACCCCTGCAGTAGATGACACAGTAACATCATCGGCCATTGAAAAGCCCATTTAGGTTGACCAGTAGAATTTCAAAATGTTTTGGTTCTCACCACATCTAGAGGACCAATGACCTCATGAATGATGAAATCACTCTTTGTGATGTCTCTGTGTGCACTGCGGCAGACCTTTCCAACAGAAACACTGTTATTGAAACTACTATCACAATAACATGGTTAAATGTTTACTTTTGATCTAATGTTTAATAAAGCACCTGATAGACCATCTGAAGGATCTGCACAAATTTCAGTAGGTGTTTCTCTTTGTCAGAGTCCAACTTGCCAACAGCAATCCTGCCAATTAACATAGCAGACTCTTTTTGAAATAAGTCCACCAAGTTTTTGAGCATATCATCAGGGAGTTTGGACCAGTACATCTCTGAGAATACAACATGCATGCAACATAAAATTACAAATAGAACAAGGACAACAACACAAAGGATGTAAATGTCCTCCAGCTTTACCTAACACCTTGAGAACAGCAGGATTCAGATCAAGGATTTTGGAGGCCAATGCTTTAGTGAGTTCAGTTCTTTGTTGTTCCTGGAGTCCTCTGATGAGCTCAGGGAGGAGAAGGTAGAGTCTCAGAGCTTCCACACCAGCTGGATTTGGATACAGAGACGGCAGGAGTGTCTGTTGAACTACCTTCACTACCTGAGGTACGGAAAAATATCAACTGCATCTCATTGTTTAAAATGTAATGAACATTTTTGGAAATGCTGGATTTACCATTACCTCTGAGATCAACCTTTCATTGTTTGATAACTTTGCAAAGGATGCTTTAACCAGATCAAAATCCAACACACAATGCTCCTCAGACATCTGATAATGTTCATCACAACTACAAAGACAGACACTTACATTAACATCGAAGTCATTTTAGGCACAAAAGGGAGGAACTACTACATAAAACAGCCTAATTCAGATTAGGACATTTACCTTGTTTTGAGGAAACTTCCATTCAGAGAGGCAGCCGAGGAGAACACTTTGTTTATGTCCCTGTAAACAACACAACTATACTTTAAATAATATTTTTTATAGTCTATAGATATTAATCTAAAATTCATCACCTCGTTGGCACATATTTCTTGATTTAATTATGTTAAGAAAGACTATTTCATGGACCTACTGTAGATCAGGAGCCTTAAGCATTAGTATCTCAATGGAAGCACTGTTGTTAAAACGACTTAAACACTCACTTCTTTATCACTTTCCATGAATCACTTCCAGACACCCATCGGTCAATCATTCTGTTATCTAATGTCAAAATCCCTCTCCTTGGATTTGGTTTAGACTCATTCCCAGGTTCCTACAATATACATTAAAAAAACATAAGTAATCCCACAAAACATTGGACGTCGGATAGACGTGCAGATCATGTCTAAATTGGGTCCGTCGGTACATGACCAATTCTGGACATCTATTCGACGCCCAAACTAGGTCCACTATTTGGACGTCCAACCATGACCCAACTTGGACGTCATATTGACGTTCAACATTTGACCTGGGTAATTTTTTGGACCTCATTTGGACGTTTTGTGCAGGAAATTTACATGATTAATATGGAATATTTTTTTATTTACAAATATCAACATTGTTGTTATCAACATGATTAATACATATGAATACAGATTACTTATAATTATTTAAGATAATTTTCCCAAAACTCCATTTGACTGTCTCAGCAGCAGGTGATAACTGGAGACGCATACAAAGGTGTAATGCTGTAGCTCAAACAGTAAAGCGTTGACGCTTGCAACGCCAAGGTCACGGGTTTGATTCCGAGGGAAAGCAAGAACTGATAGGAATGTAAATGTGTAATGCAATGTAAGTCACTATAGAAGTTGTATAAAAACGACGTCTAAAATTAGTCTAAATTTGATGTTGAAAAGACGTCCACAAACGACCACATTTGGACAATAAATAGCCCTTACACAGAGGTCCCATGGACGTCAACATTAGACGTGCGGTAGACGTCGAAAAAAGACGCCGCCTGGCGTTACAAAACAACCCCTTCAGTGGACCGAAATTGGACGTCCAAAAATTACATAGAAAAGACATTTCACAGTGGAGCAATAATTTAATTGTTAAACAATTTGTGAATGAAAACTCTAACCTTGAAAAACAGGGCAAAGGAATGATTCTCCCCCGCGATTACTTTTTCAATCATATATGCATGACCACATTCTGTGTGCAACAAAAATTTAGTTTAAGTTCTGAGCAACATCATGAGAACAAAAGTATTCGTAAGAAAATAGCCTATTGCTAAAAGATCATTTAATTACCAGTTGAGAGATCCACAGGGAAAGGCACAGACTGCTTGATCATTTCTCCATTTCCCAGCTTCCCTTGCATCCCACATCCAAATGAATAGATCAGCTTTGACGATTCGACTGATACGAGTGTGTGACGTCTTTATTCAAGAAAGAATCAAATGCCTAATTACTGAGCTGATCTCAAACATTAGACATGTTAACCATGTGAGGAAATGAAAAGAAATCTGCACTACTGCATTGAAACACTGATTGCTTCTGAAAAGTCTAGTTTACCTCCCACATGTGACCTGGGACACTTTAGATCCCCACAGTTCAGCAACGACCCGCGGATGATGTTCGTCTTTAAATGAGTTGTGCCCAAGCTGGCCAAAACCTCCTGATCCAAATGTGAACACTGTGCCGCCCTGAAACACAAACAATTAATTACATTTTCTGTCAAGCTTGTTGAATCCTCTTATCTAATATCAAAAACATGAATAGGCTATAATATATTACAAAATAATACCTTTGATAGAGTCGCAGTGTGTTCCCCTCCACATGAGATGGACACAATTTTCTTTCGGTTCAGACTATTTACAACCGTTGGGACGTGTCTGTCTGTGGTGGAAAAAAACTGTAAAGTAATTCATCACTTCTGCTTTAATGTACATTTGACACAGTATTGCACAAATGCAGTACAATTATATGTGCTTTTATACCATCACTGATTTAGTTACATGATGAAATATTCAGACCTGTAGTGTCTCCGAGGCCCAGCTGTCCAGCCGAGTTCTTTCCCCATCCGAACACGACTCCAGAGAGAGATAACACAAAGCTGTGGTCTCCTCCAGCGCTGATCTGAGCCAGTGGGATCCCACACAGACTCTCCATGCGTTGAGGAGCTGACAGAGACCTGGGCTGTTCTTTCTCCAAACCCAGCTGACCGTGAGAGTTATCACCCCATACAAACAGCTGACCATCTGAAAGACCAACAACAGCTCTGCATATCTACTCTCAAATGCCTATCAATTCATGTCAATCATAAGAAGTCAAAAGATTAAAACAAAACATCAGCTGTTAGAATGAAATGGTTGTGAATACCCCTGGTTAGTGCCATTGAATGCTGGTCTCCACACGCGATCTGAATCACCTGCTTGTTTTCCAGACCTTTAAGAGGACTGCAGAGAAAAGACAATCTGTCAGATATACTGTATATTTGTTATTATCACTCATGGTCATTTATACTGTTATCATGTCATGCCTACATAAATACCTGCACACAGTAGATTTGTCCATAGTAAGAACTCTTCCTCCATCAGCAAGAAGAACCGCACCAGATCCTCCACAGACAATCGATATAAATATGATTCTGTCATTCTTTAGCTGTGGTTGCTCTGGAGTAAATAATATGTATTTTATCAGTTCAACTTCTTTTCAGAAAGTAAGCATACAGACACTTAAATAATTATAATTCCATTACTAAATCACAAATATTATATACAGTAACTCATAGTAGACTACTATCAAATATAAATAGTCTATGTGAAAATAAAAGGCTATTATATGATGTTGTCAACTTTATGAATAAAAACGGTCATGTAGTATACTTAGTTTTCCATCGTGATCACAGTTTTCACCGCGTAATTTCAGGACCGAGACTTTCCCATTCCTGATAAATCCAACAAAACTCCTTCCAGCTGACATGTCCTGAACTGCTGATTTAGGACACACGGATCGTATTCCACAATCGCCATGTTTGACTTTATCAGGCTGTGAGAGACCGAAGCCCTCTCTGACCTGCGCTCCCCAGTAGCAGAACATGTTCACAGCTGATGAATGAAACCTTCAGACTCCAGCAGCGTCTAATGCATCCGTGGACAGAGGAACACGCTCTCGTTAAATATAGCTACATCGAAAATGAGAGTGAAACTGCTGGACTCGACTATTTAGCGAGTTCCCACTAAACGAAAGTAATGTTTGTTGTTATTCTTCCGCGTTTAGTGAGTCAGAGATTAATTTATTGATGATGATCGGAAAACGAAAGTAAAATCTAGGTGAAATTCCGCCACACCCATAGCAGGTGTAATTTGCGGGTAGGACATGTCCCCAGCAGTTTTTGACTGCGGTAAAGCCAGCCGCCACCTCGAAATGAGCGGTCGAACTAGCCGCCCCTATATTTCGCGGTGCGCATATACACTAGCTATCACGGTAAGACCGTCAGACCGTCATCTGGATTGAAAACAATTGATCTTCCGGCGAAGGCTGTTTCACATTAATTTATTCTATCTATCTATCTATCTATCTATCTATCTATCTATCTATCTATCTATCTATCTATCTATCTATCTATCTATCTATCTATCTATCTATCTATCTATCTATCTATCTATCTATCTATCTATCTATCTATCTGTCTGTCTATCTATCTATCTATCTGTCTATCTGTCTATCTATCTATCTATCTGTCTGTCTGTCTGTCTGTCTGTCTATCTGTCTATCTATCTATCTGTCTGTCTATCTATCTATCTGTCTGTCTATCTATCTATCTATCTATCTGTCTGTCTGTCTGTCTATCTATCTATCTATCTATCTATATATATATATCTGTCTGTCTATCTATCAGTCTATCTATCTATCTGTCTATATATCTGTCTGTCTATCTATCTATCTATCTATCTATCTATCTATCTATCTATCTATCTATCTATCTATCTATCTGGTATCTATCTATCTATCTATCTATCTATCTATCTATCTGTCTGTCTATCTGTCTATTTATCTATCTGTCTATTTATCTATCTATCTGTCTGTCTGTCTATGTATCTATCTATCTATCTATCTATCTATCTATCTATTATCTGTCTATCTATCTATCTATGTATAGGCCTATATATATATATATATATGTCTGTCTGTCTGTCTATCTATCTATCTATCTATCTATCTATCTATCTATCTGTCTTTCTGTCTGTCTATCTATAATTATGTATCTGTCTATTTATAATTATCTATCCATCCTAAAATAATAATATACTGTTGTGTCTATACATTCAGAAAATCATTAAAAAAGAAATCCTAGTTTACACAGCCCAATTTCACCTCAGATGGAGAGTACACCTTCTCACCGTGTCACCTGCACAGTTTCAGGACAATCTGATGTTGTATTACAAAATAAGAGCCCTCCAAAATTCATAAATACGCTGTTTTGGCTTTACATTCAGAAAATCATTAAAAAAAAATCCTAGTTTACACTGCCCAATTTCACCTCAGATGGAGAGTAGACCTTCTCACCGTGTCACCTGCACAGTTTCAGGACAATCTGATGTTGTATTACAAAATAAGAGCCCTCCAAAATTCATAAATACGCTGTTTTGGCTTTACATTCAGAAAATCATTTTTAAAAAAAATCTTAGTTTACACTGCCCAATTTCACCTCAGATGGAGAGTACACCTTCTCACCGTGACACCTGCACAGTTTCAGGACAATCTGATGTTGTATTACAAAATAAGAGCCCTCCAAAAGAGCTCTCCATTTGAGGTGAAATTGGGCTGTGTAAACTAGGATTTTTTTTTTAGTGATTTTCTGAATGTAAAGCCAAAACAGCATATTTATGAATTTTGGCATGCAAGCTGCACGAGGCCGATCACCACGCGCGATACATTTCATGCCTGGGACTCGACCACACGGAGAAGGCCTTCTCCTCCGGCGGATGTGCGGCCTGTGAGAGCATGCCCATCTCCTCTCTGCGGACTCGGCTAGCTCTCGCCAGGGAAGAAGACGCCGCTTCGACAGCGATCACGACAGCCTGTCTATTGCTGCATCTGAGGACGAGTGGCCGGGCTCGCTCGACCCCGTCACTGCTTCTCAGCCAGCACCCAGCGCGCCTGCGACCAGGACTAACTCCGTCGCGGAGATGCTTCGGATCCTGACACAGGCCGTCGCGGACCTCGAGCTCGAGTGGGCCGCGCCCGCTGAGCCTCCTCGGAGTCAGCTGGGCGGATGGTTTCTGCCGGGACACCAACAGGCCCCTCGTCATAAACCAGCGCCGTTTTTTCCAGAAGTTCACGAGGAGCTAACCAAGGCATGGCGCACTCCTTACTCCACACGAGGCGCTGCAGTTCCCGCGACTCTCTCCTCTATGGACGGCGCGGCGGAGAAGGGCTATAAGGCGTTGCCGCCTCTAGAAGAGGCCGTAGCCGCTCATCTTTGCCCGAACACGGCCGCTAGCTGGCAGACCAGAGCCATGCACCCAAACAAACCGTGCAGAAGCACGTCAGCCCTCCTCGGACGCGCGTATTCCGCCTCCGGGCAGGCTGCTTCAGCCCTGCACGCGATGGCCGTGCTGCAGGTCTACCAGGCCAAACTCCTCCGGTCTACGGACGAGGCGGGCCCGGATCCAGAGGCCTTTCGGGACCTCAGCAGCGCAACGGACCTGGCCCTGAGGGCTACCAAGGCCACAGCGCAGGCGATCGGAGGAACATGGCGAGCTTGGTCGTGACTGAACGCCATCTCTGGCTAAACCTCACCGTCATTAAAGACTCGGAGAAGACGAGGTTCCTCGATGCCCCGGTTACCAGCACCGGTCTCTTCGGCCCAGTGGTGAAGGGGTTCGCGGAGAGGTACACCGAGGCACAGAAGGCATCCCAGGCTATGCGACACTTCCTGCCTAAACGCTCTAGCTCCGCAAACCCAAACCAGCTCCATTTGCGCCTCAGCCAGCGAAACCGAAGCAGCAGGCCTCTCAGCCCCGCCCTGCGGATGATGCCCAGCGCCAGTCAAGAGCTGCGAAGCGCTTCCCGATGCCCCGGCGTTAAGGCCCGCAGCCCAGCATCGTGCTCGACGCGGCACCGCCGAAGTCATCCTAGCATGCGGCACGAAGAGAGAGGGCGAGTGTCCCGCGCCGGCCGGACCACCCTCGAAAAAGCCCACGAGACTTCCCACAGCCCCCTGTTCAGTTCAGGCGGATGGGGATTTTATATCTGTAAGCAGGACCGCAACAGTATGTGCGTCTTTACAAACAAACGCCGTTTTCACAGCGACCCAAATAAAGCACAAAAAGAGCATGTTTCACAAGCACAACACACGGGTTCACTGTCCCCCTCAAATAGGTGGCCCCTCCCCTGTTGTTACACTGACTTCCCCACACGCAAATGCCTGTACAGTCAGTCAAACACACACAAATCACATTATAAGGGTTTCAGGTTTCGGGTTTTCATTATTTGCGCTAAAGCAAGCGGGTTTTTACAGCCGTTATTTTCTAGTTCCGAAGAAAGACGGCGGACATTTGAACAGGGCTCTCATGCGACGTCCCTTCAAAATGTTAACCATCAAACATATCCTCGCGCAAATTCGCCCAGGGGATTGGTTTGTTACAATGGATCTGAAAGATGCTTACTTTCACATTCAAATAAACCCTCGTCACAGGCCATTCTTGAGATTCGCCTTCGAGGGACAGGCTTATCAATACACAGTTCTACCGTTCGGTCTGTCTTTGGCACCCCGCACATTCACGAAGTGTGTGGATGCAGCACTCTCTCCTCTGAGACAGAGAGGAGTGCGCGTGCTGAATTACCTCGACGACTGGCTGGTGCTAGCGCAGTCGAGAGGCGAACTAATAGCTCACAGGGATCTGATTCTCGGCCATTTAAAATGCCTGGGTCTCACGATCAATGTTTCAAAGAGCAAACTATCCCCCTGCCAGAGTGTGATCTTTCTGGGCATAGTTTTAGACTCTGTGTCGATGAGAGCGCGGCTCACACCAGAGCGCGCGCTCTCAGTGTGAGCGCTTGCATCCTCGTTCAGAGAGCGAGAGCGCGCGCCTCTGAAGAAATTTCAGAAACTACTGGGTCTCATGGCAGCATCACCAGTGCTCCGCATGGGATTACTGCGCATGCACCCACTGCAGCACTGGCTGAAACGCCGGGTGCCAACACATGCATGGCAGTCAGGCAGCTTACGAATCAGAGTGAATCACGGTTGTTTAAGGACCCTGGTTCCCTGGCGGGCTCAGGACTGGTACCAAGAGGGTGTGACAATGGGGACAATTTCCAGAAGGAAAGTGGTCTTTACAGATGCGTCCAACCTTGGTTGGGGGGCATTACACAAGGGCACGCCTGCATCCAGCCTCTGGTTGAGCGCGGAGCAGACCTTACACATCAACTGTCTGGAAATGAAAGCAGTTGATCTGGCCCTGAATGCATTTCTGTCGAGCCTCAGGGGTCATCACGTCTTAGTCCGTACAGACAACATGTCAGTGGTGGCCTACATAAATCACCAAGGGGGCGTCAGGTCAGGCGGCCTGCATGCTATGGCGAGAGATCTCCTCTTATGGGCACAGAACAATCTGAGCTCTTTGAGGGCTGCACATATCCCCGGCGTCCAGAATTTGGGCGCGGATATGCTCTCACGGGGCAACACTCCCCTCGGCGAGTGGTCCCTGAACCCACAGACGGTCAGTCTAATATTGGAAGTGTTTGGCAGGGCCGAAATCGACCTGTTCGCCTCGAAAAACAACACCCATTGCAATCTGTTCTTCTCGAAGGACAGGGACGCGTTGGCCCACGCCTGGCCCAACCGCCCCCTGTATGCTTTTCCCCCCGTCTCGATGATTCCGCAAGTCATCAAACGGGTCAGGGAGAGCGAGTGCCCAGTCCTTCTGGTGGCTCCTCTTTGGAAATCCAAGTCGTGGTTTCCGGAGCTGGTTCAGATATCGGACACAGCTCCATGGCCTGTCCCGATGAGGAAAGACCTCCTCACACAGGCGAAGGGATCGTTGTGGCATCGGCGACCCGACCTATGGGCCCTCCATGTGTGGCCCTTGAACCGGTATCCAGGGACCTTCCTGTGAAGGTGTTGAACACTATATCTGAAGCTAGGGCCC